ACTGAGTGGCCACCTACCCGCCTATACCCACTCGAGGCACCCCAAGGTCGACCTCTCTCAAGGCCGACATCACATCTCAACCAAGTCCTCCGAAGAGTGCGACCCGCCAGCCGACGGGTACACAAGGTGAGAGAAGGTCTGTACGCGACGTCGGGGTACCCCCTCCGACAGTCGGTAGTCCGGCAAAGTGAGTGGCTTGGAGTCTCATTACGCAGTTTTGAGAGCCCACTCCACCACACTTTGGCGATATATTCGTCCATAGTCGAGCCAAAAATGGCAAGACTGATGTGAAAAACCACATCGATCACCTGTTGAGCTGTGCTCGGTTCATGAGGATGCATAAGTTATATGCCAACATTGACAAATGCATCTTCGGTGCGGAGGAGATTCCCTCTTTGGGATGCTTTATTGGAAAGCGAGGAAATTCGGGCAGACCCTGTTAAGGTTAAAGCTCATAGTAGATTGGCCGGTTCCGGGGAACCAGAAGGACCTCCGCAAGTGGTTGAATTTGGCAAATTACTTGCACAAGTATTGCCACAGCTACGCAAAAATGCAAGGCCATTGTCGAATCTCCTTAAAAAGGATGTGGAATGGTGTTGGAACACCGAGCACCACGAGGCTTTTGAAGCCATTAAGAAGAGTCTCCTTCAGGCGCCAATTCTGGCTCTGCCCGATCCTGTTCGCCCGTTTAGCGTTGTATGTGACGCTTTGGACTTTACCATTGGCTGTGCACTTTTGCAAGCCGACTCTGAGGGTCGAGAACGCGTCATCGCGTTTGAGTCTTGCCAGCTGAAAGCTGCAGAGAAGAACTATCCAAGGAGCTACTTGCGATGAAGTATGCCCTTGTTGAGTTCAGTGTACACCTGTTGGGCTCAAAGCCGTTTGTGATCTATACAGATCATGCGTCGTTACGCAGAGCGACACGGTCGCCTCATCTCTCGCAGAGAATGGCTCGTTGGCTCTCCTTTTTTGCGGAGTATAACTTCGAGGAGAAGTATAAGCCGGGAAAACAGAATGTTTTGGCTGACGCGTTATCGCGTAAACCTGACTATGAGCTTGCTCATCTCACTGTTGTAAGTTCGTCAGTAACGGATCGTATTCGCGTGGCGTATGCACGCGATGAGGCATGTGTTGCCCTTATGCAGGCGCTAGGTAGCGCAGAGTTTGAAAACTCTAAGGTGAAATTGTCACCATGTAATCGTGCGAGATTACATCGTTATGCACTGACCGATGGTCTGTTGTACTATAGTACAGGGTTCGGATGACCAGCCTCGTGTTTTGGTGCCTCATGATGAGGACCTCAAGTATCAGATACTTTATGAGGCTCATGATACACAAACATGGCGTTCATTTAGGTCGTGAAAAGAGCTACAGCTCGGTGAGCACCCATTATTGGTGGACCAAGTTGTACAAATGGGTTGGTACATACGTAAGCACGTGTGAACGTGTCAAAGGGTGAGACCCTCGCCTAATATGGCTGCGCCTTTGGCGAGTTTGCCTGTACCCTCGGGGTTGTGACAGTCCATTAGTATAGTGTTTGTGTTTGGCCTACCGCGTGATGCGACAGGCAGCACTGGGAGTGTGGTTTTTGTAGACTGATTGAGCAAGATGGCTTACTTAGCGGCAGTGCCGGACTCCATTGATTGAGAAGGAACAGCTAAATTGTTCATGGATCGTGTGTTTCGGCAACACGGATTGCCTGTGGCAATCGTCTCGGATAGAGACCCCCGTTTTACTTGTAAGTTTTGGACGTCCGTCTTTAAAGTGCTCGGCACTCGACTGTACATGTTTACGGCGAATCATCCGCAGACCGATGGTCAGACACAACGCTTCAATCGCGTCATTGGCGACATGCTTCGCAGTTTTTGTGCTGAAACACCAAAGCAATTGAGCACGATGCTCCCTCTTATTTAGTTTGCGTTGAACAACGTGGTGCATGCCTCGACAAGCTTCACCTCATTCTATATGAATGGCTTGGTTAACCCTCGCGTTCCTTCAACGCTACCCTCTGCCACATCAGAGCTTAGTGGGGGGAGAGATAGCCGAAGGCTTGGCTGATATAAGTCCTGTTGCGATGCGCAAGAAGGTGGAAGCGTTTCTGTCAACGCGTTTTGACGTATTACGTCGCGTCAAAGACGCTATGGCTGGAATCCAGGATGTTCAGAAGGAACATGCAGATGCCAAAGGCAGGAAAAACGACAAGAGAAAAGAACAGGTGCTTATAGCTTCAAGAGTTCAAAGTGGGTGATTTAGTTTTAGTAAACGCTAGTAATTTACCTACACGTGCCGTTTCGACAGTATATAAAACCAAATTACGACCACGTTTATTGGACATTTTAAGTTTATAGGAAAAGGTATACGCTGAGCCTTCCAAAGAAGATGCGAGCACATCCTGTGTTCTACGTGGGTTTACTTAAGCCATATTCAACCCTGCCTCGGTGGGCTTCGAGGGGTTTTCCCCATATCCCTGGCCGAAGGAGGCGGGTAGTACGTGCATATGGACGCTGATGGTGTACCAGGAGGTCTATCTGACGTCGAAGTTCGGCTTGAGAATGCTCAATCGCCGCTAAGCAATCCGAGGTTTCAGAGAGATAACGCTCAAAAGACCGACGGTGTTGATCGACACGGTCATCGAGCGATGACAGCTGAGACCTCACCGATGCAAGGGCATCACGCTCCAGGAGTGTCAGGCGACACTCAATCTCAGAAATGAGAGGTCAATGGGTCATCGACCTCCTCTGACGCTGATTGATGAACTGGGTCATCAACAGTTCCGCGTGGAACGTCTCTTGGCTCGGCGTCGTCACCAGGGTCATACCCAATACTTGGTGAAGTGGAGGGGTTACCCCCAGTCGTACGACTCGTGGGAGTATGAGGTACCACTCCGGAAGGATTGCCCTGATGCCGTTGACGTTTTTGACCAGGACGGTCAGAAGCGACGACAGCTGTCGTCGGACGCTTCCTAGCACCAGGTGCTGTGGAAGTAGGGTCAGTAGGCTGGCTTTGCCTCTGACCTTCAGAAGAAGCTAATGTCGGTACATTACTCGAGTGAGAGGTACGGGCAACAGCTTCAGAAGCTTGCTCCCCACAAGTCTTTGACCTGTATGTTGAGGGTAAATGACGTTTCGCTTTGAGCTTAGCAAAGTTAAAACGTAGACAACGTTCTAACCAAACGTCTTGTGCTTTAGCGCTTACACGCAAGTTTGACAAACTTGAGAGCTTACATGCTCGTTCTACCCAAAGGGTGAACTGGTGATCATCTTGTGCAGATGTTTCACCTGGTGCAAGCACCACTGGTATGCCATTTAGTGGGTGCACGGGCACCCACGTGACTGTCGTGACAGGCTATCCTGATACGATTTCATTGTAAGCTCCTGGGTAGTAAGGAGACGCTCAAGAAGAGCAACACTATCTGCATTCTTGCAGGCCGTACGGGCATGGAACCCAATGACTTAGGTTCGCAAAGATTGCGATGCAGCTCGTCGAGCTTCCTCATTAGGGTCTCGGGGCACGAACCCATAATCACGTCGTGAAAAGGTCTGTTTGGGCCGTGCCAAAGCGGCCGCTCGGGCCTCGTCATTGAGTTGACGACGCTGTCCTAGGGGTTGGTCACCTTCGTAGTACCCTCTCGCGAGGGAAGTGTGGCTTGGCGCAATGGTTGTCTCTTTGGAGGAGAAGCACAGAATGGGATCTACGTACTCGCTCGGTGAGCGTGAGATCTTGGGGTACCATGACCGAAGGAGACTCGGTCCGTACCCCTAAGCAATGTCACTGTCTCGTCCCCAAAGATGTCGCGGCGATTGCACCATCCATGATGGAGCAAGCGCTATCGGGACAAGTGCTTTATAAACCAAGTGTTGTGAACACTGTAATGCTTTAAAGCAAGTGCTAATCACTTAAATGCTGTAAAAGCAAGTGTTCGTATACACAAAGGGGTAAAGCTCCAATTGCTTGACATTAGCGCTTATAATCAAGTGTCGTAATACTTAATGCTTTAACGTTAGTGCGATGCACTGTATGCTCAAAGAGCGAGTGTCGTAACACAAGGATGCTTAGAAAGCGTGCGTGCAAAGCACAGGTGCTCAAGGAGCAAGTGTCAGAACACTAACGCTTTGTTCGCAAGTACAAACACTTATTGCGAGGCAAGCAAAAAGGGAACACAATGAAATCAATGCCTCCCATTAAGTGCGAAAAATCGGGGTACGTCGGGTCCCACGGATTAGTGGGAGAGGGTGCAACGGGGTTACACGAAGGTGTGTATTGTACATACATACCTGCCACACCAATGTGGTGTGGCTGTACCTTGGGTACAAAAGTAGGTGATGCGACCGTACTCGAAGTACGAAGGGTCGCATCGTGGCAGAGAGCCACGTGGTCACTTAACTTATTTAAAGTATAGTGACTATGCATGTTTGCATAATAATAATAGAGCCAGTAAATAGTGACTAGCACTAAGTATAGAGCAGGTGCTTCTATATTTAGTGCTAGAAGATAAACATAAATATAAATCAGTTTCAAACCTGCGCTATAAGCATCACTGCTTGAGCGTACTATTCCTCCTGAGGAATTTGTATCTTTGATACTAGTCTCTTTGAGTGCGGTTATAGCAACCAATAGGCACAAGCTTACGAGCTAGCCTTGGAAGGTTAAGCACCCTAAGACGTAGAAGCTCTCTGAGCTTGTTTTCCTCTGCGCATAGTGCATAAGTAGCGTAGCTACAGTAGCTTGGCTACATCCTCTGCACATAGTGCATAAGTAGCTCGGCTACATTGGCTGTCTGCGCGTTATTACAAATGAAGAACAATGCTAATAGTATTGTATCATTGTAAAAGAGCGATACAAATTATAATAGAGGAAAAATATATACCAAGCATAAGCAAAAATAATGTTATTATAATATTTAAAAAGAGCCCATAAAACTATCGTAGAGAATACAGCAATAGTATAAAAAATACTGGAAAGCATCATTTGGTAAAATTTCATTTTGAATCAGACTACTAATGCTAAAACAGCAAAGCAAGGGAAAGGATCATAAAGCGGCAGGAGACGCTTCCGCCGTCGCCTCTATCTGCGTGCTGTGCGATCTTTACACTCGGAATGACCTAGAAGGAAGATGGAAGGAGCTTGCGGCAATCTATGACGTACGTCTTGAGCCTTTTAGTGCTTGTAGATCAGACATAAACCGATGATTGATAACGTCCATGTAGCAACGCTGTAATGTTGACAATTTTCGTGAAATTCTGGATTTGAGCGCACCCAAAGCTCGGATGAGCAACTTAAATGGATGGCATTTGGAGCGTATGGCGGTGGGTGAGTTTGAGCCTACCGCAGGCGCCAGTGCAAGTGATTTGGCGGAAATTAAGCGCGAGAGTCGTATCATCAAGCAGACGCTAGCAAAGGTGCTAGAAAATGGCCGTAGCTTCCAAACCAAGCGAAAAGATCTTGAAGAAGCTATGGCAAAGCAACGTGAAGCACTGACTGGTGAACTTATGGAAGCTAAGGAGTTCCTGGGTCAGGCGCATTTGCTGAACGCCTGCGACTCGGCCACGAGCGAAGTCAGTGAGCCAGCACCTGTGGAAGAGCGGCTGCGCGCTACGTTGAAGCATTTGGAGCTCTATTCGGCAATCGATCTCAGTTAAATGTGTTTGGTTTGAGTACGAGGGACCAAGGTTTTTGAAGTAGACGTAAGTATGAAAGTAGGGCGAATGCATTCCTCCAGACGTGTGTCACGCTTTATCTGTAACTCGATTTGCCTCTTTCTCACCTAATTGATTGGCCGTCCGTATACGTCAATCTGCTGCTACTGCTCTAATCGACGTGAAGACGCTCCTCAAGGTACTTGACAGTGTCCTTTGTGATGATCAGCAAGTCTTTTTGCAGGATCGAATAGACGTTGATCTTGTTCTGCGGCATCGTGTCCACGTGAGGGATGTTGCGCGTGGCAAGCACAAAGCGTGAATCTACCTCTTCACCACCAACAAACAACGCGTGGTCCCATCCACGGCGACCTAGCAGCTTCTTCATATCCTTCGTCTTAGAAACCTGCTTCACCAACAAAACCACACCATTACGACCTACTCTGCAGCAACAGACAACAACAACAACAACAACGTACGTCGATTTCCAGTGAGTCCACGACAGCAAGTTTTCCTTCACGAAGTTTGGTAGACAATGCCACGCGCAGACCCATAGCGCGAACCTTCTTGGGCAGGTTATACGAAAAGTCACGCAGCACAGGACCGTGCACACGGTAACCTCCGCGCCATTGTGGTGCACGAATGTCTCCCACACGGGCGCGTCCTGATCCTTTTTGCTTCCACGGCTTGCGCGTCGAGCCGCTTACCTCGGAGCGTGTTTTGGTTTTGTTAGTACCAGCGCGAGAGCATGCAAGCTGCCAGCGCACCACCCGCTGCAGAATATCCACACGATTAGGCGCACCAAACACCACACCATCCATAGTGACAGTGCCCAAATCCTTCGAGTCGTCGGCCACGGACAAAAGCTGCAGCTCCAGATCACCCGACGGCAACATCTTGACGTCCTGCGCTGCTGGAATCACGCGTGGCGGTGGCATCGGCTTTTCCTCAGCCAGTGACAAGTTAATCGGCAATGTGGCAGTCTGCATGCTGGCTGCGCGCATCATTAAACTAGAGTGTGGTGCAGACACCGTCAGCGACGCCACACCACGCAACAATCGATTCATCCCCACGATTGCCATGAATTTCTTGCGATGAATGGCGTTGTGCAGTCAATTTTAATCACCCAGTCTGTGGGTTATTTTAACAGTAGCAGATTTTAAATCCCAACACAGCGTTCTTAAGACCACTTTTTGGTTTTTACCTAATAAGACTAACTAGAGAGTTTATTCCTTATAATACACTCAAAAATAGACTTAGGTTTAAGAACCGTATACTACATGTATACACAACACAAATTTGAAACTAGACAACCTTTTTTTAGGTATTTAACCAAAACAAGTCAGACACAAAATTGTCTCTTTCAATCTCGCCTCCATTTATCAAAATGTTGACGCACCGTCGAGGCTCCGCATTGCGTGGAGAAAATAGTTTAGCTGCTATCTGTACACTCATTGAATACAGTAATCTTGATCGTAAATCAAAACTTGATAGTACTGGTCGTATTTGTTATGTAAGTTCGTTGACTATTGCTTAGGTTCGTTAAGGAATGATAAAAATATACTGATTCTCTCTATTAATACCAAACAGGAGCTGAAAAATGATCCATTGCTACTTGATAGTTTTCCGATAGAACGATTGATGAAAGCTATGCGTCGATTAGTATGTGACTCGGATACATCTACCCGTGCGGGGGTACTAAGGGCTCTGCGCTACGCTATTAGCAGTAGTGGAAGTATCAAGAACTTTATCGATTTGAATCTACCAGTGTTTGTTGTGCGCTCATTAGATCGTGAGCAGAAATATTTGGCAGAGAGAGTACAAGCTTTGAAAGTAGTACGAAGGGTAATGGAAATTGATGCTGCTCAGATGCCAACAGGTCTTGTAGCATCTTTGACAGCCATTGCAGGACACAAAGATGATAATATGCGGCGAGTATGTTTGGAGACGCTACGAGAGCTGGCGTTGCTGAATGTGGAGGTCGTGGCCGAGGCCAATGGTACTAAGATACTAGTAGATGCCATTTTGGAACCGTCGTTCCAGGATCTCGCTGACTCACTGCTTATGACACTATTGCTGATTCTAAACGAACCGTCTACGCGCAAGTTTATTGAGCCTTTTGTAGATTCACAGGTGCTTATGGCACCATTTACAGATACCGATCTCCCAGCAGGCAATGAGCGGAGACAACGATGGATGGCAAGTCGAAACGCTATTGTTACTATGATGCGGTCGTGGACAGGAATGGTTGTGCTCACGAGCAATCCACAAGGTCTGCAATCACTGACTCAGCTACTGGTACGGCCGGTGGGCGAGGATGTACAGAAAGCAGTATTGTCCACTATCTGCGAAATCTTTTACAAGAGAACGAGCTTTGACCAGTCAGCAGCAGATGCAGCAGCCGACACACCAGCTCTCCCTTCAACACTATCAAGTACAGAACAGTTGCCACTAGCAGTCAATCACAATTTGCTGGATAACTACACGGTCATTATTCTGCTAGCTATGATTCACTGTGGTATCTTGGAGGCACTAGTGACTCTAGGTACGGGTCCGTCTCGATCGTTAGCTGAGCCAGCAATGGATCTGCTGGCTGACATATTGAAAATGGCCTCGCGCTTGCTTCCAGACCAGCACTGTGCGTCTTTACTTGCGCTTCCGCGGTTAGTATCATCGACTTCGCTCACGGCTGCGACTACGATGTCTCTCGGCGACCATGCTAAGAGCCTTTTGGAGCGTTTACAACGCGAAAAGTCGATTCGAGCTAGTGAAATGCTGGGCGAGCTGGCGAATGCCGTTGGCGCGAATTCAGGTAGCATTGCTACGCGTGGTGTATCTTTAGTCTCCTATGGTGGGAGCGGGATCAATGGTGTGCAGCTGGCATCCGAGCTCCTACGCGATACGAATCGACCGTCAAATTTGCTTGCTCTTCAGCAGATTGCAGGTGTCGTGCGCCTTCCTTCATCTAGTGGTGGTGGTGGCATTGGCGGAACTAGCGGTGGCTCTGTTAGCTACGCTGTCGCTGCTCCTTCAACACAGCGTGGCACAAAGAGTGCAACGGCGCAACTGAAGGATAGCTTGACATCGCGCGAATTGATGGTTCTCGAGCTTAAGCAATCGCTGGATGCACAGATGGACGACAGCACTTTTAAGGACATGCTGCACAACCGTGCACGCGTACTGACAGACAAGAACTACAAGAACTGGAACTGGGACATCATCTCCGAGATGCTTGAGGGCCCGCTTACAAACCCGCAGCGGCTTTCGGAAGCTATGAAAACAAAGTTTTTCAAGAGGTTGTCAGGTTTCTTTCGTTGCGACCAAGGCAACAAGGGTTATTTTTCTAACCTGTACTGGATACCAGATCACGTGCCTTATCTGCGTCCGGCCTGTCAAATGTATACGCTACTGTTGAACCACCCAGAGGGTTTGCTCTTCTTGAAGACTGATCGTCGTGGTCAACTGCTTACGGAGATTTCGTCAGCGCTAGAGCTGGAGGCACGACCTGAAGCTGCTATCGTAGAGTCGCACATTGGTGTGCTTAAGGCCCGTATGTTTTCGCCTGATTATGTGTCGCGGCGAATGTTGCGCGAGTACTTCACGCTATTGGGACTGATGAGTTCGAGCAAAGAAGGCCTGAAGATGATGGAGCAGTCAAACTTGTTCCAGCGGCTTTATGTCATGGGGACTACGAAGGGTCATGACTTTCTCTGTCGTCTTATTCTAGCCAATCTCGACTACTCGGTTGACGGCAGCTCTCGCAAGCTACTCCAGTCTTGGATGATGGAGGGTTCTAAGGCGCTTCGTCTGTATGCGACCTGTTTGTTACGTGCGTTGTTGCGCTCTGAGGTGGCGGATTTTGATAAGTGGGGTATTGACGCATTGGTGACACAGCTGACACAGGAAGAGGAGGTTGCCAAAGCAGCACTGAGTGTACTGGAAGAGGCTGCTGAGACGCCTGCATGTCTTTTAGCGATGATTCTAAAGCGGCCGATCAAACTCATTCAACTTAAGGACAAACGAGCCGAGTCGCTGCTTCTCAAGTCGCTCTCGCTCGCTGAGGGACTGAACTTCCTCCGTGACACTGGTGACTGGATTCCGCGCACACTTGCTTCCTGGCGTCGTGAAAAGCACATTTCGTACGTGCATGCCGTAGAGCACGCACTTTTCCGTGGCTTACATCGTGACGCAGCTGGACGCGAACGCGGATCGAATAGTAGCTCGACCCACACCCGTCAAACATGTTCCCCCACGCCAATTCCTGTGAATGTACCTATAAAGAAAGGTGGTGGCGTTGGGCTTAAACCGCCTAGTGGTGGAAGTAGTCAGCGTTCTCTATGGGGTCTGGATTGGCTTTATCGTATGCCATGGAACATGGAAGTAAAGATCGTAGGCCCTCCAGGAAGTGGCCCCCCCGTCGAGCCTCATCTTAGAAACGTATATTGATGGTGCGATGCGCGAAGAGGACGAGACGACCGGCATCGACGATGAGCTTCGCATGAACTCGATCCGTGTTAAAGGAATCGTTGTGGACGCACGCAATATGCCACAACCAGTTGTGGTAAATTCACAGCAAACATTGCAAGCTTGCTTATTTCTGGGCACACAACCAGTTGATCGGCGCGGATTTACGAAGCCTCCTCCTCAGAGCAATGGCGGTTTCGTGTCCACGAGCGGATCTGCTAGCGGTGGTGGGGCTTCTCTCTCTAGCGATACCCAGCAAAAGATGTTGCGCGCGCGATCGGCATCCAACTCAGCTGGAGGAAGCACGGACCGCAATTCGGAGACGATGTCTTCGTCGCTGGACTTTGCCGATACTGGGTCATCTCCGGTGGACGCAGCAAAGGAAGAGAATAAGGACTGGAGCTCGTGCCAACCAGAACAGCGCTCACCTCAGTACTTGTCGGCGCCAGAGTGTTCACTATGTGCCCCTGGTGAACGTGCTGTGTGGAACTTTCGTGTAGAAATGGACTCTGTTGCGGGAAGCAATACTTCAAATGGCAGTGTAAAACGACTTATGCTCAAGTCGGTCGAATTTACGCTGCAATTGCTGCCTCTTCGTCCGCGTACGGTGCCTCTACCGGTACACTTGTACGGTGAGTTGGCAAAAACAAGTGCTGGCTGTCAGATTCTGCACGCATCTGGACATTTGCCGGAATTTCTCGCATGTCTTCAAGATGCTGCGAGTGTTCCACTTGAAAAACGTGCTGCGTTATGGGCGCTGGGTCACGTATCCGCCACACCACGCGGTTACGATCTTCTGAGCCATTATCCGCAAGACTTTGTGGAGATGATCGTGAAGTTGGCCACAGATTCACCGCTTATATCCATTCGCGGCACATGCTTTTTCGTACTGGGCTTGCTAGCTCGGTCACCTGCAGGTCGGCGGCATCTAGCTCGTCTTGGATGGGACGCTCCGCGTGATGCGTCTCGTACTTCCATTGCTGTCCCCCAAAACTGCACTTCTCTCTTTTTGTGGCCATCGTCTAGATCAGTGAACTCCTGTCCGTTAACGCAAACGCCCCGCGCGTCGCCACTGCAGCGACTGCTAATACGCCGACGTGACAAGATGCCCAATGAGTGGCAAGAAGTGCTGCGGTTTGTTGCAGACTTGAGTAATCACATCACACAGAAGGAGGCACATGCCTCGCTCAACAAGTTGCGTTCATCGAAGTCTGAGTTATTTAATGAACCGGTGCTGTTAATGTACGTACACGCGTTATTGGAGAAGTACAGCTATCGGTTGGCTCTGCGGCAGTTTGTACTTAACGCGTTCGACCGAGCGACACTGACTGACGAAGTGCTCGATACGCTACGAATGGAGGATGAGAAAGAGCAGGGCAACCAAACGCACCAGCGTGTGCCAACTGGACAAGAACTACGGCAACGTCGATCATCACCTTCCATCCCGTCGTTTACGGCCTCGGTCCAATCACTGAATTCAGCCATGCAGGCTTCTGGTGTTTCACGTATGTCATCGTCCATGCAGAACGCCCTAAGCTCCGACCAGCGTTCAACAATGCGGCTAAACGCACATAATGACCCTATCGATCGCACTGTACTGCTGAAACGCAGTCGCAAGCGCTCTGCTTTTTCGGAGAAAACGATTGTTGTCGGTGCTCCTGAAGCTGCTGTGTAGTTCTTTCAGTCTTGTATTCAATGAGCTTGGCATTTTAAAACACGTAGTCTGTCATATGTGTCAAGTACCTTTTGATTCTTAGCATTTTGACTCGATCGCTACAGAAATCTACCAGAAGCCATTTCCATAAGTGAGTCGCCCATGTGTAAGACTTGTAACTTGCATAATTTTCCATTGATACTTGTACACATGGTCATCGCACCCCATAGAGTTTTCAGTCCACCACGTTGGACTCGTAACAGTGCAATACTAGGCTCAATACTATTTAAAGCCATTTTATTATAGGCTAAAATATCAAAATCACAACTTGAAGCTCCGACTACACCAAACACCGTCTTGAGCGTGTTGTCAATGGCAAATTTCAGCTGCTTTACGTCTGTAACTGGCGTAACCTCATCTTCGGAAAATCTGTCGTAGTAGCAATGTATTATAATAAATTAGATACAAGTATGAGTTTATTAGTAGTTTGCATACAACACAGTATGAATAAAGTATACATGGCAATCTTGATGTAGCAATATTCATTATGGAGCGAGAACTTATGATGATGACAAGTCGCCATAATGTCTGACTATTATCAACCACAAAAAATACTGTTAGGTATTGGATCCAGTATATCGGATACTGTAATACTGTATAAAGGCTACATGTGACTATATCACCTATATACAAAAAGTAAATGGTTTTTGATTGTCACCATGAAAATGGCTTCAGTCCACATTTACGCGGCTGTGACCATGCACTGAAATCAAGTTAAACTTTGTGACAAAACTGCTTAAGGCAAATACTACAAAGCTGCAGATGATCCAACTGAAAGACTAGATTATTTTCTAGATAGTAGGATTGAGATTGAAAGAGATAGAAATGCTGTGATAGACTGACTGCCAGGTTTCTTTGTGCTACAAATGCACTGGAAATATGCCGCTACACACTTATGGAATCTCAAAAACAGTCCAAATTGCTGACTGTATGCTCTAAAATGAATAACGATAAGAAATCGTCTCTGTCGGTACATGAATCTATTTACTTAGACGTGTGGTCTTAGGTCGACGAGAAGAAGTTGACGATCGAGGAGAATGGTGTTGAGACACCAACGTCTCGGAAGAAGTGAAAGTTGTCGAAGCGTCCTTGATTCCGTCTGAATTCAATAGAACACGACGAGACATCTTGCCGGAAGCACCATCCTGCAGACACTCAAACTCCATCTCTTGTCCTTCTGACACCACGTCCTGAATATTGCTGATCTTATCGCGAGAAAGCTCCGAAATGTGCACAAAACCACGTTGGCCAGTAGGAGACTGGAGAATAGCGCCAAAATCCATGATCTGGGTCACACGCATGGTGTAGCGCTCACCTTTGCGGAAAAAGTGCGACCAGCCCTTGTTAGACCCGTGGTCATTGTCACGACTGCTGCTACTATCGTTGTTGCTATTGCCACGAGGTCCAGCTTTTGCAACATCAGTGAGTTCTGTGCGCAGCCATTCACGGGCCTTGTCAACGTCTTCAGCTGAACCCACGACACGCACAATGCCTTCACGGCGATCTACGATGCTCACAGAGACGTTAAACCGCGATTCCAGATCGCGAATGTTACTGCCTCCAACACCAATTAGCGCACCAATCAAGTTAGTGGCAATCACGCACTCTATGCTCACGTTCGGCAAAGAGCTACCACTGGATTTTAGAGTCTTGCGTGGTTCAGCAAGTTCGGTGGCCATACGACGCAGTATATGCAGGCGCGCCTGCTTGGCTTCGCGCAGTCCCTCCTTCAGTACGTGAAGCGGGACGCCACTAGAAAGTTTTACATCCAGTTGTATTGCCGTCACACCAGAAGTTGTGCCTGCCACCTTCAAGTCCATATCGCCATAATGGTCCTCGGATCCTAAAATGTCGGTCAATAACTGATAGTCGCCCACTTCAATGCATTTTGCATGGGAGAAGAAAACGGGTCGCCCGCAGTAACAAGCCCTATGGCAATACCTGCAACTGCACGTCGAACAGGTACACCAGCATCCATAAGCGCCAGCGATACGCCACATACCGTTGCCATAGATGACGATCCGTCCGAACCCACCACCTCCGACGTCATGCGAATAGTATATGGAAACTCAGTGATGGAAGGCAAAATAGGTAGAACTGCCTTTTCGGCCAAAGCACCGTGACCGATCATGCGTCGATTTGTACCACCCACGCGGCCCATCTCATTCACACAAAATGGCGGGAACTCGTAGTGCAGCATGGCATTCTTTAATGGCGTAGGAGCATTAGGCTCAGCTTGTTCACGCGCTTCATGAAGTGCACCGCGAAGACGAAGGCCACGTTCAAGAGGTCCCAATGTCACGGAACACAAAGTCTGCGTTTCACCACGAGCGAAAAGAGACGAACCGTGGGCCATCGGCAGCGCACCTGTCTCCATCTCTAGTGGACGTACGATTCGAACTGGACGACCATCGAATCGCACGGGTTTGTTCTTTGGCCCTTTCCTCTCCTTTGCGACTGTCAAAATACGCTCACGCAGCATACGCTGGAACGTGTCATGAACAGCACGCTGAATAGCAGCATCATCCACCGGCGGAGATGCGCCAGCAAAGTGTTGGCGCATACCATTCAGCATCTTACTGTACACCTCACGTTCTCCTTGTTGGCGATCCTGTTTGCCAATGCGACCTCTTGCAATGATCGCTTCCGCATCCTTGCGACCAAGCTCCTGGGCCTTGGTCCAAACCTCTGGTGCAACAAACAGTGGCGAGAAAACACGCTTCGGCTTTCCATGCTCTCGAACAAGCTTCTTCTGCTCTTCAATCGCCGGCAGCACATTCGCCTGCGCCAAATCTAGCGCCTCATCAACACGCAACTCATTTGCCTCGTCACCCGAAACTTCCACCATAATAACACGTTCAGCTGTACCAGCATAGAGCACATCAAGAGTAGCGGCATCACGCTGCAGAGCAGTGGGGTTAACCACTAACTGTCCATCAACCTCAACGACACGCACGCAACCAACAGGTCCATTCCAGGGAATGCCCGACACGCTCAGGGCCGCTGAGGCCGAGTTAATAGCCACCACCAGCGGGTCGTTGTTGGGGTCGTACGACTGCACTGTCGCTAACAGCTGCGTATCTTCACAGTAGTCGCGTGGGAATAGCGGACGAATTGCACGATCCACGACGCGCGATTGTAGCACTTCCTCGTCACCGCCAATGTATTCGCGACGTTTCTGATTATCTGGAATGAGACCCACAGCGTGCGACTTGACTCGAAAGTCGACTGAAAGCGGTAAAAAGTCGCGCTGAAATGATGATGTGTTGGACAACGGATTACCATTGTGGTTGCCACTTACGACCGTTGTGAGCAGCACAGTGCGACCACACGAGGCCAGCACAGCTCCGTCTGCGAGCTTGGCAAGCTTACCAACGCTGTAGGTAGTAGAGTCTAAGCTACCAACCACTTGAATCTTCTCCTCCTTAGACTCGTCTATCTCCTGAGTATGATGCTGCGTAGACTCCAATGACTCTTGCATCTGCAGTACCTTAGCGGCCTTTTCCTCTTCTGCCGACGGTTTCTTGGGACCAAATAGAAAATCACGAAGACCTCCAAGAAATGCTCGAGATTGATGTGCAGATCCTGCAACACGAGGTAGACGGTAATAATGAGTTGAATTAATTGCACTGTGACGAATGACAGCTGCAACTGGTAATCGACGAGCTGCAATGGACAACATCATGAGATCGATAGAGATGACCGACTGACACCAGTAGTCCAAAGTGAAGTTGATGATGTACACCACGTCACAAAACCAAGCAAAATAAATATGCGCATCGAACCCAACCAACCGTTTTTGTGCGCAGTAAGGGACCTTTATGATTTTATATATTTAAAGTGACTGATTTGACCTAAATTAGGATCGTCTTTACCTTTTCATTATTACCTCAAGTCATAACCGAAAACTTCAGTTCGTCTGCAAAGCGCCGACCAATTGCCTCTTTTCGTCGTCTCTAGCTTCTCAAGGACTGAACTAACAACTAACAACATGGGCACTCGTGTATACGTTGGCGGCCTTCCACGTGATGCTACTTCACGTGAGATTCAGGATGGATTTAGCCGCTATGGTCACGTGTCTAACATTTGGGTCGCACGCAACCCTCCCGGCTTCGCTTTCGTGGTGAGTTGAGCTACTGCTTCCCCTGCGGCGAGACGTCGCACGCATGATGGCGTTTCTTCCCTCTTCCTCTACTCTTCTATCTATCTCTCCCTTCCCTACATCATTCATTGTGCTGATGTACTGTCATAAGGCTCGACGTTGACATTTCGTGCAAGCAGTTGGAGAGTGGCGGTCTAGCGGTGACAATATTGATCTATATGTGTATATTTTTTGTGTATGTATACTACTATACTTGTGTATGTATACATGTTAAATATCGTCCCTGTGACCGCTGCTCTCTTGCATCGTGTGACGATTATGGTCTTCACCACGTTGCAGGTATTGGACTGAAAAACGTCTTCATACTGCTGCTACTGTTGTGGGTCACACCTCATTGTCTTCGGTGCATCCTTTGTAGTGTTGGAGGGAGAGTTAGAAAATGAGCATCGAAGGATGAATAATGCGCCATCATGTTGCGTTATCTTCTTCTTCATCTTCGCCTGCCACCGATCCATTCCATACCAACCAACGCCTCTCCATCGTCGTCCTCTCCATTCCTGCTCCTCTCCACCTCTTCTCTAGGATTTTGAAGACCCGCGTGATGCTGACGATGCTATTCGCTCCATGGACGGTCGTGACTTCTTGGGTGGAAGGTAATAAAGAGCCTGTGAATTGCTAAAGGATGCGTCATAGTTGGTCTGATGTCTTTTATAATGCTTGTCTAGAATTCGTGTTGAGCTCGCCCGTGGTGGCAGCCGTCGCGATGGCGGGGGCCGTGATGGCGGCCGTCGTGGTGATGATGACCGAAGTGGCTACGGTCGTGGTGGTGGCGGCGACCGTTTCGAGCGTGGTACGCATAGCTGCTAGTGTTTTGATGTAGGTTTGTTGTATGCTCTTTGATCTAACATTTACTATGTTGCTGCATTCATATTTTTAATTTAGGTCGCAACCCACCCCAGCGCACTGACTTCCGTGTTCGCGTGACGGACCTGCCGCGTGATGTGGACTGGCGCAATGTGAAGGACTTTCTCCGTACGGGTGGCGAGGTTACTTACTGCAACATTGAGACCGATGGCTCTGCGTAAGACCTCATACCGTATACGCTGTGCGGCTCCTTTTTTGACGTAGCTTATGATTTTGGTTGTGCTTCAGTGTCGCTGAGTTTCAGACGAAGGACGATATGGAGGACGCTATCAAGAAGCTGGATGACACAGAGTTTCGTGGCAGCTACGTTCGTGTTGCACCTGAGGTAGACTCGAGTTCTACCCGTCGCTCGCGCTCTCCTGCTCGTGGTCGCTCGCGTTCGCGCTCCCCTACTGCACGTAAGGATTCTCCGCGCCGTTCACGCTCCAGATCGGTATCACTTGCCGCTGCCAATTCGCCCGCCCGTAAGAACCCTGCTTAGGCACTTGAAGAAGGCTGAAGAGCTGTGCTGTTAATGGGATGACATTAAGAGGACTTTGCTGAGTCGGAAAAGCACAGTAGTTGGCAGGCCACGTAGGTGTTGTTGCTTAGCGTCGAAAGCATTGAGCACGTAATTGAAGACAACATACTTTCTGTCCAATCAGTTGTTACTGTTGGTGTTGGTTGACTTCGTACGCATGGCAATATTAGAAAGCACCAAGATAACCGTCAAAGACTGTAGACTCCACAATAAGCAGGATTTGAACGCGCCGATAGTGACGCAAGAAATACTGTGCACAATATGCATTATACAATCAAAAGACGATTGCAACAAGGCCAGATGCGAACCATAGAACGAAGATCAAGCAATCCCATTTGACAACAACAAAGAGCAATAGACCCATGAAGGAAGGTGGTGGCATTTATAATTCCCTCGACATTTTTCCTCTTCGTCCGTCCGTTCAGCGAGCAGAGTAAAGGAGAAAAGCTGTTACTGTCAGCAGGTCAGACACCCTGCTGGTTTTTAGCTACACCTACCACCTGCCCTCCTTCCACGGTGAAAAAGGTTTAAGAAGACCGAGCTTTATTACGCGCCACAATTGCTGCTTGCCACATCCTAAATATCCTTGCGCTGGAGTCCTGTCGACCCAAAACAACCACCAAATATTAGTCACGGCTCTGCCAACACAGACAAAAACATAACAAGCTTGCAAGGTTCTAAACTGCATACCAGGAGGCAAAGACTGCGTGAGCTTGTCAGCCTTCTCCGTGTCTGTCACGCAGAGCGTGTACAGGTACTTGGAGCAACGAATTTTGAACTTGACAACTTTGTCACTCTTTTTAATCTTCACTGAACGTGCATCTTTTCGGCGTGCTTTTTGCAAGAAGTCACGAATGTCGGTAATCTGCTTTGGCTGTATATGGTCATCATAAACATATGTCGTAAATAATCAGTTCCTTACTTAGCTTTTAAGTTCAATAATATCCTAAATCCTCCTTTAACCAAACTAACGCTTAGCTTTCGTACCATTTTGTTGCGTTGGTCTTCTAAACTTAACTAACAAACACTAGCACAGTCGACAGCAGGACGCCTTGTCAGCCAACCAAAAGATGGCAGGACGTTACTATCATCTGCCTTACTTTATTTTACAACCTACAAACGTAATTACGTATTTATGTAACACACCTCAATCCAGTTGAAGGAAACCCAATTATTTCAATCAACAACACTTGATTTCAGTATGGCAACTGGTTGTTTCAGTCGGAAAACGTCGCCAGGAAGAGCTGCATGGCGTCGAACCAGGAGTGCCACATCTGCCTCGAAGAGCTACGTCGTGACCTGGTAGCTTCTCCTTGTGGCCATGTATTTCATCATATCTGTATACTTCAAGCACTACAGGTCAACTCCCAATGTCCCATCTGTCGGCGCCGCACGGGCGACGCCGACCTCGTCACGCTTTATTTCGATGTACCGAGCGCTAATGAAGCCCCGAATGGCAGTGAGACGCAGGATTTTCCTCCTGTGCAGGCTTCAGGTGAGATTAATACGCTTAGCTCTCGCGTCAATATGCTCATGGAGCGTATTCAATGGCAGAACAAGCAGCAGGAGCGGCTTGTTGACGAGCTGCGACGTCTACGCAGTCAAAGCGAGCAGCTAGTATTGGATAAACAAGCGCTCGCTCAGCGCTTGGGCTCCTTGCAAGCGACAAAGACCGACTTATTGAATAAAGTAGCGAGGTATCAGATGGAACTTACACGTCAAACAGAAGCTGCTCGTAGATCGAGTGTGAATCAGAGCATAATCAACTACTTGGAGACGTGTGACGCATCTACAATGGAAGAGGAGATACAAAACCCACGAGAACTTATAATGGCACTGAAAAAGGCGTGTAAGTTTCGTCATGATCAGTATCAAAAGGTGGTAAAGGAGAAAATGCGACTAAAGGAGATGTTGACCAACTCGCTGTCTCAACCTTTGCAGCACCAGACATCAGGGTGTTCACGGATGCCCAGGACAAAGGCTCGCACAGCATCGGCGGCGTTTGAAACTAAACGTGCGTATACGACACAAGCAGCCTATGAAACTGGAATTCCGTCACAGGTTTTGGAGAAGAAGCGGAAAATCGACTCGTCAACCGTGACATCGAATCCGATGCCTTTTTTCGAGCAACAGGGCAACGAAGCCGGTTTAGAATACAACCCACGTTCGGACTTGGAGAGCTTTTGTGCGAACGCGTACTCGGATGTGCCGATTCGTCCTCCTCCGAACCAAAGGCAAACACTCGGACGCAGCAACTTTAACCCGAACCAGTATGGTGCGTTTGGCGTGATACCGTCAAGCCAACCACCGGTGCAGATGACGTCATCCCAGGCTGATGTATGCCGTCGTGGCTACGACGAAACTGGTAAGCTCACCAACTTTTTCCTTCCCAAGGAGGCTGACTTGAGGTCCATGCCTCGAGAAAAGATGATTCCGAGCATGCAGCATCTGCTGAACTCACAGTCAAGAAGTCAGCAGCAGCGCGTGACGAGCAACGACCGACAGGAGTACGCACTAACTAACTGGCTGCGCAATAACTAAAAAACTTGGAGGAGCAAGTGTGTATGCACGTAGATCTCAGAGAGCTCTGAAATTTGCAGTCAGGACACTGTGTATGATACAACAGTATTTGCAATATGGGTAGTGAGTGGCTGGCACAGCTATCTACTAATCTAATGAGTTTGCTTGATTCGTGTTACACAGCTTGATATTTGCTCTGAAGAAGTACACACGTGTCGTACAAGTACAGCCTTTCACAAAAGCCGTGAATGTTTAATGTTTCTTTCGCTTCGATTCGTCCTGAGTACTCCCAACAACGTGTTAGTATATAAACCTGGCCTGACAAAAATTCTTGACAAATTCGAAACAACGCTTTGTTTTCGTCATGGTGTCTGCACTTTGTTGTCTCCTTTGGGTCCACGAGTTATGGTGATTAGATGCTAATCTGACTGGCAAGCAGTCGTCGCTATGGGCTTCATTGTTGCCTGAAATGAAGCGCGGAAGAATTATAAAGGTAGGGAGCAACAGAGGTAGCTGCTGTCTGTAAACAAAGCACTTTGTTTCCAATATCCTTGAGCCCAAATACCTACATAATGCGTCTCGTAGTAGTGTTTACTTGTCCATCTACTTTACAATCACCATTAATCCAAATTGTACATTTGGAGATCAATACCGCCCAAATTTACTTGATATTTTAACTTCTCTCGGACCTCGCTCGTAGTCTAGCTGCTCCTGACGCACATTGCTACACTTCTATGAGGCAGTACTTTGCAAAATGAAAGTGCCATAAGCCGACTTCCACTCATCTGAATGGACGGGAAATTCACCTGGCATCAACACTTACTGCCATTTTGGTCGAAACAGAAGACTGTAGCAACAGCATAACCAAAGTGAAAGGACGCTATTCGTGTATTCTTCCGCTATATTTGATTAGCTCTGCTGCCATCAGGTCCTGTTCTTCAACAACATTACCAGCAACAGGGTATAATTGCTAGAGAAGTGTCCCGCTTTTCTCCTCCTCGTCCTGTTCTGCAATCTCCTTCTTTGCAGCTTCTTCTCGTTCGAGGAAATTGTTCGCCAACGACTGTTGCAGACTCTCAATTTCATGGAATAGCTCGAGTGATCTCTCGACAACTTGGGTGGCAGACTCGAGTGTGCTCTTTGATACCTCTATAGTCATGTTAGTAAAGAGTGTGTTCGCTTCCGATGACCTTGCCACGATCGAGGCTTGAACATCGCGGATCTACATGTACAAGCGGAATCAGTTAGATGCAACAATAGTGCTACAGCCAATCCTTTTACGTATTACCTGATCCGACAAACCGCGCATTCGTTTCGTAATGTCCTCGTAGCGACATTTCATCTTGCCACAAATCACCGGCAATGACGCTTCCGCACTACTAATGTCAATCACGCCGGGTGTATGAATCCCTCGTCCTGCAACACGAACTTCCTGCGGAACATAGATAAGCACGGATGCCTTGAACGTGCACATGCCTGTTTTCTTGAGCCCAAATAGCTTTGTGTCGGATTCCGGGTTACTAGAAGGAATCAGCTCAACCTTTGTAGAATAGCTGTCATTGTCCATGCATTTGTCGCCATCGTCGTAAATCATGTACTTGTAGCTTAACGTGATAGGATCGATGTGCCAGCCGCGAAAAACACTACAAGCACACAAAATTTGTCAGCAATCTCGAATCCAGCATAGAGACACGTTATTTTGAGCTTACCCTAAAATAATAGATGTTTTTGACTCCTTTTCTTCTTTGGTCGTTGGGTCTTCTGTAACATCGTCTCCGTCCTCGATTGCATCGGGAGGTTTCGACACGTCCCCATTCACATTCAGCTGGACTTCCTCCACCTTTTTTTCAAGACCAAGTGAAAGTGTTACGTTTTCTAGAACGCACAAGTTCAGAGTATACCTATAACAACATCATTAAGCTTTGCCCGGTCTAGCAGGTAAAGGATACAAAACACTCACGTTTTTCCCAGTTGCACTTCTCTTTCCTCTTGAAAGCACGGCATAGACTCGATATCATCAACAAAAGGCCCTAAGAATAGACAACAGGACCACACGCTTACACTCTGCTGCAATTTTCTTGACAAATCTTTATCCATTGTTACAACTTGCCTTGGAATGCTGGAAGTGGACCACGAGATGGAATGGGGACCTGCACCGTCACATCCTCTTGCAGACGCGGACGAGTGATGATTGGGATATCGACTCTACGCGAAGCTGCACACAAAACAATGCTCATTGCTGCAGCGGCCATCGCGCCGACGAACCCTTGCATCCTTCGTGGCGCACGTACAGAAATTTGAACCATGATAATAACTGCATGGGGTTTAGTCACTAAGAGAGTTTCAAGTATAGTTTGGAAGTTGAAGTAGGAGTGATGGTCAAATGCGCACGGAGGGGTAGACTTCAAAGCGGAATTTGCCGCGTCAAAAAGCAAGTGAGCAAGCAAAGATGCAGGAAGAAGGTGCAGCTATTATGCTGAAGGAGGTAGAGAAGGCGACAAAGCTTCTCTCTTACGCAACTACTACATCTTCCAATGAGTTTTCCCGAGTTTCGTTGGCGGATGTTGAGGCGTTAAGCCAAGTGATCGACGAGCTTCAACGTGTTGTGACATCGTTCAGCTCGCAGCGTGTACTGGAAATATCGGAGTCACAACTAATGAGTGCTGGAGTGGAGTTATATAACGCGCCTCGATCTGCTTTGCGTGTTTTAGCGCAAGTGGAGAAGTCCAAGAAGCTAGGAGAAGATAAGTCTACAAGCTTTCCACGATATCTACTGGTACTCACACGCTTTATAGCTACAAAGATCATGGGATTATCACTCATTTGTCCTAAAGATGGCGACAGAAACAGTGTGCAGTTTATGGAGCAATGCGTCGACGTGCTGCGCTCTTATGGTCGAGTTGGGATGCTAATGTTGGAGAGCGCGTCTGCTGAGTGTGGAAAATGCGAAGAATATTTAGCGCTGGCAAATGAGTCGCTTCGTTCTTCAATGCAGCTTTGGTCTTGCATTGGTCTCACCCATCTTACAAAATTCAAGCACGGTTTGGAACTGGAGGACACTGTTGATGATTTGTGGGACTTCTGTGTGGACCGTGTGCGAGTGCTTCAATTGCTTGCCGAGAGCTCTACTAACTCTTCGGAAGAATTTCGAGATATCGTGTCGTCACTGCATGAGCTGAAGATGCTCGCCCCATATAAAATCTCGTACGCAAGTAGCTTACTTGATCTTATGACGAGTGTGAGCAACGGATACGGTAAAGCGGCTCGCCACGAGCTGCAAATTTCGTTCGCGGAAGAAGCGCTGCGTATTTGTGACTCACTCGAAAATGATGGGGATGAAAGCTTTCCAGAGCTAATTGCCTCATTCAAGCAGCATATGCTTGTGACTTTGTTGCAGTCTCTCTGTTCAACTGGCGATATTGAGCGAGCAGAGGCATGCTATCTTCTCATTCCAGCTAGCCGAGAGCCCAAAGTATTGCTGCTCATGACCAAGCTCTACGTTGAAAAGAAGCAGTTTGACAAAGCAAGCCGATTGCTTTTGTTGCTGTTTGAACAGGATTGCCTTGATGACTCCATTTTAGGAGCCCGCACATATGCCCAGGGTCTGTCCTTCTCCGACAAAGGATTGGACATTTATCGGGCGCTCATCGACAACTACGGGGATGCCGAATTTGCCATCAATTTGGATATTGCGTGCAGCCTTGCTTTTGATGAAAGCAAGAAATACCAAGCAATGAGTGAGCTTAAGCGTATCGGCTGTGTTCTGTTGGAAAATGAACGGTATGAATTTCCTGGTGCAGAAGCCATCCGGTAGTTGTTTGACAGTGGTTGTTTGGCACAGGGATGGAGAAGTTGTCGACGCCAAACATATTCAGCAGGTCCGACAGACCATATTTGATGCTCTTCAGCATGCACTGAATTCCAACCAGCATGAGGTATTATAGTCGTGCAATCAAGACATTGTGGTGCGGTGATCACAACTTTGAAGTAACTGATTTGGCATACCGCAGGACTGTTTGAAATGGGCAGATGCTGGTCTGGCTACAACTTCAATTCCACAGGACCAAGCAACGTACTTGAGGTAACAACTGTTGTATAGAATTTATTTTGCTTGTCTCGCAAGTAACAGCAACTTGACCTCTTTTTGCAGGATCATGTCCCGCTCGTGCCTCCAATTGGGCCGCAAATCTGAAGCACTAGAATGGGCTGAAAAGGCTTATGCTACAGAACCATCCAAGCAGTCTTTGTTTACGGTATTTCAAGTCACACTTGAAACAAAGCCAGAAGTCACAGAAGAAGAGCTAGTGCGTTTCATACAGCAGCTACAGGCCAGAGACGATTTTGAGATTGAGGACTTGCTTGCAATGGGAAAGCAAGCTAGCAATCTTGGTTCATCGAGGCAAGATCTTATGATGCATATTTTAGATGAGCTTTGTAATATTTTGCTGCAAGCCGATGACTACCCGGCAAATATTTCGATAGCAGTTGTTCTGCAAAATGCAGCGCAACTCGCATACAGCAAGTTCGCTCGGCAATGTGAGTCAAGCGACACTTCGGAAAACTCATATGGCGAAAAATTCGTGTCGTACGCTAATGCGCTGTTGCAAGTATCAAGACCGAACTCCATCGATAAGAAAGAAACTGTAGGACCTTCTTCAGTCTTTGAGTGGTTCTTCCGGATGAGGTAGGATAGTTACCACGTGATGTTGTCTTTCTGGTTACGTTAATACTAATTGGTCTCGCTAAGCTTTGACATTGCCAAAAGCACCGAAGACTCCAGATATTTTATCATAGCAGCCAATATCGCAGAAAGAAGCGATGAGCTCTATTGCGAAACATCTCCACTCAAACATCGATGTCATCAATGTTTGCTGGCAGCAGTGAGTTCTGACATAAAGAAATTTGAGACGCTGGATAAAAGTCAGCTTTTGGAGCTTCTTGAAGTGATTGATCGGCTTAGAAGTATCGATGTTGCAGATACATCGGTCGCTGGCGACGTCATGCGTTATTTGGTACCCAGCTCTGATGTTCGTATCCGGTGTGAGACTACCGCTAATTCGATTTCTTGCTGACAGGGGAAGGCGGAAATCGCGGTGAAATTGCGGCTATTCGACGCAAACACAAAAGCGATTTTTGATCTTTGCATGACCACACAGCACAGTACTCTAGAGCTCATGGAGACTGGAGGTACGCCGTTCGATGATCGCAAAGTATATTGAACTTATTCACGCATTCGTCGTCTGCAATGTAGAGTTAGTCTTATACGCAGCAAAATTCAGCGAGGCGTCTGAGGTACGAGTTGCAGGCTGCACCCAACCCAATACTTTCATCGTTTACTGACCATTCTCTTGTAATTTACAAACAGGTTCGCGATAGCTATCTGTTCCTGAGTCGACAAATATTTAATTACGGGTGTGAGCTACTTCAGTATCGTAAAGTGCACTTGGCACACTGCTAACGTATCTGATAATGTGAAGGCTTCAAATGCTGGTTCAAGCGCCCTCAATCGACTCGAGCAAGTTGTGCTATTTGCTTCGACGTCTTGTCACGCTGGCAGAGTCAAAGACGAAAGCATACGAGTGCTTTGAGCAACTGCTTCAGTTCATTTATAACATGGATGTGGAGATGTCTGAGATTGACATGGAGTGGTTTGTCGCAAAAGCGTGGAATATCGTAAGGACATTGTTCATCGCTTCACGCTCAAATCTCTTCAAAGTGGCTAATCCTTTACCTTTAGGGTGTGCTCTGCCACCGCGGAAGCGATACTGAAGATGCCCTCAAGTTTATGAAAATTGCTCAGGACGTAATGCGTACGTTTCATTCAATTTCGAGTCACTCAGATTTCCTCACTATTTCTTGTCGCGTAGAACGCAGCGAGTCACTGGTGGAAAAACTTGGTAACGGGCTCAACCATCAGTACCAGGAGCTTCTAAGAATGAGGGCCAGTTCGACGTGCGACGGATAATGGCAGTGCCAAAAGAAACAGATAGTGTTTTTGGCTTAAGCAAACCTGGCCGCAATTATGCCTCGTACACATCCGGTTGTAAGTGGTTGGACAATCCACCCTTATGCGTCTTCACAGCTTCCATGTAGGCGTGCAAAGTAGGCAATTCCATCGTCTCTACTTTCTTCAGCACCTTTGAGGCCCACTTTCGCTCTGCATACTCACAAATCTACAGTGCATAACGTCACCACTATAATCCAAGTGCAACACTAGTTTGTCATGCAATATACGCGACAAGCTTACCTCTTTGATATCGCGGCATGAAAGCTGCGGTGAAACGGCAGCCAATTGCCTAAGGTCTTCGTCTGACAGCTGCTTCGCATATCTAAGTACATGTAGAAGGAGACAGCGATATATACATTAGTTCATGGCTCGCCTCAAACCTTGTGAACAAATAAGCTTACCGAGCAAACACTGCGCGACGGGTCTTCTCGTCTGGAAGGTCGTAGCGAATTGATAGGTCGAAACGACTAATCAATGCAGCATCCAAATCTTGCTTCCTACAAACATCACAAATACACTTACAATCAACCAATCTCTGATAAGTTGCACACATAAACGACTTACCGGTTCGTTGCACACACAACCGTGGTCTTCTTGGCAGAGGCAAACCCCTCTACCTTTTGCAGTAGAACGGACAAAATTCGTCGCGAAGCCTCATGCATGGTACCACCTGATCGATCTCCAGCAAGTGCGTCAATCTTCCACAAATGTAAAAACATACGGCATCAGTACGAAGCCATAAGTCACAGTACAAAAATATTAGCAAAAGCATACCTCATCAATAAAAATAATTGCACCATCCAGTTTCTCGCACGCATCAAAGATTGCCGACATTTTCTTTTCACTATCGCCATACCACTTGGATACCACACTCTCAATTGGAATATGAATCATGGGAATTCCTGCCTGCTGTGCAATAATCCGCGCACTTAAAGTCTTGCCGGTGCCCGGAGGACCTTCAAACAGTACAGCACGGGGACGATTGCTTTCGTAGCGGCAACGAGTTTTTTGTGCAATACGCTCGTAGAGCTCTGGATTCTGAAGCGCCAGTACGACAGTGTCGTCAATTTCCAATTTCACGTTTTCGTACCCAGCCTACATGATGCGTGACACAAGAGTTGCAACAAATTGTAAGCTACTACTTCAAATACTGCTTTGCGTAACAACTACCAAGAATACCAAACTATCCCAGGTCAAGCTGTCTTCACTTTGAGTCGGCTCAAAAACGTCAATCCCAAGGCTTTGTAGCTGCTGAATTGCCTCTTCCTGTAGCCATAGCATGCACATCAGATTCTTATCATGACATAATAGTTACAAAACATAGCAATCAACCTTGCTATCAGGGGCAACAGCCGCAGTAGAAGTGCTCGGATTTCTACCGCGTCCAATAAATGCATTCTTACGGCGTTGCTCAAGATCTTGACGAAAGAAAGCGGCTACATTCGCGTACGAATAAATCTCCTTGTACGCACTAACAACAGCGTCAATCTCTCTTTGCGTCAGAAACTCATCTTTATAAAACACAAAATTTGAGTTCGCGTAACTTGAAGACGTATCCCGCAAGAAATGGAACGAGCCAGAGCCGTTCGCGTACAAATATGTCACGGAAGGTTGCTCATACGACTCTGCGACAGATTTCTTACTAGAGTTATCGAGCGGAACCGGCAGCACTTCAACAGCCTGGCGAGAACCAGGCACGGATGTCTGCTGTAATTGAAGCAGAAATCGGCCCAAGATCGACTCTAAGTCGACGAAGGACGGACATGCAAACTCAACTCGGATCGTTGCCACGCCATTAGGCGCATGGATTCTTGAAATCCCAATCTTTTTGATCGGAAAAGCCTTTGGAATCCGCGTCTCAGAGCTCTTGAGTGTCGCACGGAATTCTGATACTTGCTGTCGAATTATATCCACCGCTTCAGCATACTCAAAACGCTACAAACGCCGCAACGCAACCAAATTTTAGCCCCTTTACCACAGCAAAACACCTAATCATCATGAGAAATGCATAACCTTTTCCTGTTTCTTGTCTGGGTTCATCTCCAATTGTGCTTCATCTACATTCAAGCTCACTGCTCCAGCAAGAGCCGCAGCAGCTGCAATAATTGCGAATCTATTGGGTGCAGAGTCGCTGGAGGTTGCAGCAACATTTAAACTCCGCAGAGCTCGGCTATCATGAGCTCGTGCTAAGCACGCATCTACATTGTAGCATAGAAGGGTATCACGAGACAATGGAAGGCGCGTGGCCTGTTCTTTGCTAGCTACTATGGCGCGTGACAGAAGCTTGGCGGTTAGTCCACGCTGCATTTTTGTGACTTCTCGAATGACAGACAGAAAATGAGGTTCTCTGAATGTTGTTCCAAGACACGAAAAAATGTAGCGCAGCCATTATATGTGATATACTTGTTAAGTGCCCACTTCAATGTGACTTTATAGCAAAATAGAAATGAAACCGAGTGATATTATGACTCTATTTCTATTCGATACATCGATCAAGTGCTATTTTTACTTTAAATAAAGCCATTGTTCGAATACAGCTGAATTTAGGAGCTTTCTCGTAATCTCTGTAAATATGGTGCGACTGGCAACAGAGTCAACGCAGATCGAGGAGGCTATTGTGGCTGTGCAAAATGGCTCCATGCCTCTTCGAAAAGCTGCACGTACGTTCGACGTACCACGTACTACGCTGCAGCGTCGAGTACAACGTCGGATGCAGTGTCGAACGTCGGAAGTTTCAGGTTTTTCTGCCTTGGAGCCAGCGGCGGTGAAGCAAGAGGTTTCTACTATGGTAGCCACTGACAAGCACGTTCAAAGTGATACAAGCAGTGAAGACCATACGGAACGCAAGATGTCAAGGCTTCAGGAGGTCAATAAGATCGGATACAAGCGTTCAGCGAGTCAGTTGGAGATGCATAGTCAAGGTATCGAAACGCTTTGTATTATTATGTGAATTGTGCAAGTGTTTGATGAGAGTGGATCGTGTGGTAGGGCCACGTAAGATCATTAGTTGCAAGATTCGAATGCTGTGTACGGCTGCTGGAAGCGCGTTGGATGAACTGAGCAACGAAATGATTAAAGAGGGAAATTGCATTTACAAATTAGGATTGGGACAGTCGCCGTTTCCGATTCCGCAATGCATTGTCGATGAATTGCGGTGAGTCTTTTGTTGTTGTTAGTTTAATCCCGCAATGTTTTGTGATAACTAATGCAGGGGTTTCTTCGTATTTGGCTGCAGTGCCAATTCGCACCAGAGAGACTATTTACCAGTTGCAGGGCTACCCGAGTTGTGCGATGACATTGCTGCATGGGGAACGGATAGGCTGCACATCAAGTACTCACGAGATGATGTTTTGGTTGGCCCTGGAACGAAAGAGTTACTGTTTGTCCTGCAGACAGTGTACTATGGAGATCTGCTGCTGCCTAACCCGAGCTGTACAAGTTACGCACCACAGGCTGCGATAGCTGGAAGGTACGTGCGTGGGTGCTTATCAGAATCGTATGAGCTTGCATATTGAGCTTTATTTTGTTGCACAAAGAAATATGATGTGGCTACCAACTCATGCCGAGGACCACTTCGTCCTTCGCCCAGAAGTGCTCGAAACGCATTGCGCCAAAGACCCAGGTACATGCTGTTGAGACTTTTCTCAACCCTCATGCAACTGTCATTTGCTGACTTTGCATTATTATTGCCGGGGTTTTGTTCAGATGCTCCTCGGATTCTCATTTTAAACAGTCCATCAAATCCTACTGGTTGCGCGTACCAGGCCGACGAGGTCTGTGGTGTCGATGTCGCTTCAGTAAAATGAAGAAAGGATTAACGCTGTTTCTCGTGCTCTTCCAAACCATCATCGTTTGCCAGTTGGAGGCTCTTGCAAAGGTTGCAAGAAAGTACCGAGTTCTTGTCGTCTCAGACGAAATCTATTCGGAGCTGCATCATTTTGGCACACATCTTTCGCTTTCCAAGTATTACCCTGAAGGGACCATTGTTTCAGGAGGGTTAAGTAAGTGGTGTGGTGCCGGTGGATGGCGTATGGGCTTTTGGCTATTCCCCCCCCGGCATGGCCTGGTTGCGCAGCAGCATGCTTGTGATGGCATCTGAAACGTACACGTCAGTTGCTTCGCCCATCCAGTATGCTGCTCGAAGAGCGTTCGTTCTCGGGTACGTAACGCAATCCGTTACACTAGGTAACAAAAGCTGATGTAACGCCTGACTTTTAATCGCGGCGTTCTGTGCAGCTGTGTAGAGCTCGCCTCGTACAAGCGCAAATGCCAGAAGACGCTGCAGCTTGTCGGCCGATGGTTTGCTTACCAGCTGCAGAAGATGGACGTCGAGGTACAAGTTCCGGAGGCAGGATTCTATCTGTTCCCGTGCTTCCGACGGCATCGCAAGGCGCTCGCGTTACGAGGCATCGTCACTGACGAACAGCTGTGCGCGCAATTATTGCAGGAAACGGGTGTGGCAATCTTACCGGGCTCGGCCTTCGGTCGTGCACCGGAGGAGCTCTTTGCACGGTTAGCGGTCGTGGACTTCAAAGGCGACCTCGCGCTCTATCTGATCGATAGCATGGTAGGTAAGCTTTAATCCTGATGCAAGTAAGGATATGCGACTGAAACACTGATATTTTCTTGGTGTTTATCGTGCAGCAAGACAATCCGTCCCTTGAGGCAATTGAAGGTTTTATTCAGTCAGTCTGTCCAAATCTTGACATTGCCATTCGCAAGCTAGCAGCGTGGATTGCTGTTGCTCGGCCTTCTGCCGCGTCAGCAACAGCCAGCGCCCCAAACGCTGCATTCTAGCTGAAAGATGAAGATACGATGCGATGTATGCCAGTCGTCAAGAATATTAGTGTTCGCCTTGCCGGTGCCAACGGCGTTGATATATAACTTGCGTGGCACAGGTCCGTTAAGCATCATCCAAGTTGACACTAACAATGAAATGCAAATACAAGCATCGATAACGTGTTGGGTTTGATAAGCTTAACGCGTTATTTTAGCTCAAATTTGCATTTCAGAAATTATAATAAAAACAGTAAGCGATGGCAATTCAACGTTGTTTACATATATTAAGGTCCTTTATCTATAATACGGAAGGCTTCGATGGCGTATAAATTAGCAACGCGAATAACGCTCGATTTCTATAAAAAAAAGTCCTCTATTTCGATTTAAGGACGCACCTGATGGAATTATAGGTAACGTTAGGTCCAGGCAACATATGGAACGGATAGCAAGCGTGATAAATGGTAGTGTTGCATCATAATGAACTGGATCGTATTCTGTGGGGATCAGCGTCAATTGCCGGTCGATCTCGAACCAATGATACCATTATCTACATGCAGTTTGTAAGATTATCGTATTGATGAAGCAAGTGTCAATGGGTCGTCGTGGTCCTAACATTTTAGGTCAATGCTGTTTGTTATCTGCATCAGGCTGTCGTCGGTTCACTCGGTGTATTTTGTACTCTGGACTACGAGAAGCCGGAATCATTCCGTCTAGCAGCAGCAGCGATAACACAGCTGACATATTTTCGCAGCAGTGCTCTGGTAGGATAAAAAGCGGCAAGAGCTACCTCGTAACTTGATACAGCCTAACGTGGAACAGTTTGTTCGCTTGATGCTGTTTTTGTCTGTCTTAGTGCTATACGGCGACGTTGTTATTCCGTTTAACCGTTTTGTCAGAAACGAAGAAGCTTTGCTGTTACCCATTGTGAAGCTAGTGCTACACTGCATCTGGATGTGGAACACGGTAAGCATTATCTATGTGTATCGATGCAATATCAATGCCTGTAAATTTTTTCTGACTTCAGTTGCGACTTATAAATGTCCGCTAACGCACAGCTACGCCTCTTGTATGCAATTTTCTGGTCTGGAGCTCTTACATCGCGTAAGCAAAAGAAACGTCCAGTGTCCAGCGCGTACAAAATTCGTCGGAAAGTTTTGTAAGATGCAATGACGTCATTTACTTGTTATGATTGATCGAGCAGATCGTTGTTCGGATGAACTCTTGTATGGCGATTCACGTCTGCTTCCGGTCTTCGATCATCAGGATGCAGACTTTGCTGCGGGAATTTCTCCATCTCCTTTTCATCCGTCATAGACACCCAAGGCCTTAGCGCTCGCAGCATACGCAATATAATGTCCCATTCCATGACCAAACAGCGCTTGTCTCTGTAACCGCTTGTACATGAGTTGCTTGACGAGCTGGTCTCACTTGCATCATGACTGCTGTCCCCTGAGTGCAATGCCGTCTTCACGGGCACAGTGCTCGAGCTTGCCGCACTTTGCCCATCACTGGCTGGTTGATGAGTTGCACCATACTTCTTGATAAGACGCTGTATCGACAAAATCACCTCAAAGATAACCACTCCCCGACAACACTGCAAAGCTCTTTCGAGAGCAAGAATATAGGAGCCCATGCAATATCGTCAAACTTTGCTACTCGCTGAGAGCCTCTAGTACGTAGACTCATTGAAGTCAATCAAAAGACGCAGTATCGTTTTTTTGACCTTGGTTTCATATTGATCAGTTCTTTCATAAGTCGGATGTCAATCGCCCAACAAGCAGACGTATGTATTGATTGATAATTAACGCCTGAGCTCTTACTTTATCTACGTATTGCAACACGTGTCTTCTGCCTACTGTCTGCTTCACGTGTCGGAATGTTTTGGCCTTACATAATGCAAGCATCCTATATCTCATATAACAGTGGTCAAAACAATTTGCCTGTAGCTTTTCATACCATTCGTATGCGCAGGGGCTAGTCTTTGGACCGCATACTAGCAAGAATACATCTGCTGTAAAATAGAGGCACTACGGTCCCGAAACAAGTTCGATACTGCAACGTTATGTGTCCTGTATACTGCTAGTAGGAGACAAGTCACTTTATTTGTCTTGTTCTTATAGAAACCTTATTAGTGTTTTGGAATGTGGACATTACCCTATTCACAAGCACTTCAGCCTTTGAATGGGCTCAGATCGATTAAGGGTCTTATTGTATTGTATAAAGTACTTCAACTTGAAGCTGACAATCATTCCCCGTTGCCACTTCAGGGTCTCATTGTAATCATTTCAAATCAATCTGATTCCAAACAAATGGAGGACACTACGAGAGCATCTGATACTGACCAAGTTGATGCTCTTACTGCAGCTATAGACGTCACTACAAGCTCTCATGACTTGCCTACGGTCAACACCACACAAACTGAAGTATTTCATTCTTTAACTAGCGATGAAACGCTTTCTCTACCTCAACAACAACCGAATTGCGACGCGTCAGAGACCCCAAGTCTTGCTGCAACGCCATTCCGTGCCTCCTTAGAACCGTCAAGATCACCAGATCTACAGCGTTCTTTATCTTCCAGTAATGCGGCGTATTCACGCAGTGTGAGCTTTGGTGTTTCCCGTCGGAATCGAAGCCGAAGCGGTGGAGATGATGCATCCTCGGAGCTCGTTCTACAGCTCCAGAGACTCTGTAAACGACAGAGACAACGATCTGAGGAGCGGTCCTTTGTTAGAGACGTAGAGCGCGTGCTGTCGCTCTTGAGGGTTCAGTCACTGACGTCAGTAGATTCGGGAGTGACGTCGGCGACGTTTCCAGGTCCCGGAATGCGGCTAGAGATGCTGGGAAGTGTACAGGAGGAACATGTCACGGATACAGAGAATCGATCACGATCTTCTGCTACTAACAAGTGTGCGTTAAGTGGCATGAGCTCCAGTGATGGGCTGCATGTGTCCCGCGTGACGCTAACGCTCTCAGAAATTGATGCTCTCTTGGATTGTATTGCGGACTTGTTTGACCATCGAAACGCTGGTGTGCGTGCGTTGGCTTTTGAAGTCGTGGAGCTGTGTTTACTGCGCTTTGGGGAGAGGTTGACGCCGGACCTGAGAAGAAAGATCTTTTTACGACTAGAAACACACCCACCTGGAGACTTTTTACTACGGCAGACAGCTCTCCGTGCACTGACACAAGACGGACAGCATTTGGAACCTTTTCAAGTGGAGCTGGGCTGGTTTCTATTGCGTTTGCTGGAACATTCAGATGCCCAGCGGGATCTCTTTGGGCTCATTCAAAGTATCTTGCATCGCAGTCCTCGCGCATTGGATCGTGACAAAGTGATTGCGATTATATCGGTCATTAGCACACGGTGTTGTATGGCATGGAGTCGCGGTGATTTCGATGCTTGCCACAGTTTTGTTGCTTTTTTTCATACTTTAGCAAGTCACAACTCAGCGTATGCAGCGAGCACAACGGCGTGTTTGCGGGCGCTATGCTGTTTGGTGAATGCTGATGGTCATGAAACGTGGTCGATAATGAAGTTATTGCTCAATGGAAGCTCAGGCTTCCTTGTACTGCGGGGTCTAGTACAAGTGCTAGAGCACCCGACTGGAGCTGATTCCCCTTGGGTACTCCGAGGCGCCGTTTTTTTGTGGGCATGTCGTGCTGGGGCTCTCAGCGAGTAGCAAAGTTTGACGATATTGCATGGGCTCCTATATTGCTTGCTCTCGAAAGAGCTTTGCAGTGTTGTCGGGGAGTGGTTATCTTTGAGGTGATTTTGTCGATACAGCGTCTTATCAAGAAGTATGGTGCAACTCATCAACCAGCCAGTGATGGGCAAAGTGCGGCAAGCTCGAGCACTGTGCCCGTGAAGACGGCATTGCACTCAGGGGACAGCAGTCATGATGCAAGTGAGACCAGCTCGTCAAGCAACTCATGTACAAGCGGTTACAGAGACAAGCGCTGTTTGGTCATGGAATGGGACATTATATTGCGTATGCTGCGAGCGCTAAGGCCTTGGGTGTCTATGACGGATGAAAAGGAGATGGAGAACTTTCCACAGCAAAGTCTGCATCCTGATGATCGAAGACCGGAAGCAGACGTGAATCGCCATACAAGTGTTCATTCGAACAATGATCTATTCGATCAATCGGAGCACCATTTGTCGGTATCCATTCAACAGACGCGAATTCCTCGTGAGCTCCTAGACACCCTGCAAACCGTAGAAGACCTTGTGGAGCAGCACCGGTTTGCTGGCGATGTAGAAGAGTTCTTGAATATTCTCGAAGATTATTTACCGCATCTCAGTGAGAACTCAATGCTCTTTTTGTTGCGGCAACGTGCTGAGGCAGCTCATCCAGGATACCATATAAGCTGGTTGGCTACTTTGACAAGCGCGATGCGTACGTTTTTCTCTGGCGTTGGTTATGATGGCGATTCTTTTCTCGTGCCTAGAACAGTGCGCCTGGAGGCACTTAAGGCATTGCGAGCCAATCTGTGGACAAGCCGAAATGTCTGCGAGGATCGAGTGATTGAAGAAGTGGTGATTCCGACACTTGGTCGAGTATATGAAGATCCCGATGCGGATGTACGGTGTCGGGCCCTTGAATTTATTATAGAGGTGATGCGTCAACTGGAAAGTGTCAAGTTCGACTCTCTCCTAGACATCCTTGCCAGTGCAATGACGCTTTCGATTAACGAAGACGCTCAGCTCGTGGCAGCTTCCGGCATTGCTTCTCTTTTTTCGTCAGCATTCGACCATTTGCCACCAGCTCGCGCCGTTCGTATGTATGATCTTTTCGCCACGACAGTGGAAGCCCACCGAAGCCGTGCTGTTCGGCATATCGCGCTATCGTGTTTGCTCTATGTATGTGCAGCCCACGCAAATGATGGTCGACTGCAATGGAAGCAGCAGCAACAAGTTCGAACGTCGCGGTTTCTATTTGTATCTCGACGTGCTGCACGTGTTAATGCGTCTGGTATCCAACTGACCGCAGCTTGTGTGCCAGTTGCGCGTGCATTACGTTCTCTACTCACGCTAATCAGTGCCGAGCCTGATGCTGAGCTTTTCCGTATGGCAGTAAAAGGCATTAAAACTATGTTAGGAAATCGTGCAATTCTGGAAGATGTAGATGTAAGCGAAGTGTCAGCGAAGGTCGTGGCAAGCATTGATTACCGGGCTTTTGGTCGGGCTGCCGTTGCTGACGAAGTCGACAGACTGCTCAACGAACGAACGAATGAACGAAAGTCATCTGTCGATGATGAGATGGATCGTCGGGATCAAAAGGCACATCTGGACTGTAGAGGCACCGTCCATTTGGTGTCGCAGACCGATGCAGAACTTGTTCGCTTGATTCATGCGTCAACTAGGCCTGATAGTACTGGAGGAAGTAAGGTATCGTTATGCGCGAGTGTGCGATCAACTACAGTGTTGCTCGCCAGGAGACGGTTTCTTGACATGGGAATCGAGTTGTTGCAGCTTCTAGTTAGCTACGAGTCTGAGCTGCACGATAATGCGCTGCAAGAGCTCACGCGATGCCTCGTAGGTGCGATGAAACTACGTTTGGCTGTGGCTGAGAAAGATCTTTTTACAGGCGGTTCAGCTGCAGATGACTCAACCTCGTCATCGTCAACCCCAAACATGTTCTACCGTCAGGCTGAAACAGAATCTCAACTTGATGTCACTGACCCGTATGCTTCTGGCGCACCCCTTTGCTTCACCTCCCGTGTGTTATCGCGCTTTCATACTTCTACTTCGCATGGTAAACTCTTTCATGCGCTATCAGGGTCCATGAGCAAATCGGCGCTAGGGTCGTCGTCGTCTGCAAACATCCATATACCACTCTGTCGCCCAACTCGCGAAGATCGAGCACGATTGCAGGGTTTCTTGCGTCAACTCTTCGACTCGGAATTTAAATTGTTACACACAACGACAACGGCATTGAGTCTGCTAGCTTTGCTCGCTCCAGCCTCAGTACTAGGCCAGCTAGATCAAGTGCTCCAAAATTTGCGTGGATGTGTTACTACGATAGACGGTGACTTTCGATCTGACGCTTTTGTAGCGATGCTGGAGTTGTTGGGGACCATTACGCCTCTGCTATGCGCAAAAGAAGACAAAGGTCATTCTGCTCACAAGGCAATTATAGAGGCACTACTGCTAGGCTTTGAATACGCCAAGTCAAAGCAGCTTGCCTACCTTGCTTTTCGGCTTCTGTGTCAAGTGATTTATCAAAGCAATTTGAAGGAGCGTGTTTGCCTCGCAGCCCTCGCGATGCCAACACTCCAACAGTGTACACATCGTGCGAACAGCCTTTTGGTCGAAGCGGCTGTCGACTTCTTGATGTGCTACGCGTACTCTCAGTCGGCGTTGGCTCCATCAGCTCTCTGTACTCGACAAGAGTCGGAAAGTAAGACCATAAGTATGGATGACGATTCTCGTCAAACAAGGTCAAGGTCCTGGGTTTACAAAAGGTCTTTGATGACAATCACAACGAATTTGCGTGGGGATGCATCGCTAACAATTCGGAGAGCAAATTGCACTAGCAAATGGAAGCTTGTTACATGCCATCGTCCGCCACGTTCCTCACACTTTCCGCTCGATATGCGTAGAGAGAGCGATAACATTCTTACAAATTCTGATCGACCAAGAGAGCGACCGATGGAGATAATTGGAGCAAGAAATGCTGTCGCTCCAAAACGGCCAGCTCTCCCGGCTGAGCTCAGACCATCCTATCCAAGTCAATCACGTACATGTCATGGAAACGATTCTCAAATGTTAGCTAGCTCCGAAGACAAAGCAGCTTGCAGCTCTCACAATGATCGTGCCATAAACAGTTACACAAAAGCAATGCAAAATGAGGATCGTGGCGTAGTGGATTCGACTATGCAAAATACGTCATATCAGCAACCAGCCACAGCCACAGTATTGGCGCCGCTACCAGCGTATGATGGTATCGGCGGATCGCCGTCATACTATTGTGAAAATGCACAAGGTAGGTATACAATGTTTGACGCTGTATATATACATACATACTGCACTAATGATACTGCTGGTAACTCTTTATGTAGTTTGCCGTAAGACACAGCGAAATATGAGACTCCTGACACCGACAAATAAGCGAGGGCATTCCAGGCAAGCGGGAGGAGATGATGGGCACGAGGTTTTGTCAGGCAAACCCGTTATTCGTGCTATTCGGGAAGATGTTGAAGAATATGATGACACTGAGAATCAACAAGGAGTTGTGGAGAATGAACAATGTGGAAGCGAAATGGATGCATTTTCACTCGATAATAGCTTCAGCAATGCTCCAAGTATGCCGGCAGAAACACCAAGGATACTGCAATTTGCTAATAGTAGCTTCCCTACGACGCTCGAAGCAGCTGCCGTTGGAAGCATGCATGGGCTGTCAACATGTCTTGATGACGATCAGTACGATCCAAAGTATCTGATGACGCAACTGTTTGATCTCACCGTTGAGAATCGTCCACAGTTACTGAGTGAAGGGCCAGCACTGAAGCTAGCACTTAGCGTGCTCGATCGTACTCCAGCATATGAGACGCATAAGATTGGCTTGTTGTATGTCAGGGATGAAAAACAATCCTCTGAGACAACTATCCTAGGAAACACTGGTGGATCGTTGCGTTATTTGCAATTCTTACGTCGTCTCGGTACGTTTACTAAATTGGAAGGGCTTCCTGGATATACAGGAGGGCTTGACACTGTGAACAATAGTGATGGCAAATTTGGTCTCATCTATAAAGATTCATGTGCACAGGTAACTAGGCCTAATGCACGATTCCTTTCGACCTATGCACACAAATCTAACACGTTTTGCTGATATGTATGTACACAGATTGTGTTTCATGTTGCCACGATGATGGTGCCTGGAAGTACTCGTTCTGATAACAATCTTGCTCCAGACACATTTGCTTCAATGAAGAAGAAGCGCCATATTGGTAACGATTTTGTGCACGTGGTATTCAAGGTACGAACGAATCGTTCAACTACATGTAGACTCAAACCAACACTGAATCTCGATACCATGAATGCCTTTCCTATGATTAGGAATGTGACGAGGACTACGACATCCAGACACTATCGGGGCAATTTAATGATGTGCATATAATCATTCAACCACTCAATGATCACGAATACCGCACAGAGGTGCATGTGAAGCAAGGAATTCCACCGTTTGGACCGCTTTACGGTAAACAAATTGTCCCGAGCTCGATTGTCTCGGAAAGCGTCCGAATTACGTGTTTGAACGCCAATTTGGCATGCCAAGTGTTTCATCAGGACCTTGTGGGGTTTGGCTTGAACTGTGAGGAGCGATTGAAACAAATCAAGCAATTGGGACTTCGACTTGTCAATTCAGACGAGTGGAAAACTTGAGTCCAAAACGTTTAAGGATGGAGCAAGAAGAGATGTAAAATCGAGCATTCGTAGTATTTAGAATAAAGATCAGGTATCGTGTCGTTTGAGACTTGCCTCGGTTGTGTCACTCATGCCGTTACATTTTCATACGCAATCATCAAAACCGATGGCTGTGATTGAGTACTTGACATTATGTGACAGCAATATGGATGACGAATCCGAGTAGAGTAAACAGTTTTACTGGTAAACATGTACTATTTATACTGCAACAAGTCGTGTCTGTATTGCACAAGGTAAACAAAACAAACAATATGAAAATTTGTAATAGATCATAGATGCCTGTCTATACGACCAACCTCTTCTATCTCAACTAGATATTATGACTATCATTGTAGCTCGAATGACGTCTTCAGAGAGTCAAGATGTTGTTGTTGATGTCGTTGAAACTCGTCGAGGTTTTTCATCGCTTGCATGTAGAACGGATATGTAGATGCTGGCTTTGAATGGAGTGGAAGTTTCTGCAGGACGAGGGCGTAGTGACAGCAACGAGCGAACGGCGTCCAAACACGGAATCTTTCTGGCGCGATAGCATTGGCTACGTGAAAGATGGCAGGCCATAGACGATGGGTCGAGTCCGTAAAGATAAAATAGCTGCCGTCACTACATTCCAAGAAGAGCGACCGCAGAAACACGTACGCAGTGTCACGCAGTAGACAAAAGTTTTCCACGCACACGAACGAGAACACGTGTACCTGGGTAGCTTGTAGCGACCGACGAACATGGCTGTTCTCTTCAGCAGTCACGTTAAGGGTAATGTCACAGTACTGAAAGTTCAACGAACTCTTGTGCTTGCCAAGTTTTTCCAGCGTCTTTTCCACTGCATTAATCGCGCATTCCCAGCCTGGCTCGTTGTCGTACACGATGGTGTGAAACTTGACGTCCCAAGCTCGAAAGTATTCTCGCATGAAGACAAGTCCAAGTGTGTCATACCCTGGTCCACCACCATACAAAGCAATGTTCCAACAGTCCGGTTGCTGGGTTCCAAACAGTTCTGACCGCAGCTCACTGAGCTCTTCTGTCAAAAGCAGGTTGGGCAGATTCCCACAGCGGTTGATTTTCTGCTGGATGTAGCCACTACGAGCGTATTTATTCTCAAACGACGGTCGTTGTCCTGTGTTTGTGGACAAACAGAGACCTCTCTTGAGTTCCTTTGTCTCTGTCATTGCAGCAGGTGGCAGCAGTTCCAGTAGGAGCGGTAGGAATGAATGGCTCTCGTTGCGGATAAACGTGGTCCAGGAATGTCGGAAGGCGCGACTGCGGATACTCCAGACCGATTTTCTAGGCTGCACTTTAACTCCATCTCTGTCATTGACTTGCAACCATATACAAGTAAAAAGCCACCGTCTACTTACTAAACGAAGCTTACGGCATTCTTGCAAGGATAGAAATGATGTCACCTGTGTACCACATATGCCTTCCATTGATTGCTACACAAAATGAAGAAATGACAGACTAAATCTAAGAGTATGAGAACTACGTGAATGACACCTTTGTACAAAGTAGAGTCCTTGCAGACATTTGATACATGACGTCTTACCTACCGACGCCACAGTCATTTGTACACCACAGCAACACATTGCTCATGAGCAGCAAAAACGTAGTGAGATGGTGACAGCAGTGTACAATAGAATGACACAGGACATGTAAAGGCTGACTAATAGCTAGTGGAGCGTACGAAATGCTGCATAAGATGAACTGCCTGCGAGTCTAAGCTATTCATATATATTCTAACCGCTACTGACGACGCCTTATTTTACAAGGTGGTATGAAACTTTGTGTAGCTCAGATACTTCTTTACTTTATCGTATCAAGTGCTGAGAGGTGGAGTGTGCACAACACGCACGACAAAAGCCAGTTTAAGCAAGCAATTCATCACTAATGTCCTAGGTGATGTTGCTTACTGCTGTGTATGTTTCGTGTTTCCACAAAGTGCCTTGTAGCAACGAAAGCTTCAAGTTGCAAAGGATGTACGTTTGACCTTATCAATCCACGCATAGTATGGACTAGTTCTCTCTCCATTTGGACATTGATTGTAAGATACGTGCAACCTCAGCGTGCGCAACATAAGGTCATAAAAGGTAAGCAATTGGAATTACCGGTTTCCCGCACTTTGAAGTTTTAGTAGCAGTTACTGCGGCTGGATGAGTGTCTGTTTTATACGCAAACATTAGCGAAAATTGCCATCGAAATGAGCAAAAAAGGACAGCATTTTTATTTTGGGTCTCGTAGAAAAACCCAGTTTATCGGAGGATAAGCGTTGCAGCCATTTAGGGTATAATTAGAAAAGTTTGCCCTATGTAAACGATACATCCCACGTAAGTTAATAATCATAATTAAGACCACACAAAATAAAGTTGTAAAGTGTCGTCCAATGATGATCTAAAACTGACGCTTAGGGTAGTTATTAATAACTCTTTAAAGCTTAGAATAAATCTCATCTACCTACCCCTACTAACCCATCCTTATCAAAAAATAGCTTGTCGTCTCTGCGAACCATCCATAGTCATCATCATCATCATTAAATCCCCTAAACGATATATATTGCTCTATTACAATATGATTGAAATGACTATATCTCGTCATGATGCAACTGAATCATTATCATCATCTTCATCTCTACCTTCTTCATCATCATCTTTATCCTCCTCTTGTAATCATGAACTTGTATTACGTAATCTTCTTGATCAAGAGTCTCACGTTATTACAGCTCCATTAATCTCTGCATTGGGTAATGACACATCACTTGCATACTTTATTTCGTTTATTGCACGAGTTGATTCTGATCATATTCAGACACTTCCAGACGGTCCAGATGAGAATCAACTGGCAACTGCTCAAGATGTCGTAAAACGACGTGAAGATGAGAACCAGGACAATGTTACACTGGAATTAATGACGTCCTATCGTGCAACCATGTTGCTAACAAATGATGATACGGCTGAAGCACTGCTGACGCTCCTTGGTGACAAGAGTAAACTACTTACGCGCTGTTTGTTTCGTGTATTTCAGCGTGATGCAAAGGGAAATCTACGACATGCATGTCGGGTTATTGACCAGCTCTTGCGCTTTTATCTAGACGATGTTTATGACGTACTGGGTAAAGATGCATCGACGGTAGCGAGATATATGGGATCCATGCTACCGTATTTAGAGCACGCTCCTGTTGCTGAATTGTTTTTGACGCTAGTGTGCAAACCTCACAGTGCTGCTGTCATGCGGTTTTATACTTCAACGCCCCCGAAAAAATGGGCCTTTTTCCGAGCTTTATCCGAGTGGAAGGTTCTATTGGTCCTGGCAAATCATGTCTGTAGTACCGAGTATGGTGAGACCCATACTGTTGGAGCTGCAGACGTTTTTGTGGAATTACTCGACCGTCTTGCAGCGGACGAGAATGGACAGTTACTGTTACAGCCAGCTGCCTACTGCCCAGAGTTGCTGGAAGGATTGATATACGCAGCAGTGGAGCTGAAAGATAGCAAAAAGACAGCGCAGAGGACAGTAGGACAACGCACGGCTGCAATGAAATGCGTCTTTCGATTGCTGCAGAAAAGCACATTGGAAAAAGTGCAAGGACCGCCAACGAGTCCTTACCAGTCTTTTGGTGCTACGATCGTGAATCTTGTGCCTAATCAGTTGGGAGCTTTGCGTGAGAAAATCTATGAGCTTGTGGAACAACATCTTGGCGAACTACTGAAGTATCTCATTCAGAAATATGTGAGTCAGCAGAATATTGAGATGCCAGATGAAGAGTCTGGGAAGCCATTGCCTGAGAGTGCAGTTCGTCACACGGCATATGTGGTAAAGGTTCCTTTTACGGAATTGCGTCTGATACTTGTGGAGACACTTGTGGAAGTCATGACGCACAATCCGCGCTTAATGAGTGAATATTTTGATGCGAATGTATGGCGCGTACTGGTGACATGGTTCTTTGAGTATTCTCACAACAATTTGTATCACGCAGCTTTTTACCAGCTTGTGTTTATTGCATTACGCACAGATAACCAGCAGGCACTAGAGGTGCTCGTGAAGAAGCTTAAGTTGGCCACGTTGTTGGTAGAGCACTACCGTGCAGATGGCGATTCGACCAGCAACAAAGGTTACATTTTGCAAATTTGCAATGCTATTCGTCTACAAGCAGCTTCACAGTCACCTGATGCGTTTTTGCGCAATTTCTTGCAGTCGCATACGACATGGCGTGGATTTGAGCAGGAGCTGCGTGATCGAACCAGTTTGCTTTGCGTAAATGGGTTAGGATTCGCGGTTCCTCAAGCCGTTCGCCCTGGTTATCAGAAGGATTCATGGCAAATGCTGAACGAAGAGCAGGATGCTGGAATCGATCACGGATCTGAGTTTGCACGCTCATTAGGTTTCGTGGATGACGTTGCATGGCCGGAAGACGATGCAGTGGATGGCAACAAGAAGCGCAAGAAAAAGAAAAAAGGCAAGAGGACTTTGCACCTCCCGAACAGTAACGGTATTCATGATGTGGATGAGGCAGATAGCACCGATGATGAATTCACCAGTAAGCCTGAGGACATTGCTGCGGCAGCACTGATAGCGGCCGAGGAGGCCGAGCTAGCTGCAAATGGGTTTAGAGGCTCGAAGTTTGGTACGGCAAATGGAGCAAGTACACCAAAGAAGAAAAGCAAAAAGAAACAGCACAAGAAATAGAAGTTTGCTCGCTTTCCGATTGCTAGGAATGCTGAAGCAGGTAAGTTAGTTAGACAGAGATGGATGGTAGCGCCAGGAGAAAAATGGCAACAAGGTTTCTCGGTATGACGGATGTGCTCCGTCACAATTTCTGGTGGTGTGATGTGATGAAAACAAGTGGATATGTTTGTCATGTTGCAGTGTAGTAGTCTCATCGCCATGACCACTGTAGAGCGATTTTAGCTACATGCAGCACAGGGCTCACATCCAGGGCAACTTCACAAATGAAGGCAAGGAAAGTATCTTTGCACGAAACATGTCACGAGTTCAGTAGTATATATGATATCAGCGTAAGAAGAACACATCTCTCTTGAACGCACGCACGGACGGAAAGGTGACCTGATTTGAATGAAAAAAAACAAGCAGCAACTTGCTTAACCATCGTATTGATTGATTTTGAGAACACACTAGCTCGTGTGGTATGTTAGTAATATGCATGTAAAGATGGGTTATCTCTATTGACGTCTTCTTCTCACCTCGAGGAGAACTCTGCTTCCCTGCTTGCAAAAACAAAATAAGTGAGAAACAAACCCTACTTGCATCAAACATATCACGTTGATCACGTACCACGGGTTAATGCGATTGTCGTCCGATCCGTCGTCTTCGTCCCACGTAACGCGCAGTGATTCCCATGGTAGCATACCATGCATGTTGAATGGCAAAGATCCTGCAGTCACGCCTCCATAATACTCGCCTGGTTGGCCTTGCGGGTTGCGAAACATCATACGAAATTTTTCTCCACATTGCCACGTACGGTTCACAGCCCACGAATATCGACTTGCATCCACAACATACTCTGGCAACCGATTTTCGAGCCGCAAAATAGTCACGATTGAACCCGTTGGCAACTCCACATTCTCAGCTTCCACATTTTCTTCTTCATTCGCGATCTTATTCTCAAGGGACGACGAAGACGTGCTAACATCCGTCATAGTGGATGGTTCACCACGTGAGTCTTCGCATGCACGAATTTCTTTGCTCCACTTCTTGATTTGTCCATCCGCAACGTTTACCAAGTTGTGGGCCAATGGTGGAAGTGTTGGAAAGCGGCCTTCGCAAAAGAGCTGGCAATTGTCCCGCATAAGCCTCAGATCTGACATAAATTCAGTAGCGTTGTTGTACTTTAGCGAGCTGGCCTTTTCTACCATTGTGCCGAGATCCATAGGATGCAAGATAATCTCCTTATATTGCGGAAACTCCCGATCCGATACAGGTTCCATGAACGGGCTAGCATCGGCAAGTGTTTTCAACTTTGCCAGAACACGTAAGAACACTCTTGCTAGTCTCTGCTCTTGTGATGGAAGGGGGCATAAATGAGTGCCTGGCTTACGAATGCTTTCGTGCTGTGCTATATCTGATATTGGTTGTAACACAGCCAATGCGTAGGGATCACCTCCACCGTGGTGATATGATACCTTCTCCACCGTACAAATTGCCGTAACATTTCGAAGAGGACTATCACTCTTCTGTGTAAAGCGCTTTCTCTTGGACTTTTCATCCTCTTTCAGCGCGAAAGCGTGGCCATCTCCAAAGTACACAACAACTGTCCCTATCTCAGGGATGAAATTTCGAGTGTCATTTGGTCGCAATTTGAGCCATTCCTTTCGATTCAAGCAAATATGTAGATCAAGGAAAGCCTCCACGTTGATAAACTCTTCCAGCAGTAAGTGAAGCAAAAACACCAATTGTGCGTAAGTACACGAACCCTTCAAAGCTAATCGCCACTCATGTCGCTTTCGCTGCCATGAAGGTCGGATTGTCTCCACACCCGTATTCAAAGCTGCCACCGCGGCACTCTCCAATTCAGCAAACAAATCAAGCTGCTCATTGAATGACTTAACCGATTTCACTCGACTGTCCCATGTTTGGGCTCCTTCCCATAAAGCAGACAGCGTGTTCGTATTTGCCAAGTGATCCTTAAGACATAGCAACATCTTCCGGGCAATATCGTGCGACTTAATAACCTTGTCTGCATCGGAAATTACCATGATTTCACCCTTAGGAGCGCCGCCACGGAGAGGAAACATCTCAAGCTCAATGCTACTCTTGGCGTTCCATATGATCTCCATATTAGTGCCTCCATCTTGTTCCTCATCAAAAGCATGAACCAGTTTGTCTCTTACACCCTGCAGCTTTGTTAACAAGTCCAACTCCCGAACACCCTTGGGATTTAACCACTCCAAAATTTCCATAAGCTCAGCTTTACTACTGCAAACAACAAAATCTCCCGAATCACTACGCTCGATAAACAACCGCGGCTTCGTGTCATTCTTGAACATAAAGTAAGAGTTGTGGTACCTATCTCTTCCCAAAGGAGACTCACGAATAACAAGCAAGCTTAACTCATTCGCCATTTCTTCCGTCTGGACCTTTTTTTCTTGTTCCCATTTCTTCTCGTCCTCAACTTTTTCAGCTTGAATGTCCTCAAAAAACTTGCCTATAAACTCGTGCCGGCGCTTAATACCCTCCGAGAAAACGTTGTGTGAATTAGGATGAATACCTTGGCTGGCACAATCGCGTCTAAAAGCGTTTTCCCTTTCGCGTCGCATTCTGTCCGAATGCTTCCTTCGAGAATCCAAGTCGGCTGCGCGATTCCTATATTTCCGGTAAACAGACATTTCCTGTTCCACTTGAGATGCCATGTACGTCCGAATGCTAGAAAGCGTCAGAAACTCCAAGCATATCCACGAGAGCGCACCAATTTTGTATGCTCTAGGAAGCTCATGAAACTCAAAGCAGTACAGACCATAAACAACATCGGAATATCGATACGACTTAAGATCTTTTGCCAACGGGTCACGAAGCGTTTCTTTTACCTTCTCACACTCTTCAATCCGGCTTTCATTTGCACGAACGCGCCCAACAACAAGCCTCTCGTAATCTTGTTCAAACACATCCGACAAAGCTAACGCAGCTCGACCCACCTCCGACTCCTCACCATTATACTGTATAGCGTTGTCCCATACCAATCGAATATCTTCGGCAAACTTTTCATACCCACCGGGTCCCTCGTATCCTCCCAAATCTATCTTCTTTTTGATTGTTCCCAAATCCATCGGGTTTTTGATAATTGTCGAGTAATCTTCTAGACCCTTTGCAGTTATGTCAACAGGAGAGTTAAAAGGGGCAGAATTGTTTTGCATGTAGAGGGTTTGTCGAACGATCTCACAACCAACTAAAGGCTCCACGTGTCCAATAGATGGGTCGATTCCAAGATCCTTAGACATCAACTGGCGGAGGATTTCTTGCCATGTACCTGCATTTAACATGTCACTATAGGCACGCTCACAAGTTCCGTATGTCCTTACGCTATTCACAAATAAATCCGATACCTTGATGTTACCTTCAACAACAAGGTCATCCAGTATTGACATAAAAGACTTTTCCGATAAGATGACTTGTAAGAAAACTATGAAGATCCGGGCCAGACCAACGTGCGTCCCCTCGTCGGAACAAGCTGTAATACACTCCACAAGTGACTCCAACGACATCGACTCAAGCCCCACAAAGTCTTTGAATGTGCAAATGGTTTGCCACGCCATAATTACTTCACCCAGCAATGGTCCTTCAACGCCCTTCAAATTTGAGCAGCTCAAAGGCAGACTATTAGTGTTGACCAAGTCTCCTTCGAAAAGTCGCAAATCTTCCACTGGATACTTGTGCTCTTGCTCTTTCTGCTTTCGCTCTTCATCACGCTCGTCTTTCAAGCGCTGTCGCGCATTCTCAACCTGTTGCTTCCTTTGAAGACGCTCATTCTCTCGTTTCGTGCGACGAACTTCCCGCTCGGCCATTTCTTTTTGGTGTCTCGCTACACGCAATGTGTAATTCTCGTGTAAACGATGCAGCTGCTTGAAAAACATTGACTCAAGATACGTATCTTTGTCCGGAAACAGGTTAGAAACCTGGGCTCGAATGAAAGGGCAATTCTTCACAAGGAACCAGGCAGACTACATCAACAAACATTTTTCAACATCACTCGTGTTAGGCAAATTAAGACGCTCACAACACAAACAAATATGCTACGGCACAGCGACTGTACCACACGATATCTCCCTTGTAAAGATAGCTCAATAATCTGTTGTAGAGTAGCCCGATAAGACACCTTTTTGTTGATCGGCAACCACTCCTTGAGAACATACGCCACAAGATAGCTCGCCTCAAATAGGTGACGAACGTGCTTAAAGACGTCTCGATACGACGAATGTGGCAGCATTCCTGATAGCGGTCCTGCGATCTTGTACCAGGCGTGAGGAGTGACAACCCACAGCGTTGGGTCGCCCTCCGCGTAATCAAGGCACCAATCTGTAATTTCAGGAAGCCAAACACGTGCACGAGCATAGTCTGGTGGATGACGGAAACCACACTCCAACAAATTAAGCTTGTCGGAAGTACCCTTCGCGTTTACTTCAACAGCTTTGTCCGTTCGCATAAGCTCGACTACATCAGATGGCAAACCAGTGTTCCTCGAATCCACTCGAGTGCTCGGTCGCTTTTGCAAATTAACAACTGCAGCTCTTTTGGACCCCGAAAAGTGTTGAGCCAAATCTTTAGCCGTAACGTCTTTTGAGCTCATCTTTGACAAGTGCCGGCTCACAGTTGTTACCCGTGCTCCGCTTCTGGGACCACTTCCACCTGAAAAAGAAGAGCTTCCAGAGTCAATTTCAATATCGCTGCCACTTCCGCTTAAGCTACTCGAGGCGGACGAGAGAAGCTCACTATTATTGTCTGAAACTGCACCAGATCCAGCCCGGCCTGAACGAACGTTTTCGTCGTCAGAAGTCAAGTCACTGCCTCCACTATCAAAATCAGACTGATCGTCCCTTTGAGACAGCTGACTAGCGCAGAAAGAAGTGGAAACATTATACATGATAGAACGAGAAAAAATGCTACGTTTTCCCACGTAAGGCAATTTGATCTTGTCCTTGTCAAATTCACCGTCCCCTTGATCAATCACTTCGTCATTCACTTTCGCCCGTTTGCTGACAACTATTGAATGGTTGTAAACATTACCGGTTAGAGAAAAAAGTATAAAGAGAGATAAAATGGCACTCAGCAATTTACCTTTCGGCCTCGCTCTTGACTTGGATGCTATAGGCTTTGCAGAAGTAGACGAAAGAGAGTCTGCACGAGAGCGTTTCTTGGAGCGTGAAGGAAAAGCCGGAGATGCGAGAATGGGCTTGACCGGGAGGGGACGTTCCGCCACTGGCAAGTGCTGTACAACTGTACCAAACCCCATTATTTTCGGACGCTCGTCTTTTGGACGGTCTAGAATCTCAAGACTAATTGCTTTTCTGTGTGGCCATAACGACATGCCCAATCAGTAACATTTTACCACCTTCAACAAAACAAAGGCACTACGTACCCATTCTCGTCACAAAAGAAAAACATGTCCAAAAGCCGCAGTATATCACCTCCCTGTGCGCATGGGTCATTGAAATGAGACGGGATGTTCGACTCAATTGTTTCTTCGGGATTATTTCCAACGTGTCCAGGATCCACGAGTGACAATTCTCTTGCACCCCTAACTTCGCCTGCAGGTACAGTGAGACCCGTTGGAATCAAATTTGACGATATTGGACGGCTACTCGAAGCGAGCAAAGTCCCACGTGGCGGTTTATTCATTTGGTCTACCAGTACTGCATTCTGTCGATCAGCAACATGTTGTTCCTGACTCACAAGCTCCTTCATCTTGGTAGATCTCATATTCATAGCGGGAATTGCTTTCCTACTTGTGCTAGTCGAAGTTCGCGTCCTTTTCAATGGATTTGTCACCTGAAACTTGTCCTTCAAACGATCATCAATAGGCAACACTGTACCGCTATTCTTCGCATTGAACCCCGGCGGGAGCTTCAGCGTAACCTTCAATGACGATGGGTTTACACTACAAATTTCCTTTGTAGTCGCAGCTTTCTGTTTTGACGGTCTCGTAGTATAGACAGCCACAGGGACTGCAGTAGCCATACTGTCAGCACCGACAGGAGGAGGTGGAGGCGAGGGATCCGTCTCTGCATCCGACGAATCTGAGCTAGAACTGTCACTGAACGAACTGTTGCTTGACAGGTGCTTAGCAGGAGGCGGGAATGGTGGAGGTGGAGGCGGAGGGACGGTCGATGGTGCTGCTACCGACATATTTTTTTTCATCTTCTTCCCATTGATCAAAGACCTTTTCACCGCTGTAGACTTCGTCGTTGTCTTCTTTTTCTTCCTGTCATCACTAATACCACTGTCTTGTAGCATTTTTCCATCCATGGACGTATCTGTACGTCCTCTATGTCCCGTTGTCTTCTTCACAGAAGCTCGTGGCGTGTCTGAGTCTGATTCCAAACTCGACGAAGACGAAGAAATCACTGACGAGCTCGAACATGATGACACATCATCAGGATCCGACGATACACTTGATGAACTGCTTGATTCCATATACTTGACGCTCCTTTCCACTGACATAATGTCATCAAGTGCCATCTCTTTTCTGTCAAACACTGAGCAAAATTACCCTTGAAACCTGATGTCTCAGAGCTACAAGAGGAAACAATCCAGCTGCACACACGTCTCGTCTCGTTACTTGGTACTGTCTACTCGAGGACAATCGCACACGTCTTCGCGTCTCGCCACGTTTAAGCCGATCCGGACCTTGCTGTGTGCTCGTGCAGCCACGAAATTTTCGTGCAGAGTGATGGTCATGATCCGATTCAAGAGGGTTTCAAGTGTTATCTAGTATTTTGTATGGCACCAGGTTTTTCTCTCTGGGAAGGGACTGAGCGCTATTTAAAAATTGAATCCAAAGTGTGACACAAAATGTTATTCAATGATTGCAACACCACCATTTGTCCCACTAGAAACTAAGCAGCTGGTGCGAACTTCCTCTCGTGCACGTTCTAAAATATGCCGCTTGATATCGAGGAAAGAGTCAATGATTTCATCTTTTACAAGCTATTATGACAAGAGAATAAAAAAGGATCAAGAATCAGTCTCACAGAAGCAGGATATAATACAACACGTGTAGTCCATATACATACCAATGGACAACTATATAGAATGGCCATTATGTAATAACCGAGATCACGCTGACGCTTGTCGACAAAGTCAGCTGATAGTGACGAACCGATATACTTTTTGCTAGGTAAATACGGAAACATGAATGCACGTGACGGATACTTTTCACGCAACTGCATGTACACAATCGACATTAGTATAGGTTAGTTTCATGCAATGAGACGCCTTGTTCCATTAATGAATGGTTAGTTAGTACCAGTATGTCAATTGCACAAAACTCGCGATAGCGACGAGTGACGTCCCAAATCTACAATGCATTAATCAATTTAAATGACGTAATGTATACATTATAAGTATAAAACCATCGCATTGCAACCTCTGGCTTCCCATTACGTTCAATCCACGAGCAACGTAGAATATATTCCTAAGACCGACCCCATTGTCTGGATTAGAGCAGCAAAAAAGAGAACCTTATGGAAGAGATCAAGTAGTTGACTGACCGTATAAAACTTGCCACAGTCAAGATCCAAAGACTCTTGACTGCCCATGACTTCGACGCAAAAATCGCCTTGCAAGTTTGAGCTGCTGCTTTGTCGCTGATGGGGCGATGACATGTTTAATAATGATGGAAAAGAATGTATGTACAACCTATGAAAACGCATTTTGTGACATTATGATACGTCTATGATGAGATAGTTTCGCAAATAGGCCGTTTATCGTCTTAGAGATGAAGCTGATTGATCGTTCGTTAATAGCCTTTATATTGTTTACGAATCTTCCTACGAGTATCATACACTTGAAGAAGACTAACGTAGAACAGCCGTTCTCCATACATCCGCATACATTCTTAAAGCTACTAGTCAACGTTACGGGGTAGGACAAAGCAACAAACACATTTGTATTGATGAATCTGCTGCCTCGTCTGGTTGCCTCTTCCAAATGACATAAGTCTACTACTTTGCCATCGCTAAGGTATCAAATGCACCACATTGCTTCACACACATGCATCGAAATAAACCACATAAACTACCTAGTGTCGGAATCGCTGCAAGATGTAAAATATATATCAGTTGTTGTGACGCTTGTACTGCCTCATGATCTAACGAATCATAGCCATTTCCACCCGCGAGAGCACGCTATTGAGCAAATGAAGCAATGCAATTGACGTCCATAGTCTCCAACAACGCCAAGAAAATGGATCATCAAAGAGTAGTATCAGTTGCATTCAATTCAATCTTTGACGGCACCATCAAAGCGTTTACAGAAAGCATGATTCCAGATAATTGTTGCAAACGGATTTTCACAGCAACAGCTTCAATAATCGAGGTTGCAGTCAAGCCAAGACTTATGCTTGTAAAAGTCAATCATGACCCTCTTGTACAGCAACATCTCGGCGTAGCGTATTGCTTTTGATGGTGTTTACTTGGGTATACATCCGTTCCATGGAAAATCGCTTTCAAACAGCCGTGAGTGAATAATCCATACTCTTGTCTGATCACCACTTCGTCGAATGCCACAAATTTTGCAGTAATGATTGGCTCTAGACCTGATCATTCCCTCAGCATCATGCATGTAATAATTCATTCATTTCTGACCACACACGTCTATGATAACAGTCGCGCGTCAATCTTGTGGTACCACAGCGTTTTAAGATTTTTACGTCCAATAATTTTTACAATAGTTTTTACATCCTCTCATTCATTGGCCAAAATTGTCGAGTGTACTCAATTTTGTTCTGTGGGCCAAATTTCTGTAATAGCAACCAAAGGCGCTCCAGGTCCGTTCATTCTACATCTGTGTGCGTACAAGTGAGTGACCAACACTCTTGCTTTCGAGTCCATTTTTACCTCATAATGTGGACGATCGCTAAGCGCTCCACGATGATGGCCAGGGCCAAGGCTTGTCGCAAGTTCTCCAACACGGCTGCTGCTGTTGCTGAGACTGGCAAGGATCGTCTTGTGCTCTTTGACACGACGCTCCGTGACGGTGAGCAATCACCCGGTGCGACGTTAAATTTAAAGGAGAAACTGGATATTGCACGCAGTCTCAGTATCTTGGGCGTCGATGTGTGCGAGGCGGGTTTCCCCGTCTCATCGCCTGGTGACTTTGACGCTGTCTCGGCCATTGCAAAGGAGATTGGTCCGCTCACGGCAAACCGTGTCACAGGCGAGCCCATGGTTGTTTGCGGCCTTGCACGCGCTATGGAGAAGGACGTTCAATGCTGTTATGATGCGGTTAAACACGCACCTAAGCACCGTATTCACACGTTTCTAGCCACATCTGATATCCACCTCAAGTACAAGTTAAAGATCTCGCGTGATGAGTGCATCCGTCGTGCTGTCGATGCCGTCAAATTTGCCAAGAGCTTAACTTCCGATGTTCAGTTCTCCACGGAGGACGCTGGACGCAGTGATCCTGACTTTTTATGTGAGGTCTTAGCGGAGGTCATCAACGCCGGCGCTACGACCCTCAACATTCCTGACACGGTGGGATACACGGTTCCTCGAGAGTACGGGTCTCTTTTTCGCTACCTAATCGACAACACAAAGGGAAGTGATAAGGCCGTTTTTTCTACGCATTGTCACAATGATTTGGGTTTGGCGACGGCCAACACGCTGTTTGGTGTGCAGGGTGGAGCACGTCAGGCCGAAGTCACGATTAATGGTATTGGCGAGCGTGCTGGTAATACAGCCCTGGAGGAGATCGTGATGGCGCTAAAGACGCGCCCGCAGCATTTTCCGGTGTACACGAGCGTAGACTCGACCCAAATAACGCGTTGCAGTCGCATGGTGAGCCACTACACTGGCATGTCTATTCAGCCGAACAAGGCTATTGTAGGAGCTAATGCATTCGCTCATGAGTCCGGTATCCATCAGGATGGTGTGCTGAAGCATCAGGCCACCTATGAGATCATGCTTCCGGAGTCTATTGGTTTGAGTGAGAATAAGATGGTACTTGGAAAGCACTCTGGCCGCCATGCGTACAGCAAACGTCTCCAGCAGCTCGGCTACACTGATTTTACACCAGAGGAGCTTGACTACTATGTCGAGAAGTTTAAGATTCTGGCTGACGAGAAGAAGACGGTTACGGACGCTGACATGGAGGCGATTGTCTCGGATGAGCTGTTCAAGCCAGAGGCGTTTTGGACGCTGCAGTCGGTTCACGTTACTGCTGGTAACCTGGTCAAGCCCACGGCTACTGTTACGCTTGCGTACAAGGACGGCCAGGAAGTCAGTGAGGCTGCTATGGGTACCGGTCCGATCGACGCCATTTATGTTGCCATCAAGCGTGCAACGGGCATGAAGAATATCAAGCTGAACGACTTTACCGTGGAGAGTGTGACGGATGGTACGTTTGCTTTGGGCGAGGTGACTGTCCGGGTGCAAGAGGAGAAGAATGAGGCAGAAAAGACGAAGGACGAAAAGCGCGTGAACGCGCAGACGGGTGTCGCGCGTGATTGTCATTTTGTTGGCCACGGTGCTAACACGGATATTCTGGTGGCATCGGCAACCGCCTATGTCAATGCAGTCAACCGCATGATGGCGTCGCAGGCACGTGCTGCTGCCGAGACTTTAGTAGACGTCTAAGATTACGAGGATATAACATCCTACTAGCGATGGCCTGCCGCGAGTGATTGATGGTGATCTTAGTGCGGATATATCGTTGGCGACTGATACCATCGAGTGGATATCGCGATTGTGGCGACGAGCGCCGTGCACATGTATTATCTAACCGGTGTGAAATGCACTAGCAGAATGAACAGCAAATATATAGCATCTGCAGCCAAGAGCGGTGTTGATACCCAACTTGTTGCTTACACTATCGCTACGTATAATACATTTTTACTTAGTCGTGAATCGTTACGACAGCAAATGCTTTTGTTTCTCCATTGTATCGTTACGCATGTGATCAAACGCTCATTAGAGACGCCGTCTCCATCGTAAGCCATCGCAAAAGCAGGAGCGCATTGCCGATGAGACGCTTATCGTCACAGTTTGGCAAGCAATAGCAGCAGCGAGGTGACCTATTTGTCTCACTGTCATGGAAAAATTTTCAATGATCTTTCTCTTCGAAATGATTTGTGTCTGTATACCCACAGAAACTATGCAAGCTTCGTGATTCACAGCTTTAAGCTACGCCGGTGGGCCCATCGCCTCAACAGCAGCAATTCGCTACAAGCGACCAGTTATCTTGACCGCTTCAAGTCTTGTGTGATACTCCGAACATCAGCCATGCCTTGTACCCTTCCTTACTTCTGTTGCCGCTGCCAGCTTGTCTTCAATTCGTAGTTTTCTTACGTGAACATTTACCTAGTCATATGCTCGCACCTCATCTCCATACAACCTACATCTTCATTCTCTAGCTACTTATCTCTATTTCCTGTTGCTAATGATAAAATAGGCTTCATAATTGCTGAAATATCCAATAAAAAAAACTGTCGCATGCTCAATATTCTACGAGGTATGAGAAAGCACTAATTAAAGGCTGTTAATAGATAGGTTTTATCGTGTAATATACCGATATTTTGCCTGTCGAAGATCAGACAGGTACAGTTTATTGTTACTAATGAATTGTATGGAAGGTTAAGACTTGATATAAAAATAGGATTTTCCAAGTCAAAAAACATCATACTGCACTTAATATTGTAGCTAATATTTAATGCAAGAGAATTCTGTAAATATTAGTTTCTTATGACAGATGATAGAAAAAAAACACAACCCATGATAGAAAAACAGCGTTGAAATACAACTAACTGGCATGTATTATTATTATTAATACTCCATTACGATTAGACCAGTATTACTGTTTGTATCAGAAAAAGAAGCAATGATGACTCGGTCAGAATTGTCGGTAAGGGGTAGGGCAAAAACCTCATACGCACAGCTTAACGTTCTCATATTCCTTCCGGCTCTGAATAGGCATATTAGGTCCATCTTTTTTCGTGAGAAATTGACGGACAATAAATAATCACGCAATGCGTGTCGAGTTTGCGGTACCGTCTCCATCCGACATTTCAGCGGATTATCGACTAGATATGAGTACGGGTCAAATACCTCCTTTTTCTTCTAACAGACAGCGTTCACGCATTGACAACACAACCATCATCATCATCTCACCCACCGTCGCACAAGACTTTACGTCGAGGTCATGCACTCAATGGCATGCTTAACGAAGAAGAACAGCGTAATATAATTTCGTTACGATATCGAGCCGATAGGTACGCGATACATTTGCATCAAGTTTCAAGACGTAAAAAAACCGGTTTTTATAGTCTTACGTTTGGTCCCACGAATGATCATTTTGTGATGATATTGGTATTATTGACATGATCAAATTGTGTATTGGTATTCTTTTTGATAGTATGGCCGATTCCGTAGCTTCCGATACGAAATCAGATGCAGAAGCGAAGGTTTGGAACGTCTTTGAGCAAGTGTTTTGTTTTCTGAAGGGCATGACGATTTACCAGACACGACGACGTCTGAAGTTTACAATTGTATCACAAACAGTCATCAATTCGTTGCGGATTTTCCCTATTATTCTTGGTCTGAGTTTTCAAGCTACTTTGCCCGTTCTCATTCTCTACGTGACACTTGTATTGGGCTGGCATGGGACTAAGTTTCTTGTGCCCAAGTTTTTACTCAGTTATAAAATTGGTATGCAGCTTACGCTGCTTGTGGACGTCATTTGGTATTATAAAGGCTACAATGGCAAGCTCAATAGTGTTAGCAGTGGTACTTCTGTACTCATGCAGGGGTTTTTCTCTATTTTATTGACGATGCTCAATATTATGGGCTTCATGTATGGCTGGAAGTTACGACGGATTGTTAAGGCGGTACAGAATCAACGAGAATGTGATCGTGCTGCTCTTGCCACGATGATGCCGTCTCCACAGGGGGCGAATTCACTGCACCAGACCATGTCAATCAACCCGTCGGTCGGTGAGATGGATGAAAGACCGTCGGCACGTCGAAAGTTGTTGGTAGGTCCAGGGATTCCAAACAGGAGGTTGCGATGTAAACAGTCTGGAGTCTCGGCGACGTTGCCGAACGCGTTAAAAAGTAAGACGCAGCGGAGGAAGGAGGCGGATGCTGAGGAAGAAGCACCTGTATTTTGCTCCAACCTCATTATTACGAGCAAGTATACATACTACAATTTTCTGTTTGTCTTCCTCAAGATGCAGTTCAGTCGACTGGCAAACTTGTACACGACCATCGTGGTGGCATTGTGTTTCTTTGACTTTTCGCCAGTGAGTCCCATAGCTAGTCTGACGCCACTTTTGATCGTGTTTGCGACGTCTGCGCTTAAGGACGTGAGCGAGGATCTTCGCCGGCAGAAGGGGGATGCCAAGGTGAATTCGAGACCGGCGCACATCGCTCGCTGCGATGCGACGGGAGAGGTGAGGCATATCAATGGCATTTGGCAAGACATTGAAGTGGGTGATGTTTTGGTATTGAAAGACGGCGATCAGGTTCCTGCGGACTGTATTTTGCTGGCCACAAGCCGGCCGGACGGCCGATGCTATGTAGAGACAGCCAATTTGGATGGCGAAACTAATCTGAAGATTCGTCAGGTAGCCAGTTGCACAAAGCACTTTCTTACTGCTGAAGAGATTTTGGAACGCCACGAGATTGAGGTGGAGTGTGATGTGCCGAACAAGGATTTGTTTTATTTTGATGGTGTGTTGAAGCTCAAGCAAATTGCGGGCGAGACTGTTGCGAGTAGTACCAAAGAGGATCTGGAAACTAGCTTGACTATGGATAACTTGATATTACGTGGCAGTGACAGCCGCAATGCCGAGTGGACGCTTGGGCTTGTGATTTACACAGGCAAAGAGACGAAGATACAGATGAACTCGGTTGTTGTACCGCTTAAGCGTAGTTTTGTGGAGAAGACCTTGGATACGATGTTTGTGCTGGTGTTGATGTTACTTTTTGGGATTTCGATTTCTTGCACGTTAGGCAACAACAATTGGAACTTGGACCTAGCCGATGATGCGACGCCGTGGTACATCCGGGAAGAATCGAACGGCTACATTTTTTTGAGTTACGTGATTTTGTTTAACAATTTGATTCCGCTTTCTATGTATGTGACGATGGAAGGTGTGCGTTTTGTTCACGCGCGCTACATCGAAAACGACCTGGAACTATATAACGCCAAGACGGATACACCCGCACAAGTTCGCAACAGCAACATTAATGAAGATCTTGGACAGATCCAGTATATTTTCTCCGACAAGACGGGTACGCTCACGTGTAACGAAATGATCTTTGCAAAGTGTACGATCGCGGGACTGCGCTACAATGACATTGAGGTAGACATGGAGAAACAAGGCAGACCTGGTACCAAGTTCAACGACGGTCGACTACTAGCTCGTTTGAACTCCAACCACTCTACAAAAAAGGAGATTCATGATTTTCTGTTACTGCTGACAATCTGCAACACTGTGATTCCAGAGACCAGCATGCCAATGTCACCTACATCAATTAGCGACTCGTGCTCGACTCAAACTCCAACTATTAAATACAATGCGTCGTCTCCCGATGAAGAGGCGCTTGTTTTGGCTGCTGCAGACTTGGGTTATGTGCTGTCTTCACGTGACGGTCCAATATGCAACACTGTTATTCAAGGCAAACCGATGTCGTTCAAAATATTGAATGTACTCGAATTTAATAGTGATCGGAAACGCATGTCGGTAATTGTGCGATTCCCCGACGATAGTATTGTGCTTTACTGTAAGGGCGCGGATGACGTAATTTTCGATTTGCTGTCGAAATCGCAGCCACAGGGTGTAGCGCACGTGACACGCGGTCATCTCCAGGAGTATGCATCCGAGGGTCTTCGAACTTTGACAACAGCTGTACGTCACCTTACGCAGGAGGAATATGACCAATGGAGCCAATTGTACCGCCAAGCGGAATTTTCGATGGATGGACGCGCCGCCAAGATTGCCAAGGTTTCGGCCATTATTGAGGCTGAGCTGACACTGCTCGGTGCGACAGCCATCGAAGACCGATTGCAGGATGGCGTAGAGGAGTCTATTTGTGCGCTGCGCAAAGCGGGCATTAAATTCTGGGTGCTCACGGGTGATAAAAAGGAGACCGCGCTAAGCATTGGCATGTCGTCGCACGTGATTGATGATAACATGGATGTGATCGTACTGGGGCAGCGTGACAAGGGATCGCTGCGCACAAAATTGGAGGAGCTGTACGTCGACCTTGTTGAGGACCAATGGGGATCCGATGAGACCTCATCGGCGGTTAGTGTACTCTGGGAAGCTTTGAGGCGAGCCATTATGTACGTGTGGGATTTGATTAAGTTGGCTTTTGTGGGACGGAACGAAGAAGCAGAGGCTCGAAAAAAGAGGAGACGCCATCCACGTCGGGAGCATACCAGTGCGGATACATTGACTGATGGCCCTGCGCACTACGATGAGGTGTATCCGGCTCTTCCAAACCCCGACATATCTGAGAACAGTTGTGACCGAGATTTATGTGACCACGACTTTGAGCCAAAAATTGATATAACAACAGGAGGTACTGGAAGCATGAGCAGCGGAGATTACATTGACGAGGAGCTGGAGTTTGCCATGGTGATCGATGGTAGGACGCTTGCGCTGGTGCTGGATGACGACATCAAGTATCTTTTCTTAGCAGTAGCTACGCAGTGCAAATCAGTGATCTGTTGTCGCTGCTCACCCGCTCAAAAAGCGTCGGTGGTGAAACTTGTGACGGAGCCCACACTCATGTTTTCTCCAGGCAATATTACGCTTGCCATTGGCGACGGTGCTAACGATGTGCCGATGATTCAGGCCGCTAACGTGGGCGTCGGTATTAGTGGCAAAGAGGGCCGTCAAGCTGTTTTGTCGAGCGACTATTCGATTGCCGAATTTCAATATTTGAAACGCCTGCTTTTGGTTCATGGCAACTACAGCTACAAGAGGATATCCAAGCTTATCTTGTTTTCATTTATGAAAAATGTGGCATTATCGTTGTCAAATTTCTTTTTGGCACTGGAGACAATGTACAGCGGTCTGCTGATGTATTTCAGCATCTTTTTCACGCTTTATAACGCGCTTTTTACGACAATTCCTATTGTAGTTATTGCCATGTACAACCAGGACGTGTCTCCTGCAGTCCTGATGCAGTACCCGACATTGTACGTAAACGGTCTAAAAAATCGATCGTTTAACTGGTTGTCCTTTTTCGGCTGGTGTGTGCTAGGCACGTGGCATGCTTACGTGGTGTACGCGGTTCCGTTCTTCACAAACGGTTCCGTTGTTTGGTACTTATCAAGTGATTCGTCGAAGCTCTTATTCGACAAGCGCGATTTGGGACTTTGGGCGAACGGTGTTGCATCGTACACGTACTTGATCACAGCTTCGACGGTGCAAGTGTCGCTTATGACGAGCAACTGGACATGGACAAACGCCATTTCAACTGTGGCAACTCTAATATTCTACTATCTGTTTACAGCATTCTTCTGTGCTGTATTTGGGTGGACCAAGACTGATTTTTACGACACAGAGGTTGGTTTTGGTATCGTAAACCAACTTGTTCGCGAAGCGTGGTTTTGGCTTGGCCTCCTGCTGTCAGTTATAGTTGCCGTATTACCGAACTACATTGCTAAAGCTGGACGAGTATTATTCTATCCGGAGCCATCTCACCTGATGCGTGAGTGGAACCGTCTGGCCAAGGGTGAAGACGCTGCCGTCGTGGTGGACTCACCACGACTTGTACGTCGCCACACGGGTTTTGCATTCTCACACTGCCCTGGTGAGACAGAGATGGCGCTGGGGGCATACCGGGGCAGCAATAGACGAGACCCGTCTGGATCAAGTCACATATCGGAGCCGTCAGACGGTGGCGTCCGTGCGCAATCGCTGTCTTCGTCTACCGCAGACGGATCGTCGCCATCTCCCAAGGCATTACACTAGTCGGCCACTGTATTAGTAGGTTGAAGAGGTCGTGTGCACGAAGTAAACGTGACCCTACACTGCGTAGAAATTGTGTAGGGAAGAAGATGCTTCTGCATTACAAGCCGCTAATTAAGGACGAGCGCGTGTACCAACCAACCTATTTATTTCTCTTGTCTGTCAGCATGTTATTAGAAGATTTGATCAAGTGGAAGTTAGTTTATTCGATAGGTGCGAGTCGATACGATGTACTCTTTGTTGTGTCAGGTGGGTGCAGCGAGAAAGCAGCTTGATTAGCGTTGCTAACATGCACCAAGTGAAAGCCATGACATGCGACTACGAATGGCAACGCACTATGCAATCGACCTGGTTGAAGTGTGCTGTTGCGAGAACTAGACTGCTTCGTCGACAAAGTTATCTCTCGTTCGACGTGACGTGAAGCGGAGTTCGTTCATGCTTGGTATGTAAACTCGTCGCAATAGTTGTTGCAAGCCGCTATAGTTGATTAGAGGCATGCTGCGACTGAGACTTACACGTGCTCCGAGAGCACGATGCTGAAGCATCGAATAAGGCATAGGAAAGGGATCACGACAAAAAGATGCGTGTTATGGTACGAAGTTGCACTGTCCTGAGCGCAAAACCCGTGGTCTCGGGTGGAGCTGGAGGAAGACAAGGTATAGTTGGTATTTGCGGTGATCAGAAGTATCAATCAGCAATGGTAGTGTTGCAAAATTGAACGGGGCGATCTTGTCAACGCCCAACACAATCAAGCTACATGTTCCATAGGGATGCATGTCACGACCCGATCCATAGCCTCAAGTAGCAGCACGAAGCGGTTGACTGGGCTTGAGCCGTCAAAATGGTAGCTATCCGCGATTGACACGATACTTTTCATTCTTCCATTTTTCGGGTTCTTAGCAATGGCTATGAAGAGGCACAATGATATGACAGCACGAAACTAGTGTGTCTAATTGGATGGGTGAACAAATCACCAGCTATATGCTACGTATGCCGTTGAATGCATCCGAATATTGTAAAGACTATCGGAACTCAGTGATCACTCGGATATTTTGCAGTAGCATTCGACGAAAGCATAGTACAATGCAAGCTTAATATTCTTGTTCATCCGTTTGTCTTGAATGACGTCCGCTGTGATACTTGAGCTAGACAGCTTGTTGTTGTCGTTAAGAAGTGAACTCTGTTGTTTGAGTTTGAAAACATGAGCAACAAGACCATAGTGAGAGTCAGTGCTGTTGGAATAGCAATTGACCGCTGACAAGGAGGTCCTTACCACTTTGGTGCAGCGGCGTAGCAATAGGCGCCTTCACTGATGCATTGTATCTCGTGAAGTGGGTTTACAGTACGGCAAAGATTGCGAGACGCTAGTGAGAACGAAGTCTAAAAGATTAAGTAGCTATTGAGCTTTGAAACAACGAATAAGTGTCGATTGCTATGTAGCTTGTTAGCACCTGTACTCTCACTTTATAAAGGTTTGCTGCATCCTGACTTGTTGGCAATTGTACGATAAGAAATCAATGACCTGTCAGCTGGAGGTTTATACAAACACAAATGGACTTGATTTTATGAGTCTGGAGAAGCTTTTCTTTCCTTCAAAGCACGCACAAAACTGTCAAGTTTGCAAAATTTCATAGCTCACGACAACATTGCAAGCTTTTTTTTCGGACACCTGTTCGCCTTCAACTATCTCAATTTTGCACACAAACATCAATCGAATCTGACCAAAACTGGCAGGAAAGCATTTACATCTATCGACACACACTTTGCATCGTCTTGCAGCTCGTTCTTGCGCTTGAAGAGGCAACGTAGTGAGCTCAAGATACACCGAAAGTATTTCTGATAGTTACATCCTCCCGCATGGCTGTGCGAGATGCAAGCTGATTCAACCTCTTCCTTGCTTCAGAGTGCACGCAACATTGCCATGTTACCGTCAAACATCTTTAGTGCACAAACAACAACGTGGCAATGTCAAGAGTGACTTGACATGTTCACTTCCAAGTTGTAGGACTTAACATGCGTGAACGACCTGCAGTTGGAATACAAGCAGGGTCACGTTGACCATTCGTCGCTTATAATGTTGCAGTCTGCAACATTATACACGGCAAAGAAAGACTACAGCCTGACGCCAGTATGGTCACGTTGATGATAACACTGGCGGCAACTACCGATCAACGAAATTTTGGCAAATGTCTCCAGCAACATCTTATCAAGTCGTAAGTGCATATAAATGACATCGAAAGAATGCTCTTTCGTCACCTGGTACTCTCTCGCGCACTTGTATCTGACAATAAGAATGGATCGATTTGCTTTAGTTTGTATGCGTCACTACGAAGTGCAGTGAAGATAGAAGACATTTCATAAAACACTTTCGTTACCAAGTTGTCGAACAGATGAACAAAATGAATCGACTTTGGTTTGTAAGAACAATGACATGGTCAAGGTCACACTAGATGCAAACTACTTCTACCATCATATCGACCGTTCTTCTGTATTGGACTTGTTTCAATCCTCACGGCACGGCTGTGTCTGACTCTGTAGTGCGTATTCAGTGCGATAGCAGTCCTGACTTATTTGTTAATTTAGTGGCACTGAAAACATGAAGGTTCGGAGGATCATAAGAGAGCTCGCTTGACACAGACTGGTTTATTTCTCAAGTCTTGTACGATACTAGTGCATAATACATGTTTGGTTGTTATTAAAGCGTTAGTATCTGATACAGGAAGGAAGGAAGGAGATAGCGGAAGACCCATGTCGAATTGAAAAACGAGCCATGGCTGATACAGGCTAGTACTGTTATGACGATGTAATTGGTGAGACAATGTCACGAAAAAACAATACAGAATGATAATAAATTTGGTCTGTCACGTTGTTGTTGACGCAAACTGACACCTTTGTATAGTACAAAGTCGATCAGGTTACAAGTTGGTATTAGTTTTTTATCAGCAGCAAAGCCTCATATTTTGACAAAAATCAGCTTGCTGAGATAGAAAGAGTTTGAAAATGTAATGGGTAATCAGTTCGTGGCTGTGCATCATCGAGGTTTTTGTCCAATATGATTGGAACGACGATCTTGGTCTGAAAAGCGTGTCGCACAGCCTCAAATTGAGCCAATTTGCCATAGACGATAGATAGATCCAGCGTTTAAGGTGATAAGGGGGAGAACAATGAACGAGGGTAAAATGACTGGAATGAAACCGTAACGGACATTACGCTTGCCTTCTTTTGTTACGTAGTGGAAATATAGCGGACGCAATACTGTGCTGTGCCGAGTGTATTAGGCTTGCTGAATATCTGAAACATGTACTAAGTCAACATGCTGCTGAACGGATTGTAGCAATGTACAACAGTCTGCTGCAACGTGGAAGACGAGATATGATGAGTGAGTATGGATGGATAGCTCAGCACGATCGCAATGGGTCTTCTTACACCTTGACTCTTGTTTCAGTAATACAATACATAAACGCAACAGAACTAGCAAGTTACACTTGTCTACCGAAACATAATGCATTTCCTTCATCACTAGGTACCGCAGTGCACACTGGCTGGATGTAAAAGCTCGTCGATTGCAATGTGCACTTTATACAACTTGGTAGCGTGAGGACAGGCATACAAACAGGTTTGTACTGGCGCCAGTATAGACACCCCAAAATATCGTATCTCATGTATCTTGCTGCGTGGCCGTGACACATTTAATTTCGTGGCAACGTTTCATTCCTGTCAGTTCCGGGCTTATTACTATCCTCGTTTGTCAGGATGTGTTCGCCAGATACCGAGACAGTTTGCTACTTGCTTTAAATATGAGTTCAGTCGCTTTTGCTCTTTCACCGCTACTTAAGGAGGCAACATCAGATGATGCTTTTGTCTTGTCTTGGACAGCATGCAAACACTCGTAGCTTCAAAACAAGGACAAGGCGCTGTGTTGCTCGCACAGCCCGCAACTGTTGCTCGCAATCGCTTTTCCAATCATAATGGCACTGACATACTTTACTCGTGGTTGTAAAACTGATTCGCACTACAGAAATCAGGCACAACAGTCGGCACAGCAAAACGCCAGCGTGAATTTCACCACCACCATAGTGCCGTGGTCACGTCTTGAATCAAGAACATTTAGTGCTGGAAGATATGTGACGATTTAGCAGTAAATTTCATAACGCCGAGCCTGAAAACCTTCTAGACTATCTTGTATCGGTCTGGCGTTATACGCCAAACCAGCGAAGGCCGCACTAGCGTCGAGCGTAAATCATCTTCGGCGTCTCCTCTCCAGCCGGCTCTATCAAAAAACGCGACGTCTCGCTCGTCCGTCAAGTTGACGCTTGCCAGTCAAAAGTCGAAATTTGTTCTTTCAAGCTGAATGTCGAAAAATTTGCTGCTGTATCTGGTAAGTCATCATTCCACTTGTAAGTCGACACAGCGAAACCATCTCAGGGCGAGTAAGATACTAGTGCTAACACGTTGAAGAGGCCGTCGAGTAGCTCTATCGCTAGTAACTTGTTCACTTTTCAATTTATCACCCTCTACACACAAGCTTCTACTCCTTCTTATCTCAAAACCAGAATCATGCAGACAACAGACGATGAGTTTAGTGCACTCAAGTGCCGCTACGCCAGCAAGCGCTGCTGGAACCTCCGTGCCATTAAACGCAACGGGGAGCGCCACAATTTATGCGAAATGCATCGCCAAAAGGCTAACAGTAACCAGCGTCGTCTAGACAAGAAGCGTAAAGCGGGACAGGCTGCTCTTGGTCTACCTACCCACTTACCACTGCACGCCAGTGCAGACCTGGAACGTCGTATGCGCATGCGCGCCTCCATTGCGTTCAAGCTAGAGCAAGAGTTAGGTGTCGTGCCCCTCACGACGCAGTACATCCGACCACCATTGCGAGCCACTTCGTCCCTTATGGAGCTACAGAGAGCAGCAGGTCTTGTGGCTATGGGAAATGCACACAACAGTCATGGGACGTATGGGAACGAAATGGGCTCGTGGCGTGAGTCAAGTCGGTTGTCACCTGTTGCGTGGATGGACGCAGCGTATCCAAGAAGTCCTCGTGCTATGCTTCGTGTAGCAGCAATGGCAAAGATGGCACCATCTTCCGAGTCCCGTGGATTTACTCATTGCAAGTCTTTAACGCCTCCAAAGGTAGATCCTATGGATACAGCTCCATCCATGCTACTACCGCCAATTGCTACAGCAATGGCAAGATCGGGAGAAGGATTAATGAGTACTGTAACATTGCAGCGTTCATGGCAACCGGATGTCAGGCTAGCTCCAACACTTTCTACTCGTGCCAACATTTAGACAATAACAATAACAACAAGAAGAAGAAGAAGAGAGTGATCAATTATGGCCGTTACATCTAAGTAGAACAAGTTTGTCCTAGTTCATAAAACGTGAGACTTATTTCTACTGGTTCCAAGGTAGAAAGCAAATGCTACAGAATCGTTTGATTAGTAATAAAAGAGTAGAAAGAGTGATCACGTAACGTTCGCGACAAGTTCTTGTTTACTAGAAGAGACACTCAACACGCTATTTTTTGTGCGTGCCATAGTCAAACGAAGTGATTCATTCTTTCATTATAACAGTAATAAGTACTGTCAAACGCCTGGATTTCAAGTCGTTTTCTTAACCATCAGAACAAAAAAACCTATTCAAGCTCAAGTCGACAGTTGCTTATACTCCGGGCACCGACGGCAGTATTTTTCGTTTCTGAGCCAATACAAATATCTAATATAGAATACAGCATGGGTTCGTACTTGACCATCTGGTTCACCCATCTTGTATTTATCGTACTTGATTTGCTCCATGTGACTCAAGTATCTTTCTACGAGCAACTGACTGCAAGGGTCCCTCCTCCCTATGTGTACGGACGGCTTTGATCATTTGTCCTTTTGCCTTGCATTTGTTTCATCATGATGACTACAACACACTCGAATAGCACACCTTTATCTGCCTCATCATCATCATCATCATCATCTTCTTCACTTCTTCTACTTCCATAACTACAATAGCGTCATCCTTATCAGCATCATCAGAGCACGTACACAATACTGATGTCATGTGTCGTTATCCAAGTAAAAAATGCTGGAATCTACGGGCATTAAAACGTAATGGTGAACGCCATAATCTCTGTGACTTTCATCGTCAAAAGGCAAATAAGAATCAACGCCGACTCGAAATGAAGCGTAAAGCTCGAGCACAAGCGTCCATGGACTCGGAACCTGTTGTCAAGCGGCTTCGTGTACCAAAGAAGACACGTCAAGTCTCACGTCGTGCACCTCTCAGTACTCACTTGGCCATGAAGGAAGAAGCACGTGCGAAGCAACAGGCAGAGGAAGTCAGCCGTGCAACGGGATTTATCAGCTCGTTCCTTCAGGATCTTGTGCTGCTTGATAGTGTATACGACCGAGCTGAAATTCACGTCAAGGAAGAGCTGCCTTTCGTTCCAACGCCCTATATTGACTTGCCACGTGTCCCCGTCATAGCAGATGAAGAGACGCTGGAGCGTATTTTGCAAGACGAACACGGCGATGTCTGCAAAGGAGTAGACAGTGCAACCTCAGCATTGGAGGCACTGGCGTCCATGTCCGATGGCAAAACGTCGCCCGTGGATGTTGGCGAGAGCTGGGACAGTCTTGAGCTCGGTGACTACTGGCTACCAACTGATCAACCAGGCGTGAACTTCGAACCTTTCATTGGGGATGAAGACGTATTTGTTGCAGATGTGTGAGCGTGTCATACTTATGCTGCTCCTATTTATTTGCTGTTTAGATTAGGAAGCACAGACAGTCACAATGGAGGCTACCTGTTGCCTTTAGTCTTATCACTTGTGTCAAACATGTGAGCTGAATCCGTGTTTGTTGATATCACGTTGCAAGTAAAGTTTATATCAAGACTAGAAGTACTTAGCATGTAATGTCGTATGAGTAAATATAAACGCCTCTGTTCACGTGGTGTAGCTTTACGCTCGCAACATGTACAAACAAGATGTTGCAAGCGTGACGTGACCAGCTACACCTCAACTTTCGAGCTTAATGGCCAGTTGGGTACTACTTGCTGCAAATTGGCTTATAGCAGCAGGTGTGTAACAAGGGCTTAAGATTCCTTCATGACGTTGCGTATTGCTTCTACTATTGTGATCTGTAGCGTACCATCTAATACACAGCCAAGTCTACGTGTCGATGAACTCTTTTTGGCTTCCAAATCGCTTGTCGAGCGGCTTGGTTGCTGGTAGTACGCGAGTGTTGGTGTCTTTTCGTTTTCCAGAGCGTCATGTTCAATACGACCAATTCGATTCCAGTTAACGTTGAATCAAACATGCAGTTCCTTCTGTTGAGCATCACATGATCATTTTCTACATGTAGCAACTTAGCAAGAGTAAGAATTGAGCTGAGACTCCACATGGTGGCCGTTATAGGCAATACAATTGGTACCGATCTTTCTTGCTTTCACTAGTCGTGTACGTGTATCACAAGATGGTTGAGCCACCACTAAATTTGACAAGGCCACACAAGCGGTGCTTTTCCTCAAAAAATTGTCACTGACACGCAGAAAGAATCGAGGCAAAGTACTGAGGATGTAGATGTGTCTTGCAGCTATGCTCGAAAACGTCGAAGAGAAGGAGCGAAAACAAGACCAGTAGCAAAAAGGATTTGGAGGTCATTCAGCACCGCAATGAACCGTCGGAAGTTACGATCGACGTTCCCTGCATGACTGGATGCGGCTAAATACCGCGCTATTTTTTTCTCGTTTTGGTCGCGTCGAGAACAGCGATGGGATGGCAATCTAAAGGCTGATCACTCATACCTCAATTTTAGTCTTCTTGCTAGGTGGTCGTCGATGTTTCTTCGAGGACTTGGGCGTAACAATTGGTTCGCGACTTCCCTCAGGCACCTTCTCCAGCACATACTTCTCTAGGTCACGGAACGTCTTGTTGTCAATGTTGTCGATGACTACATCCAGCTCGTCTGGTGAGCTCTTGTCCAGTGCCTTCGGACACTGTTCCTCTAACATCTGTACAATAGTGCCCATGTCCTCAGGTGCAATCTTGTATATGTTTTGACTGAAGTATATCTTCTCTTCCAGACTTGGAGCTCTATTCAGTAGCACAACAAGTGGTTAGAGTACCATCGAAGCACTATCACCACATACCAACGCCACCATCGTACGGAATGCTTTTGTCAGCCTTTGGCACAGGACCGACATCCAACTTCATTGTCTTGACACGGTCTTCAAACTTCTTAGCAAGTTCATCAGCCAGCAGATACAGGTCGGAGCCGTCCTGATTGTATAGTTTACAATTGCTCCACACCAGACGCATGTCTCGTGCAAACTCCGATGCCTTTTTGTACTCGTTCTTACTCAATTTACTACGAATCGTTCCCAAATCCATGGGTTCCTTAACCACCTGAAGATAATCGTATAGACCCCATTCCTCCCAGTTCACACGTTCGCGGAAGGGCTCTACAATCACAAAATCAACAAGTGATGGAGTTGGACCAATGACACAATAAATCACAATTGAAATGCAATCCAATCACTTCGTCTCACCGCAGCTATCGAGCTTGAAGAAATGATCCACGACATCGGTACACTTTTTCTTGCTTTCGGAGTCCATAATAACAACGAATTTGAAGACGATATAGGATAAGAATCTGAATAAAAATGATATGAACATAGAGGTGAGATAAAACATGTTATGATAGATGTAATACAGAAGAGTAAGGTGCAAAAAGTAGGGAAGGAGAGACACCCAAAGTGTCAACATGATGTAAATCCTTACCTTTTTGAGCAAATATGGTCAATGACTGACAGATCGAATGATGTGGCGCACATGAAACGAGAGTAGTTGTATGATTTTGTACTGTTATTTTTACAGGTCATCCATCTATAACTCTAGTGATATATGCACTGCTTGAGCTGTCGGTTTGTTTGTTGTATAACTATTACCATAAATTGATATCGAGAGATTGACGAGTAGCTATGCTGCATGAAGCTATGTACATCTTTCGTTATAACATGTCTAGTGACGTTGGCATACTGTTTGATAAATAGCAGCGTACGAGTTCTCGAGACCTCTAGAACTTTAGAACGACATTGCTGGGCTCTATGAACCGGCGCTTAAAAAATGCAAGTGATAAATTGAAGGAAGGGAGTTGTTGGTGTATGGACAATTGGTAATGTCGTTCTTTCCATAGTTACTTGTCTATGGTAAGAACAACATTACCAATTGTCTTGACATTCCGAAGGTGACGATCGAGTTTTTAACTTTGCTGTTCGTGATGTGTTGACAGTACCATAAAGTTGTCGTGGTGTTATTTGACTATATGTAGCTTCAATCCTAGAATGCAGTCCGAGAAGAGACTTGCTGAAGTTGCTGGCTACAAAAACGTAGCTCATGAGCAGGAAGTGCTTGTCCTCTGTCGTCTAGTCCCATGTAAAGTTCTTCAAAACAGCACCAAGTCTTAACTTTGACGACTCAGTTAAACCCAATAGCTGACTGTCCTGCTTCCGTACTGACGATGGATGTGGTGCCGAGTATAGTAGGATGTAGGAAAACTTGTCGAGTTCATACGTCCTTTTAGCGGATCAATTTCCAGCTCGATAGGTCGTGTACGTTCACCTGAAGCTATTGATAACCAACGAAGATCGAATGGGTCAATCAACGTCGCCGTCTACACGGTTGCCAGCAATAACTGGACAAACTCTGAAGCTGAGACTGTCGTTCTGTCGCAGACTTGACATCGTCATCTCGAGTGCAGCCTATTTACGTTGATATAAATTTGAGCGACATGTTGCTCTGGCAGCTCTTGTTGATACACCACTCAGACGTTAGTCCTTGTGTCCTTCAGCTACATCTTCCGTCTCACAATACGTGCTACGACAATTTGCCGACACTTTTTGCACTCAAAGCATTCCTCAGACTAAAAAGCGCACTAGTTGATTCAAGTGTGACGCCCCAAAGCGAGCGGATGCTATTTCGGATAGCTTCGTGAGATGTATCCGAAGCTCGAAGAGACGAGAGACATCAAGGCTTGACAACTAGTAGACTGGTATGAAAGTATGATCAGGTACGAACGTTGCAGCAAGTCGTTAAAGACGACGAGGTAACGACGTTCGGCCACATAATGTCCAAGAGCTTATGTATGTCAGTTGTTGAATCGTCTTTGAGCATAGAGCACCGCAAATTGGTTGGTTAATCATTGACATGCAAGAGCGATCCTACGATCATATTTGATCAAATCCAGACTTGCATGCATGCGCATGACGCAATTTACGACTGTGATCAAACCCAATTGTAAGCTTCGTTGAATGTGTCGTGCCGTCGTCTTGTTATGGTGCGTATCAATGCCACGGCTGTCACGAACCACAAGATGCACTTTTATGGATACGATGCGAACAGAAATGCTTAGCTGATCCTGGAACGTATAGCATCCATATTGTCACGAAACCTCATGACCAAGACAACCACGAATGTAAAGTGACGCTCAATGCACATTAACGACAGCTAATGCTAGCGCCTGTCAAAGCAACTCCACAACAACGCTACTATTTCTTAGAATATTTGCAAGCTACAATTGGTTTCACGAACGACAGAAATGCAATCACTTTAGCGGCAGCTTACTAGCAATGATACTAAGTATATGACCATCGTGCTTCTTGGCAACGTATCAGCGGAATGTAAACTATACTCAGTCAAATCACTCCTTGAACTCCAATAGCGTCCTGGCAGTCAGCAAGCTCATGTCGTAAAAGGAAGACACAGCTGCACGCAACAATCGGATCTCCGTGGCCTCAAAGTGGCTACATGCACCATCACCATCAACCACCAGTCATGACACATCCCCCTCCAATGCATCAGCGCACTAGAGAACGAAAGTGGTGACAAATGCAGCAAATTTGCTAGACGTACACGTGAAGCTCAGTGTCTTTGACACTCATCCTACGGTGGATTTTCTCAGGCTGCAATTCATCGTCGACTTGGAGTGTTTGCAATACAAATTGAGCATCTACTTCCGCAGGAAAGTTCAGACTAATCGTACTATGGCACACAAAATAGGATACAAGTTCAGTCAAGCATAACGAAGAAGTGTGTCTAGGTAGTAAGTGACGTCAGGAGTGCGTACCATTCAAATGGGTGCGTCATTTGGCTGCTAATTGGAGCGTTAGAAACCATGGATGGTTCGATTAGAAACCTTTAGAAACAAAAAGAGAACCGGTTCGATTGTCACAGAAGCCGGTTCTACAACATCTGGAAAACAGCATTAACAATCGTCAAATCGATTATTGAGAAATTGTTCCAATAAGGTTTGAAAATTGTAAATCCTCATGGTAAAACTATTAAAAAGGATAATAAAAATCGTCAATATTGACTACTAATGATCGTAAAAGAAGGTATGAAGATAGTAGCACTATAAACATCAATAATAACAGCAACACATGTTCATCAAGCAAGTTATTCAAACTTACGTGTTGTTTGCGTTAACGTCCACGTTCATATTCATTAATCTTCGTACTAAACAATTTTTCTAACTAAACCTCTGAAAATTCGATTACAAACCGCTAAACGATATCGTCATCTGCCTGTCAAATAAGTCGAAAATGCACCGAGACAGAGGGGTTAGATGTTTCAAGCGAGTAATTGTCTACATAACGACAGCAAACGGTAGGTTACATTTGTACATCCCAGTCTCTTGTTCCTAAGTTTCCCATCCAAATGAATGAACGCCCTTGTATGTGCAATTCCTTAAAGCTAAAGCATATTGAACCGACTTTGAAGAAAGGGATTTGAGCTGTAGTATTTGTATACAAGTCCAAGCCAAAGCCAGTTCCACTTCAGCAGGTCCACCATCACAAACACGCTCCTCCTACCACGGAGTTAACAAAGAACCAGTTTTTCACGTGAGCATGGGGCTGTTATGCTGCGCGGCTAAGTGTTGTGGCTGCATTATGCTTTCAAACCTCTGTGCATTACTATTGCCACTAGGTATTCTACTAGCGCTCATTCTGTTCTTTTACACGTATGCAATTCCGTGGGGTGAGGATCAGATCCGTCAACAGCTTGATCTCGCATCCAATGTCGATATTGGCGACCTTAATCCTAGCTACATTCAAGTCAATAGCTGTTCTGGATGCGTCTTTGGAAGCAATACGCAGTGGCCAACCGACTCGACGGGAACACGACATTTTCTGGACACTAGCGCTGGAAGTGCAGCCTCAACCGTCATTGCTACGTCTTTGGTTGGTGCGGCAATAATTGGTACAGGTTCGATGCTTTGGGCTTCTGCGATGCCCAGTGCTGCAGCAGCATCGAGCTTTTCAGGAGGATTCTACGAAATGATGCACATTGTCGAACAAGCTCAATTTGTAAGCATGATCAGTCAGCTACGAATCAAAGGCGCACCGACTTTTCTGTTGGAGTTTTCAAAGGAACTGTCATGGACAAACTTTAATTTGATCAAGGGTGATTTGAGCAGTACGAGAAGCGGAGAAGATGGCAATGGCAATCGTCGACTTGAAGATTCTAGTGCTACAGGTGTTTTTGCGGCAGCTGAAGAGTCTGGACCGGCAAGATATGCCGCTTTAATCGGTGTTGATGCTGACAACCTCTTCTTCTACACACTCGTGACGTTTCTTGTGGTCATTGCGGCGCTGAATGCACTTTTCCTTGTGTTTGTTCTGATCATGAATGCTGTAGCCAAGAACGAGTCATTCAGTGATATGGCGCGCAAGTGGTATCGCAAGGTCATTTGGGCTGGTGTGCTGGCTCTACTGCTGGCGCAGTACATGTTCGCAATGGCTGGTAGCTACTTCATTTCGGTAGGACTGTCAGGTGACGCAGCAAAAATCTTCAGCTCTCGCTACATGCTGGGCATTGTCGCCCTTGCAGCCGTTATAGTCATTGCCCTTGGACTTGGTGTCATTGTTATCAGTAACAACACCGACGAGCTGAAGGATATTGGCACTTACGAGCACGACCAGCGGGCGTTTAGCAACAAATACAGCGCCTACTACGATGAGTACAATTTCGACAATCGCTTCTTCTTCATTCATCGTATATTGCTAGCGGTGACAACCGGTGCTATTGTTGGAGTTATTCGGGATGCCACGACACAGCTATTGTGTATTCTGGTTATCACAATGCTTTACTTGATCTTGATGTTCATCCGAAAGCCAAACTTACTGCGCTTTCTGTTTTATATCGGCATCGCGTCTATCTTTATGAAGGTTGTGCTGATTTGCCTTATGTTCATCGTGGCACGGGACGACTACTTCCCACAGACTGTGCGTGATGACGTGTCTTACGGTATCATTGGTGTAAATATGTTCATGTTCTTCTTGCTGTTTGTGCGCCAAGCCTACACGATTACTCACAAGATGGTCGTTGCCTGTCGTCACAACGGCAAAAATTCAAGTCTGAATTCTACGGACATTAACCTCGAGTTCGGCAACAACACGTCCACTAATGACCGCACTTACGAAGGAGTGGAGACGACACCAACAGGACGTGGTTTGGATTGGTGTGAAAATAATAAGCCATACCAGCAGCAGCACCATAATCAGCTGCAACAGCAACTATACGAACCGCATACAAGCAACATGTCTGGCTACAGTACCGCGAGCTCGCGTGGTGGTCACTCGGACAACGTACCCATGTTAGAACCAGCGCCAGAGCCTGTGCCGGTCTTTACTCGCTCGAGAAGCAAGATTCGTCCACCAGCTTCCCACAACCAACAGTACTCATTCGACGGGTCGTCGCGAAGCGCGAGCGCTTTTGAAAGGATAAACGCTGCGTCAGCTATCGCTCCTGAGCCTATTCAGGATGTACCAATTCCAACTTACGATGTGCTAGCAGCCTATCTTGGCACGAGTGAGTCAAATGATGAGGCTGCGCTAAATTCTTCGAGAAGAAAATCATCTAGAGGCCAGCTTTCATCAAGAGGACAGACCTCATCTCGCGGACAGACTTCGTCGAGGGGTTTGACATCATTCAGAGGACCACAATCGTCGAGAGGACAGTCTTCAAGAGGAAAAGCTGCAAATTCAATGGGGATGTCGGGATCTGGCATTGACATACGTCCATCAACTGTACCTCTCGACAATTACGCTAGCAGTTTTTCCAGCTCTGGAGTCCGTAATTCATCTTCGCGAAGAAGACGCAACTTTAACACGGATGGTTTGCAGAACGACGTGGATATCGATGACGTCGATATAAATGCAGAGAGAGGCATTACTGGGTTGCTTGCGTATTCATCGACTAAGCATCAAGCTGCTCCTGCTGCATCGACTGTGGGTCAGAGGTTTAACCCCGCATCTTCAACGGGCAGCTCAGTTGTGATGATGGACCAATCTTATGTGAATTTTTCCGACTCCATGATTTCGTCTGCCAGTAGCCAGCAGGATATGACGCCAAAATCTGTGAATCCAAACAACACGTTTTCAGCCTCTATAGGTGTGGGTGCTCTCCATACAAGCAAAAATGGTGGTGGTGGTGGTGGTGGTGTGGCGAACATGGATGAAGAAGGGAGTGAACCGAGTGAGATTGAAGGTCAAAGTTATGAGCTTGGGCCTTTTGGAGTCACTGCCTCAGCTTTCAACCAGCGCGATTCCGTTGATTCATACGGTTATCAAACACGAGCGAACTTTGCATCATCTCGTGTGGATTTCAATGGTGAAAATCGAGTGGGAAGAGATGATGGTAGATATTATCGATACAATCGTCGGACTTCCGGTTCCTCAAACCAGTCGTCAAATCCGTCCACGAACCAGTCTTTTTTAAGTGCTCACTCGGATGATAGTATGGGAGGATATTACGACATTGACAAAAGTCGAGAGGATGACAATAACACCATGACGCTTTAACAGCAACAAAAGCACGTTTTGATCGTAACGTCAGGTTTAATTGGTGAAAAAAAGTATTTTTTTAGACGTGCTGCAGCATCTGTCTCTACGGAACTTTCATCTCACTAATTTAACAAATAAAAGCGCTGAACGAAAATGTAGCCATCTTGTGCATTGTGTGTGGTTTACATGAACGTGTCTCTACTGTATCAAAACAATTGAGCCATTTCATTTATGCAAAAATGACGAGAAGAAGTCGCGATGGAGACAGCGTTGGACGATTACTGCGTGTACTTGGCGACTGCGAGCTATTCCATGTATATGTTATCTATGAAAAGCTTTTATTTGGGTGCTTTTTACGCTAGTATGAGTCTGTAACGTGCTGTATTTGTGTAGATAGAGACAGCTATTCGTGGTATTGGACGTGCAAAGGCTGGAATCAGATCTGAGTCGATACAATCATTGAGTGTAAAAGACAACGTAAACATCGTGGAATGCACTGCTGAGGTTTCATTTAGTGCAACATGTCGTTTAGTGCAACAATACATGACATTGGTTTTTTTCTGATGCGATTGTTGCTACTTTATTGCTTGTTTTGATTGCAATAGGGTCGAGTGTTATCGCTGTCAGATCACAAGTCAATTGCACAAGTTCAAGCTGTTTTGAATGTTGTTGTCAATGCTTATACCGCTAAATGTAAAGAAGAAGAAGAAGGAGGAGGAGCGGAAAGAACGGAGACGAATCGAAATTTGGTGTGCGCTATTGCTGGAGCTGCTATGACGCAATCGTTGAGAGATTGCGTATCATCTCGGACGAATTGCTGTATTTGGGGTCAGCAAGCAGAGAAATTGAATGCTGTCTTGGATTGGATGATAGGTTATGAACGTGATATCGCATTACCGAGTCGTGATTATGTGCGGCAGCTGCTATTGCAATGGATTCAGCCGTCGGTTGAGAAACAAAATCAATTTGCTGCGTGTCTTACGCTTTTTGAGCTGCTGCAACGACGTCGGCGCAAATTGCAGACATGCGCAAGCAATACTGACATCGCGTGCTTATTAGGCAATCGAGCAGGGATGTACTTGAACGCCCTGAGCGTCGTTGTCGAGCGAGGAACGATCCGGGTCGCAGATTCGCATCATGTGAAACCATCAAAGCTTGCGTTGGTTGCTTTGGAAGCGCTTGCATTGCTATGCGGAGATGTTGCAGCGCAGTACATGACATCAAACAAAATAGCAAAGAGAAGATTTGTTGATGAAGGCCTTGCATGTAAGATGGTGGAGTGCATGCGGTTCATTTTGATTATGCTACGAAGGTGGCACTTGCACTCAGCACGCCGCCAGTTTCTCGGCTATGCGCTTCAACACCTGCAGTCATATGTTACGCCGTGTCGTGTCATCTTGTCAAGTACGAAAGAAGTGGGAAGTGAACATGCGCGTTGCACAATTTTAAACGATACAGGAGCGCTGGATGCGCTGTGTTGGCACTGGCAGACGACCGTTCCACTACTTTGTACGCGTACTGACTCATCCTGCCGAATACAAGCGACTCGATCACCAGAAGTTTTGACTTCAGTTCTGGATGAATGGGCTTTCAGTGCTATTCCGCCTAAAGCAATACATGGCTCCAACCATACCGTTGTCAATCCTGAGGTAATCTACGCTCAGCTTCGCTATGTGTGCGTATTGATGGATTCAATTGGTGGCATGAAAGGATGTTCTAAGGCGTTTGGCGATCTTCCCGACGAATTCAAGGCTTACTTTATATTTTTCTTCATTCAAGGTTTGTCAATGGCAATCAAAAACGAGTCTGAGGAGACGGTGCTCTTAATTTTGAAAGTCATGAGGGCCGTTCTTTTGCCAAATGACACATATGTAGTAAATCTATTCGACTCACAAGATACAGAGCAAGAACTTCTTGCACAGTTGCTCCGTTTGCATGGCAACTTTGCTGTGGCGCACGAAATTTCTGATAGTGTATCGCAAGCTCAAGCAGAGCTGGAGTTTTTTGTGGCAGACTTTGTCATATCTCGGGACTTGTTCATTACTGAGGTGATAAGGCGGGTGCAAGAAGCATACACACACAGTCAGACGGTGAGTAGGGCGTTGCTAACATGACATTATGACCGCGCACAATACTATTGCTGTGCTAACGTGCTTGCGTTGGTGCACGCTTTGTTCCTCTTGTGTAGAACATCTTATCCCTGGTGCGAACATTCTTGTATCAACTGGACAATGCATCTATACAAACTCAGCTACACAGACATTGGCGGTACGAACCTGTCACATATGAGCTCAATTTTTGTCTTACATGACGACATTGGTTCTGACAAGGACACATTTTTGTTGATCACCAGGCAGATGCTTACATCCGAGGTTGTACGCCACGTCGCCCATGAAAACCGTGGTATCCGTCAATTTGTAAGACACATCATGATGCATTTTCAGTACTAATTACGGTGCGGCGACTAACATTGGGACTGTATTCAGGCAATTTCTTGCCTGCCATCATTAGATATGGTGTCCTACATTGCTGGATTGTGCACACTCGATACTTATGGCGCAGGAACCCACATTATTACATCGGTGCTTGGGTACCTTTTTACGGCTTCACCGCAATGTTCCGTTGAAGTTGGGGTATCCTGGCTCATCGATGCGTATCAGTTTGGGACCCTTCGAGTCCCGGTTCTTGAATCCTTGGCATCTTCTCACAACTCGAATGACTACGCTAGAAAGTTGAGAGATGACGTGAAACAAAACATTGCAGGTGGCGGCGACGAAAGGCAAAAGATACAAGAAAAAGTGTTCTCACTTTGTTTTGGTCCAAACGGGTACGTTGCCACTATACGTCAGTGGTAAACTCCCCGGCTTTTCATTGACCAAAGGTTCGTCTTTGTCGTGGATGTTAGGTGGGCCAAACTCGTTCAGTCGTATCACACTCGCAGTGAAGTTCTGCAAGTATTGCTTCGCAAAATCTTTGGTTTTCCTCGTGATGCGGTGCTTTTGCGAATGCTGCGTGAGTTTGTGGTATGTGGCTGGGTGGACAACGAAGTATTTGAAGTACTGGGAAAACAGCTCACAGCTCAAATAATGGTACGCGTAGCACCACACATGTCGAGAAATTGCAGAAAAATACTGATCCGTGTGCCATTTGCTGCAGAGCTTGCCACGCTTGAGCGAAGAAATTCTGAATGACAGTTCTGTTTCGGCAGTAAAATCTTGTGAGGGATTGCTGTTCTCTCGGCTAGTACCGCTACTGGTGCTACGAATGCTACCTCGACATGCTCTTGCAACGAATGATATTGAATCATTACTGGTGCGTAGCTTCGTGCATTGATCATTATGACTCATAACGAGAGCTTGTTCCGTCTATTGGATATTTACTGCAGTTGTTGTGTGTATATTTCAGTGTGGACGCGAAGATTTGGATCACCTGGACGAATACGTCAATTGCCAGCTCGAACTCGATTCCATTGATTCCGAAGCAACCTCTAAAGGCTCGATGGGGTCTACGATCAAAACACTCTTTCACATTATAGGTCGCTCAGTGGTAGACCCATTGGAATTCAAAGAGGTGAAGATGGTTGCTACTGAGTGCTTATCCAAATTTTCTCCACCTCGGGTGCTGCCATTCGTCTTTGCATACTTGGCAGCTTTCTTGCGAGAAGCTACTCCACACGGCAAATATGGTAGCTCGTATATTGTGGAAGAAGATAGCATTCCAAGTATGTGTGGGCTGGTGACTGCAAAGCTAATGGTCTATTATCTCAATCGGGTCTTTTCCGAATATGATTATGCTTACAAAGATGAAGAGACCGTTTTGAAAGCCCTTGTGGTGCTGGTACAAATCATGGAGGTTCCATGCGTCCAAGATTCAAGGTTGGTTCTTGATGAGTCAAACCTTACCGACCTCCAAAGGGGTTGCATTGATTGCATCGCGCTGATACTCGTCAGACTGTCATCGGATGATAGCGGACAAAGAAGCACGAATGTGCCGGTTTTGAGTGCTTCTTCACTAATGACCCTTCTGATGGGATGGATATTTGGCAAAGTTGGAAAAGGCAGTGTCATTGATTGTGACACCGACCCTTTCATTTCACGAGTGCAGGAATTGCTTGATAATAGGTGGAGTGGACGTTGTCACCACAAGCTACCGTCGCAAGTTCGTATTTGCTGTTGTAATGTCTTACTGAGGTACGTTTGAGTCGTCACTAGCAAGAGGTACCTTGATGCTGACGCGCGTTGGATTGTACCTGTAGTGCTATCTCACGGGCAGAGAGCAGGGTTCTCGCAAGCTGGAAAATGCAAGGGTTCATGTTGCAAATTGCACGAGCAACTGATAGTTGCTCTGAAGATGATGTTGTCGCCGGGGGCTTGCAGGTAGACGTCAGATTGCTGCTACTGCTTTAGAACCCTTAGCTCATGTGTTCCTTCCACCGTGTTTTTCCACTGTAGATCATCTTTTCGCTTTTACACAAGTCGAGCGAACATTTTTCAATGGATAACACTGGCGATCTACAACTCGTTCGCGTCTGTTTTGAGACCACTGCAGCTCGCCTCGAGACGACGGGGTGTGAATCCGTAGCAATGAACGGGCTTAAAGTCGCTGGAGCTCTTGTTGGAAAATATCTAGGTTTTATGTCACCAGTTGAACTGCAGCGGCTTATCGACAAGTACGACATGTCTGGTAGCAATTGATCGCATGGTCTAACATATTGTCTATCCTTGACGTTGCAGGTGTTTGATTAAGGTGCGTGATCGGCAAATATCACCTGTAGTAAGGGAGCTGGCACAATCACTGCTACAAGCGATGGCGCCTCCTTAATGGAACAACAACAAAGTTTTGGAATGAAAGGATGAACGTGTTAACGAATAGAAGGGGTCTTACAAAACTGAGAGCCTCAACTTAGCCAAAGAGCCTAGCAAGAGGGTGGCGGTCGAGTGGCGGCATAGAACAGTGCCCAGGCGCGACTAAGGCCGTCGTCCATGGGGCATTCGGCGAGTACTTTCAAGGCCTTTGCGCGGTTCAACACGCTGTAGTTCGCAAACAATAGTGATGTCCAGCTACATGGGCTTGCCTTCCAATCGTGCACAATGGGTAGTCTGCTCAGCACTTCGTCCCATTCCTCTCGTACAAAGCGTGGTGAACGAGAGACTTCGAGGATCGGAGACACAGGAATCATTTGGATACCATGAATACATTCCTTTTTGGGGCTAAACCACGTTGTATAGTCGCACTTGTTGTCAAAGAAGACGCCCGTGACCTTGTTCTTTGCGAAGCCGGCAGGGTGGATGGGAGGGCCGTCATTCCGGAGCAAGAAATAGGTGTTCACTGCGCGCACGTAAACCTTGAGCATCAACTTTGCTAGCGCCTCTTGTTGTGCGTTTTCCGTAATTTGGCCGTATAGTGCGATACCATACAGAATGTTGACCTCTTCCGACGTCGACTCCTCATCCTTGCCGTCGGCCATTGGAGTCACTCCGTGTGAGTATGAGTGTCCAAGCCACCAGTTGTAGTATCGAAAGCGTGGGAAATACGGGTCACTGCCGGTAGGAGAAGATGTAGCCACATCACGGATCAAAGTGTCAACGAGTGTTCGAATCTTGACGGCATCGACCGAGTGACGCCAAGACGGATCCAAGTAAAGGGCCATAGCAGCTGCAGTTACGATGTAGCCGTAGTGGTAGTGGTGATCATTGTAGACAGCATTGCCGAAATCAACATTCATGTCATTCCTGACCAATGCCTCCGATGTGATAATCCCCTTGTAGACGGTGTCATAGACAAGTGGAAACTTTGATTCATTATTTGCAAACTTTGACAGCAGTTGCTGGAATTTGGAAATGCCGTGTTGTGCCACGTCTCTCATTTCAGGGTGAGTCGTCTCAGCTAGCTGCCGCGCAACAAGACACATGGTACCAAACTTCTGTAGGGCTTTGCCTTTGAAGTAGTAGCTTCCATCATGAGGCAGAGGCCATTCTTCGTGGATTTCATTGGTGACAAAGCGACACAAGTTGAGCTTCTCCACTTCCTCTCGCGTAAGGGAACCAGCACGTGGTGGGTAAAATGCTAAACATGTTTCAACACTCTGACTTTCAGCTTGGGGCACACGGCAAAGCCACGTCGGATTGGAATGTTGTGATGTCATCAACATGTACGCAAATAATGGTCCATGCGTATGTGAATGCAACATAAGCTCACGCTTCGCTTCCACCGTAGATGGATCTAGCATACCTTGTAAATGTGTCAGAGCAAAATGAAGGAAGCGAGCTCCTTGTTTGCATCCTGCAGCAGTCGCAAGCTGCCAGTGGAAGACAAATGACTTGGAATCCAGCGTCTCCACTGTGACTCCTCTAGGGAAAATACCTGCACTAGCGTGATAAAGTTGCAGAACCTTGTGGTCATCCTGAGGTACCAGAGGTTGCAGTTTACTTGTCGAGACAAAGGCGACTTGAACAACTCCAGTAAACTTTGTCTTGGCCGTGAGTGTATTGTCTTGGAATACGAGCGAGACGTTTCCACCAGCATTGGAGAAAATATATAGCAGCCACACTTGTCCATTATTAAGTGAGATGACAAAGTGATTTCCATTGATCTGATGACCATCTCTTGGAGGAGCTCCATTAATTGCAACAATTCCATGATCTGTACCAATTTGAACTTGCATGTCTTGATACTCAAATGTTGTAAAGGCAGAGCCTAAAGCCAAGTACGTACTAATGCCTCCTAGAGCAACGTGTACCCCCATATCATCCCAATTCTGAATACAAAAGGGAGGTAAACCTCCATTATCTCCAGCCAGCTCAACAGCTGAGAAGATTAAATTCTTGATAGCCGGTGGATAAAAGTAAAAATGAGGAGCTCCATTGTCGTTAATGGGACCGTCCGTTCGGTATTGAACCAAGTAACTGACCGATAAACCATTTCCAATGATACCAGGTTGATTCTTTACGACCTTATAAGTAAAAGGACTTGCAAAGACAGCATCACTATCACGTTGTCCATTCCATGCTAATAAATTTCCCCACCATTCATTGGTTGGAAGAGGTCTTTTTCGAGCTTCAGGAGTGAGACAATGAGGTGATACGAGCTTTTCGAGATCTCCCGTTGATCGGAAAAGCGATGGTGGAGGGGAAGCAGAAGGTGATGGACGATAGGGGGATCCTGAAGGATACGAAGAGTATGACATGGTAGAAAAGAAGAGAGAGCGAAGTGAGAAGCAGAAGAAGAAGGACAACTGCAGCTTGACAAACTGCTTTTGAGAATGACCTACTGCTTTTATCAAGTATATCTTAGATATACTTGATATTATCATCCCTGTTGAAAGACGATTTCTTCCTACTCAGATCAAGTATATCTTCCTTACTTTGTCAGAGTTAGCAAGATATATTTGATTTGAGTAGGAAGAAATCGTGTCCCACGTAGCGATTGATTGATCAAGTCAATAGTAATCCAAAGCTATCTGTCTTGTAGCCACTTTTGGATTGGATACGTAAATAGCTGCTATTTGTGTCCTGCAGACAGCCAAAAGCTACGAGTTACGCACCACAGACTGCAAGTGTTTGAAGCGTTTCTTTGTAGGCTCACTGTAAATATGTATTGACTTGTACATATCCACAGCTCTACTACTCGTGCCAATGCGTCGTGACTACAAGGACGTGTTTGTTGTACCTGTCAAGCATTTACTAATGTAAGCATGCACCAATGCAAACCAAAAAAGGCTGACTGCACTCAGCTCTACATTGTCCTCTACTTGTGCGATCCGTATCTTGAGGTAACGATGACTCGTTCCGTTGCCTGTCTGTCCGAATGGTGGCATCGCCATGCGCAAGCTATACAGGCAACAACAACGTGGAATTGATCTTGCGGCGCAAGAAACGGCCAATGTCTCAGGCGCCACCTTACAAGCAACATCACATCGTGACTAGAGCTACTAGCAAGAATGCGAACAACGACAGACTGCGACGCACGATGAAATATTGCACGGCCACATGAAGCATCCCCATGTTAGATCAGAGATTGATGACGTCACTCCACGTGAAACCGTCGCCAACTTCTCGTGACGCGCCGCCGTCGTCTGTGTAAAAATTAAACAGCTCTACCGATACTTATCCCGGTATTTACTCAGCCTGTACAAAAAACAAACCAAGGTACCGATACTCGATCCGGTATCTGCGTAAGCAGCAAGCAAAGGTTCAAGTGCAGCTTGCTGAATCAAAAGCGACTGACAGTTATTTTCATAGTGTACAACCTTTTTACGTTGGAATGTTGGTTTAGTAAATTTGTGGTAAAAAATTTCTCCTGTTTCGTATTGTCACTTTGTAATTCCGTTATATAAACCTTAATGTTTGGACGGCCAGATTATTCCATAGTTTTGTTATCAAATCGAACATTCCAAGAGTCAGCTTTCAAATATTTTGCATCTTTGTGACAAAAACGTGATACTTTACTTTTCTATATTTGCAGAAATATCTTGTGTAGTTACAATTGATTGTAGGTTAAATTTTATGTGAATGTCTTAACTTGAAATTCTCGTTTAGCGTGTTACAAAGCGACGAAAGTTGGCAAGAGACAGTCAAGTTCCACCACAAAATTCTGAACCCGTTCCCCCCTCTGTACGCTCAGTCCAACAAACATTCACTGACTGTCTGGACCGTCATTCATCACCGCAGCTTCGTCTTCGATGCCTGTAGTTGATGAGCTCGTCCATTCGCATATGCGCTCCCAACGCCCACCTATGAATACAGCATCTTGTGTTACTAGCAGCAATACGAATGACCGTAATTTGAATACTACATTGCAACAACAACATCAGCGTCATCATCACGTTCATTCGGACAATATGCGAACGTCCTATCAAGGCGCACAGACACATAAGAAACGTCATAGTAGTAGTAAAAAGAACGCACACACTCGTCATTCACTCATGCACGTACAGACGGCAACACAAGAATCGGGTCACTCTAGTGCATCGTCAACGTCAGGTTCAGCTTTGTCTCCACCTGAACGAGCGTCTACTTACTTTAATATTCACATTACAAATCGAGAGTTGAGTCCTCGAAATCAACTGGATCCAGAAGATCCAGCAAGAACAGCAGTAACAGCAACAGCAGCACCTCCAGCAGGTGATGATATTTTGAAAGTGGAAATTCCAAGATGGAAATCAAAGCTTACAACGGACAGAGCAGATCGTGTACACGTTCCTGTGGGTGTAGATAGTGTCGGGAACTCACCTTTGGACAATGAACCAGTGAGATTGTCAATGTGGAACAGAAAAGATGGACGTGGAGGACATGGAGGATCCATGGGTGCTTTAGTACTGGGAAAAGACCGAGATAATGGCAGTAAGAAACGCTATACAGTGTTTCAAATCTACATGCATTTTCAGTCAGGCACAGTACGCATGTCTGAGAAGAGATATAGTCACTTTCGAGAGCTTCACAAGACGTTGAGGAGAAAATATGTAACAGTTGGAAAGCTATACTTTCCACCAAAGAAATTCTTTATGTCACTCTCATTACGTGTGATTGAACAACGTCGTGAAGCTATTGAGACATATATGAATGCAGTTCTGACGTTGCGACCACGGCCGATTGAGGTCGTGCAGTTTCTTAGTAGTGGAAGTAGCTCGGTGGATGACGAAGATGAAGATGGGAACAGTACTGGCGGACCAGCGCACGGAGTGGACATGGTGACGACGCCGAAACATGTGCAATCAGCGTCAACGGCTTTTGGAACGTCGTCGCGACTCAGTGGGAGCAACAGCATTACGTCAGAAGACGCAGGAGGACACGTGGTGACTATGCAAGATTTTGAGATTCTAAAAATGCTTGGCAAGGGATCTTTTGGAAAGGTTTACATGGTGAGAGAGCGTGGAATGGATAATAAGATCTACGCGATGAAGGTATTGCGTAAATCGGAACTGGTAAAACGTAATCAGGTGGGCCATACGATGATGGAGCGTCGCATTATGAGCTCAATTGATCACCCCTTCATCGTTGGGCTCAAGTACTCTTTCCAGACGGCCAGTAAGCTCGTGATGGTGTCGGACTATTGCTGTGGTGGCGAGATTTTTTTTCATTTGAAGAAGTTCCGCTCTTTTTCGGAAGCAATGGTTCGTTTTTATGCAGCGGAGTTAGTGGCAGCCATTGGTCATTTGCACGAGCGCAATATCATTTACAGAGACCTTAAGCCCGAGAATATTCTTCTAGACGAAACGGGCCACGTCCGACTGACCGACTTTGGTCTTTCTAAAACGGACTGCACTGATTTTACAGGAGCCAAGACGTTTTGTGGTACTCCCGAGTACTTGGCACCAGAGATGCTCATTAGTCGCAAAAAGAAAACAGAATACGGCAAGGCCATTGATTGGTGGAGTCTTGGCACGCTCATGTACGAAATGCTCACAGGTTGGCCGCCTTTCTTCGACCGCAATATCGAGCAGATGTGTACCAAGATCATGAAGTCACCGCTCAAGTTCCCTGCGCATTTTGGTTTGAGCTCAGAAGTCAAGAGTCTTATTTCTGCATTACTAGAACGAGACCCGACGTATCGAGTTGGCTCGCGTCCTGGTGCTGGGGTTGAGGATATCAAGAATCACGTGTTCTTTGCGAGCATCGACTGGACGTTGCTGGAAAAGCGCGGCATCAAACCGCCTTTCAAGCCGCGAATTCGCAGCCCAACGGATATTCAAAACTTTGACCGCGAATTTACAAAGGAGTTACCTGACCACGGTTTCCTGCAGCAGGACAAACGTCTTTCCGTATCGCCCAAGAACGAGTTCCAGGGGTTCTCCTACATGCGGACAGTGGAGCCAGCTTCATGGTCGCGCGAGTCAAGCAGCAAGCGGGAAAAACGCAGGTCTGGACAACAGTCGGAGCAACGAACAAGTGAAGGGTACGTACAATAGCGGCATTGACGCAGCGTCAATTTGGTGTGCTGGGTGAGATGTCTAACTTTTCTTTTCTTTCCTGCATCTGTGTCTTGACTTAGAATTGAGCGCAAGTCCGAGTCAGTCACAGATGAGCAGTATCCACAATTTGGCCAAGTCGCCCGCGACAGCACGGACTTTGACAGTGGTTGTATCTAGAATGCGTTGGACCAGCCGACTGTCCGAAGCTCCACGCGCAAGTCATGTCCAGTACAAGCAGGAGGACGCAGGTAGGCATTAGAGACGATCGAGATATGCGATGACATTTTGTATCTAATTTAGACTTGCTACAGTAGGTATGGAGCCGATCGGAGTTGTTTGCTGGAAGACGCAAAGTACATTGTAAGAAATGAATGAACCTACTAAAGATTACATGAGATAAGCACACGAGTTTTGGAAACCAAAGATTAGCTAGCAAAAGCTTTTTTTGATCCTTTGCTGCCATTGCTGCTTACATTTGTATCCATCGAAAATTGGCAGCATTTTGCGTATAGCGACGTTGTTTGTTTTTTGACATTGTGCGCGCACATCATCATTGCCCTCGACGTTGGCACAGCGATGCGAGATTTCAATGCGTTTCAAGGGTGGGAAGGAAATTGGACATCCCACACAGTTCGTGTTTGCAGTGCATTTCGCAAAGGCCATGAGGCTGCACTTGCTACATTGCGCTAAATCATGGACGGCAGACACGTGAGTTTGGTCTCGCTCGACTGGTGTGGCAAAACCGAATTATGTGGAGCCACGTATTTGCATCGCCGTGTTGCATAAAGCATGCTCATTTTTCGAATTGACTATCAAAACTAACTGCTCTGTGCCCCATTTTCAATCTGTGCTTACCTGTGCTAGTATTTTTGGGTCGTACCAGTTACTAAAGCCAAAGAACATCCATGCTTTTCCCCAACGTAGTAGCAACAGTGTATGTATCAGATCCAATATACCTAAAGGTGATATCGTGCAAAGGCGATGTAGCTACACGCAAAGCATCACAAGTTCCGCTGCTATAAATGTGCGCTTTTCGCTGATGCACCACATACATTGACCAGACAAAACGTCAGGGGCAATGTCTTCTCGATACACTACCAGTTCCGCGTAAATTCAACCGGCATGACGTGCCACAGCTCCGCATAACACACTTAGGCACTGTTTTTTTCCTTTAGCGTTCGTTGCCCAGCAAATCTGTGTTTTGGTGCGATGGTTCAAGAACACGGACTGTACCAATGTACTCTAGGCGAGTGACAGGTTGCAATAGCTTTCAGTGGTGTCAAACATTCACTAGCAATCACTAGGCCATCCAGAAATAAATCCAGCAAATAACCATTTTGTCACCACATCGTTTTCGACATAAGTTTGGCAGGGATGCGCCAATAACAAACGTATTCAGCACGATTTTATCCACGCCTTACATCGCTTCCACAGGGTAAAAATAGTACACTTGCACCGTTATCTTTGGAAACTTGTTCCATCACAAAAACAACCTCTCCAGCAGCTTCCAAAGAGTCTCACCAACTTAGAAAAAGACAATCATATCCATGCCTCAGCTATAAAAATACTCTACTACCATATATCAAATACTAGAGCTTCAGGTGCTTGTCAAACATTTCTTGTGTCCTAAGAGTGATCCGTCACTTGACAGATACACCCTGCCACGCTTTTGATCGAATGACAGCGCTCGAAAGGCCTTGCAGGTCGTACCATACTACATCATCGCGTGACCATCCATACATACCGTCATCAGCGCAAGCAGATCGTTAGCTTTTGTCTGTATATCATCTGATCCTTTCTTTTGACTTCAATATAAGGCTCTTCTTCCATCATTTCCACGTCGAGATTGTCGTAGTCAATTTCGCCCAATGGTCTTTCTCATCGGCACCAAGAACGTTGTGGTACGTGCTTAGCATGTGTAGTGATCCCACTGTAGATCAGGTTAAGCTACTAGCTGCTGACATAGCGAACAGACGTGAGTCAGTTCAGCACAATTCAATTATATCCTCACGATAGAAGTTTGATGAATCTTTGAAATAAAACTAAATAAAAAGTTCTAGTTGAGATTTAGAAACGGATTTCTATAACGTTTGTGGATACTTAATCAAGCATGGCAAAATGGCATTGAACAGGAATTTTCGGACGACGTATTATAAGACGCTCGGCGTGCCTGTGGTCCAGCATATTGTCGATGTTGAGGCTTCATTTGCAGCGATACTTGGTGAGAGATCGGTAAATGTACCGCAGCTGCTGAAATTGGCGCTGGAATTGGGCATTGTATCTCAGTTTCGAGCCAGGTGCTGGCTGCTGTTAACGGGTGTGCTCCCGCCCTATCCAGGGCTATGGAATTTTGCAATAGCAGAGCGACGTACCATGTTTGAAGATGTCGTCAGTGCAGCACAAGTGCTACAGGCTAAAGACGTGATGGAGAGCGACGAAGGAAGAGAAGAGTACTACAATTTTATGGAGCTTTTGGAAGAGGGAGAACATGGACGGGAAGAGAAGATGTCGTTGCAGAATCTGAAGAGATTAGTGCACCTGCATCGGACATATTACAAAGAAATTGTGGCTTGTAATGATCCGTTGTTGCTTGGAATGGATGACCAAAAGTTTTTGCTTGCTGTGGCTCGTGTAGTGTGTGAAGCATTGACATACGAAGCAGAGCGGTTCTGGGGTTTCACGAGATTGTTGGAGTTATTCCATGATGGCCTTGAGCTTGTGGATCCGGTGGTGACTTTAACGACGCTATATGACACACAACTTACTGACTTTGAAGAAATATTTCTTCGAACGCTGGATGTTAAGCGGAGGCGACTGACTGCGACATTGACGTTGCATTTGCTTAAGAGTGGGCATGACGAAGAGTATGGAAGACGGATGTAAATAACGCGCACATAACATAAAAAATAATACTGAACTGGAAACGCTACTGACGCAATACCATCATTGCGTCAATCTTCGTTGTCGTTGTCGTTCTCGGGTATCTTTTGCGACTTGCTCGTGACGGATTTGCGGGACCGACGTCGTCGTATTGTTGCGATCTTAGGCTTGAGCTCTTCTTCCAAATTAATGTCTGATTGCTTTTGATCTTTACGAGCGGCGTGCCAGGCAACCATGAAAAGATTCCAACTCAGCTCAATTGGATCGCCGGTTCGACACAAGTCGTCAACGCAAGGTAGCAAAAGCTTCTTGGAAGACCGTTCCTTTGCTTCCACTGGAATTTCTGTGGCGGACGGTTTGTACGTCGCACATTTTTCGTTGTCTAGATGGTAGTTCCGCTTAAGAGCAAACTTTAAACGGAGCAACAGCGCGATTGCAAAGGCAATACGCCCGTTGCTCTGTAGCGTTGATAACGTAGATTCCCCTTGCGGCCGAAACGGACGAGACTCATCAATCCTGACCATTGAGAGATCCGAATCTTCGTCTTCCAGTTGTTTAGGTGCCACGCCTGCCATTATAAAAGCCTGTTTGAGATCTTCTAGTACATGCCTAAATAAATGATCAGCGCTCCAAACCATTAGTGCTACTCCTGTACATTAAGAATGATGATGACGTACCCGAGCCGAAGGCTCACGTAGCGGTTAACCAGATAAATAATGTACAACGGTTCATCCTCCACGTCGTACGGTAGCGTCGATATGATTTGTGCTAAATAGCAGAGATAGTTCAAATCGCTCGCGAAGGTCTTGCTGTTGTTAACGGTGACCGAATGGTTCTTCAATGGCTTAAGTACACTTCCCTGGTCAGTGAACTGGTTCACAAGTGCTTTGAGAAGAAGCGATTCATGTGATTTTATCGGCTTAAGGCAATTCGTGTACAGTCGTCCAAATAGGCAAAACTCCTTTTCGTTGTTGACAATTCCCAGTGCGGTGCAGTTGCCGTAGACGCTGAGCTGGAACAAGTACGAAGCTTGAATTCCCTTAATCAGTGGCGTGTGAAATTGGCTCCAAAACCTTTCATACAATGTCATGAGCTGCAAAAATGCCGTATCGCGAACATCTGGAATGCGATCGGTCTCCAAGGCTACCAAGTTTGGAATGCATTGCAACGGGTTTACCAAACCTTGTGTGAGCAAGGCGCCAATGCATATGATGGCCTGCTTTCGAATTTGTGGCACCTTGTATAATGATAGTCGCAATATATTCCCAAGTTCCGCCTGCATAACGTTGCCAATCAATGAGGCGTCAGCTTCCTGGTCGCCTTGAACTTGCTGCTCTTTGCTTTTCAATTGATTCATGGTGCGTGACGCCTGTCCATTTTCCAAACGCTGTTCTTCGAAAAGCAATAGTTCCTTCATACTGACAAGGCATTGCAACTTCGCCTTCAGCGAGTCGGACTTCAAAAGAAAATGAAGCAATCCATCTTGTTGTGCCCGGAGAAACAGGCGCGGTCGGATCGGAAATAAGAAACCCATGCCCTGCACAGCCTTAGCGGTGCATGAATCTTTTCCTGGCATGCAAACAAATTGGCTGTACAATTCATACAACGATTCTGTAATCGTTCCAACTGACAGCACCTTCGTCTCCTTCGCAAGCTCCTGACATTTATCAATATCCGTTGCACCAACAATTTTTCCCGCTGCATACAATGCACGCTGAAGCATATAGTCTTGCTCTGGCGAATCGCAGAAAGAAGCTTTGTGTCCATTGTCGCGCATGCTGAGATAAAAACGTTCCAGTAACCGAAGCAAAAGTACTTGTGCCTTGTACCGTGTTGTCGAAAGAGTTGCCAGACACTTGACACTTGGACCGACAACACTTGGAGGAGAGCGTAAGACCAAATTCTTTAGGTCGCATTCAAGTCTTTCAGCAATAGTCTGCGGAACGCGTTTTACGCTCAAAATATTGTTAATCATGGAGACTGATAAACGTTGAATCTTGGCGTCGTTCTCCTTCAGGTATACACGAATAGTCTCAAGGTGACGGACCAAGAGCTTGGGTTTTGCTTCACAAAAAGCAGACAGAGCTGTCATACACGAAACAAATTGTTGATGTCCGTCTTTAATGGAAACAGCATTGAGAAGTTTGCCTTCCTGTATGTCAATAAGGCACCCCACAAGATGAGCAATTATCTTTTCAGACCGCTCTTCAGCGATTGCGATTTCGGCTGATCGGTTTTTGCTACATCGTGGCGCGGCGCTGTTATTGTGCATTCCTAACAGCCTTTTTAAAAGTTCAGTAAACCAGGTGACGTCTGACATTCCGTGAATAACCTCAACGATGGTTGTAACAACGTCAAAAGTGTTGTCCAATTTCGAAGCGTTGCTCTTTACTACGCAGGCTGGTGTCACCGTAGGGGTCCGATACGAAGACCACGCTTCTCCGACCGAGTTAGCAACGATTCCGTCTTCAGAAACAAACTTTGAATTTCCATGTAAAAGCAAATCGGCTTCACTTGTTTCACCAACATTTGTAGCAACAGAAGTCCAACCAGGCGGTAGAGTAGTTTCGCTACAGAATTCGCTAGACGAGGTTGAGAGCCTTGCGGACGAAAGCTCTGCTCCAAACCATACCTCTTGGAAAGCATCAATGATAAAGTTCTTAACGCTTTGGTCTTCACCCGCGTCTCTAATACGTTCAACCAGGCACCGCATGCAAGCACTTTTACGGCGCAGCTCTTGCTCGGTCGTTACATCGCGGGCCAAAACTATCTTAAAGATTTTGCACACACTTTTCCGAACTTTGATGCCTTTGTCTCGAACTCTTGCAGCAAGTACGTCGAAATACTTGTCGAACTGTCAACAAAAACACAAATCAGTATCTTAGCACAACATTTATGTCCGAGAGGGTTGTGCGTACCAGGACAGGCTGTAGCAGGGCGTAAGTCCCGACTAGTTCCACGGCTGCTTCGCGAACTGATGGCTTTTCATCCGAGCAACACCGCTGAACAGCTAACTGCACTCCGCTTTCAGCCATCAGCATGGGATCGACATCAACAATAACTCGCAAGCATCTCATGACTCGAGCTCTCAGACTTGGCATTCCCTTTGAAAGTAGGGCCATGATATGTGCAAGCAAATTGTCAAACAGACCACAAAACCCGCGTTTCACAGCAAGGTTCAGACTTGCCTTAAGCGCCAGCTCACTCGTTGGCACAGCCACCTTAAACGTCGGATTAATGCCCCCTTTAGGCACCTCCCACAACGACCCCCACAAATTTCTTTCTCCTTCCTCACATGCCGACTCCGTTTCGCTCCAATGCTCACCTGATTCCGAGAGATATTTTAAAATAAGCAGCTTTTTCGAATCGTCTTGTCTAAAGCTATTCCGTTGAAGATGCATCACAGTAATATGTTTTAGCGCCATTTGATGAAATTCACCACAGGCAGCGCTTGGTAATGCACCATTGGACTTTGTCTTTGCGCCCGCAACGACGACATACAAACTGTTTAAATGCTCCTCCACGATGGCAATTGAGTCACTATCTTCCTCCATCGTACTCTGGCTAACTTCATTATGGTATTGCCTAATTGATGCGCAAATTTTTCCAATCACGTTGAGTGCAACTATACTCTGATGTGAATCCCGATTTTTCGCATTCTTCAAGATGTTTGCATGTAAGATACTTGCCAATGAGGAACTCAATGCTTCAAGAAGGTCTTCCGCTCCTGCCCATTCAGGACGTACAAGCATCACAAGTAGATCCTCAGTAAAATTGTCTAATACTACGCGGTTATCACGCTCTTCAGTTTTTTTCCAGCACGCTTTTAAAAGCTTCTGCACAAATGACCGCGCATAATTTTGTGCTTCCTCCAGTATACTCTCCACAGCATCAATCTTTTGTAAGTCCTTCTCTTCAGTGGCGGTATCCGGTGTTGACAAAAGTTCAACAGAATCTGAAAGCGAGCCAGCACCACTATCTTCCGTTTTAGGCTTAAAAGCTGACGCGCAGGCTTGTATTAGCGACACCACTACTGTCGAGATTTGCTGTACGAGATGCGTTGAATTCAGCAACTTCACCGTTCGAAGTGTTCGTTTGGCCGTAGGAAGCTTAAACATAACTTCTACGATATCTTCAAGCAACGACTCTCGATGATTCTTATACCGTAGAAAAATGCTTCGCAATATAGCGAGAGCACTCTGCTGCAGCGACGTCGCATACAGGCTGTGCTCTAACGCAAACAACTCCACCATTGAAGATGATAGAGGGAGTATCCAACGGTCTGAAAGTGTTACATCCAAAACAAGTGTAGCAAGTCGATCCATATACTCACAGACGACATGAGAAACTCGATCAATAGCTTTGCGGGTGTCTTTTTGCGACCGTATATTTATTCGAGAAGAGCTGGATGTTTTGCGTCCACATAAATGTCGTCGGTTGCTTTCTTTTGATATCGGCGCAGAAGCCGTCGTGACGTAGGTGCTGTCGATGCACGGAAGCAGCAGCCGGCGAATGATGTGATGAAGTAGTTGAAAACAGTTGTCAATAATATCCTCTGAAAGAACTCGCCGGTCAATCTGAGGTGTTGTTATCACGATAAGCTCACAAATTGCGACGTCTAGCGACGCTAAAAGTCTCGCAACGAGTTGATCATCAATCGTTTTAGGCTGGGATTTATCACATTCTCTGTCCAACAAGATGGCTTCCAGCACATTCGTAGCTAAACCCATCTTCACCTGGATATCGAATGCGCTCATCAATGAAATCAATAATTCTGGCTCCAACTTATTGATCCATTCATTCTTTTCCATTGCTTTCAGCGACTGCAAAAGGATCTTCACTGCTTCAGGCTCCAACACATCCATATTATCCTGGACAAAATTCTTTTGCTGCTGGCGGTATGTCGCCATGTCACGAAATCTTTCCAGCAACTCTGCATACTTTTCAATACTATCTGCAGTGATCTTGGCCTGAGTTAAAAGTGCCGCAAACTTTTCTTCGGCTTCCGTCTCCGCGTCCGCTTCGAGCTCGGCATTTAGCTCATCCGAACAAGTCTGCAGCTGACAGCCCTCACTTGTCACCATTTGCCCATCGTTTACATTAACAATTGATCGCCTTTTCCGTGGCTGCTTGCTCTCTATCTCCTGCTGCAATTCCAAATTTCTCTTCATTCCATTAGCAGCTCCAGCTAGCATCACACAAAATGAATCAAAGCAACCATTAGTTGCCCATGCATTAGTGCAAACAACAGCATTTGCAAAATAAATCAAATGATTGCTTATCAAACCATTGAAGCATCCTGTCTGCACGACTGCCTGGGCCCACTTTGGCAGCGAATTAAAAACGTCCGCGTTGATTTCTGTCGTCTCATTTGCTGAGCTGTAGAGTCCAATACCGATTCACAAGCAAATGCCAGTTAGAATTACCACAAGCAATTATATATATGATGCACAAACAAATTTATAGTTTTGACTGCCGCACCCAAGCCTGCTAGTGGTTGCGGAGCGAATGATTGTTGCCAACCGTTGCGGATTGAACGATTCGGCTCCTATGGTCTCTGCAACCACGGGATGTATTGTCTCACGCGCATCTGCATCTGCTGCATCCTGTGGATCCATGTACAATGGGAAGAGAAATAGCCCACCTCGCATCGTTCTGTCCGAGTGCGCACGAGAGCGCGGAATGAGAGTGATTGTTTCTTGTGACCAAGTGCAATGTCGGATCTGTTGCACGAATGTTGCAGCTATGATGTTACTGTTTGCATGCTACAAACTTCAATTGATGAGGTGGAATGATGTTTTTGGAGCATTTCTGACTGTGATCGTACTATTATGACACAAAAATAACAGTTCAGATGCAACGCATTGAGCTGCAGCTAGTAAGAGATCGATGATGGTTTGGGGGGATTTCTAGTTCTGGACAAGTTTAAGTAGCACGGCGGTGTTTTACCTATCCACCGCATCGTAATGTTTAAGCATCAAGTTGCAAGGCCTAGGCAGAGCTTGAAGCCTTGAGCGATTAGGCATTTTGTGCATTTTTGAAGATCATGCCATGATTGTGTTTCGAGATATTGGAGTAAAGGTCGAAGTTTAGATATGGTCAATGTACAATTTGATCAAACTTAGTCAAATGTACAAGTTATAGATATCTGACATTTTGGAAAGTGTGCCCCCCGCCTGACGCGGAGGGATTGGTACAACTGATATAGAAGTAGACGGTCTTCAGGAAGTATAGCAAGGCGCTGTTGCAATCCTTTGTTTGCCACAAGCGATGCAATATGATAAGATATGAACATAAGCAGAGATGCGAGACACTCTACTTGCCTTAGTCTGAATACAAATTAGCACCAAACAAGTGATTAGTTCATTCAAGATAGGTTCTCTCCTCCAGTCTCCTTGTCTTCACCGACAGGAAAAATGTAACACCTAATTAAGGGCTTCAGCTTTCAGCAGCCGATCTGCCAGTTCGCCAGACCGGTGCAATTCCTGCACTCTATCGTTTCCACCGACGCTCTTGCCCTTGATGAAAAGGTTCGGTACGGTAGACTGACGCGTCAATCGAAACAGGAAAGCCTGGATAGCCGCACCATCTTCTCGAATATCCAGCTCTAACACTACGGGCTTGACGCCAAGCTCCTCCAAAGTCTCTTTGGTTTTCTTGCAGTACGGGCAATATGACTTACTGAAGAGCACCACGGGGTTTTGATTGATAGTTGACCACACGATATCCTCTGCAAGCGTGCCACTCTTCTCCAAAATTGTACGTAGCGTCCCTTTCTGCTGCAGCTTCTGCACTTCAGGCAAACCACCGATATACTTGCCTTTAATATACACAAGTGGCAGTTCCTTGCGACCAGTGAGTGCCTCAACAGCTTCCCGATCAAATGGGACATGGTCCGCATAGCCAATCTCCTTGGTACGCACAGTCGCGCGGAACTTGTGAAGCATCTTCTGCACTTCCTTCTTCTCCGGACAGTCCTTTTCCGATATAATTACCACGCTGTGAGGGGTCTCTAGCACGTGCATTAACTCCTCAAGACGCATTCTAGCCTCGTAATTGTCGTTTGTAAGGCGCTCCACAAACTCAACCTTGTCGAATCCAATTTGGTGACCACGGTCTTCCTTGGCCATAAATCCGGGCTCCATTTTCTTTGAAATAGACTCAATCGTGTGCCATCCTTCCACAACCCGTCCAAATACCGTGTAACCAGGTCCGTCTTTGCTTGGCTTGTTTCTCTCTGTGTTGTCGTGCAGCATGATGGCGAACTCGGTGTTGCCCGAGTCCGGCTTGTGGCTGCGCGCAAGCACCACCATCCTCTCGGTACTCGGGGCGCTGTACTCCACCGGCAAGTTTCCGACGGGCGACTCTTTATCATAGAGAAATCCTCCTCCTTGAAGCACAAACTTGGGCTCGTTGTAGTAAAAACCGGCGTCCTTGAGGTAAAAACCACCATCCACGAGCTTCTTGAAAGCCTCTACTGTTTTGGGCGCATGCTCCGGGTACAGATCTACGGTGAAATTGCCAAATGTGGTAGAAAACTGCACCATCGTTTTTTTTGTAGAAGGGCGTGGACAACACTGGATGCATCTGCAAGCTCGAGAACTGCCACACATGCACGAAGATCATGAGGCTAAAAAATGTCAAAGCGGCGTAAACAAGCGGTGCACCGAGCCAGGAAGAGCTACGTCTACTCGCAGGCCGGGCATAGGACAGCTTGCGGCTTCCTTCTGTGGCTTGCACCTCCGCATACGCAGGTACTCGACGCTTGTTAGTAGGGTCCAGCATCTCGAACAATTTACGATACTGTGACCACGGTAGGTAGACTGATACAAAATGACAAGTATGCAGTTTCTTTGATTCATTTACCGGTATAGTTTGCAAGATTTTTTGCTTCAAATTATTTTATCAAGAATACATACCGAAAGCTTACCGGCTTTTATCAAAAAGTACCAAATAAAATGTAAGTAAAGTAAAGGTACGCTACTTCTTGTAAGGATGGTACCGGTACGAGGAAGTACCTTTGGTTTTGTAAGATAGATTGTTGTACCGGTATATACTTTCCCATACTTGATTACTTCAAGGGCCGATATTTCCTGGGTCATGGAGTTCCTCGCTGAGGAGAATGACTGCGGCCAAACACTGCTGCGTCTTGTAAGTCGTGGCAGTGCCATCATCGCTGAGCTGCTGCGTCTATCGAACAATATACCGGGGTACATAGGCAGCGAACTGCTTGAGGAAGAAAACCATCATCACTCTTTAACTTAATCTCTGTATGTGTAGCGTCTTCATGGGGCCTACGCACGTGGAAGATCCGGAGCAACTCAAGTACCTAAATATTCTATTTGATTTTGCATACTTGAAAAATCCAGAAGAGTTTGAGAATATGGTTAACAGCAACACGGTGGGTGAATGTCAAGATTCGTGGGTTTTATGCACATCAGGATCTGATACGATGGGTTTTATGGCTTGTATAACTAGTAGGAGCTTTTGGATGTGGACGATGAATTTATGGACAACCACGAAGATATTTTGGACCGATTTTACCAGCTATTTGATGGTATTTATAAGGTGTGCTTGTTGTTTGAAGTTGAGAGATAGTTCATGCAGGGGACATTGGCTTAATAGTAATTATGATGTTGTACATGCTTTTGTTTTGAGCAGTATGTCAGTGACTACTTGGAGTTTTTGGACAATTTAGAGAAAGGGTTCTTTATTCAGCACACGCTGGCGAACATCCTGCTGGACACGGATGGTGCTCAGCTCATGTGCGAGGCGTTATATCTTTACGGAGTGATCTTGCTTCTGCTAGACCGCAAGATCCCGGGTCCGACGCGTGAGAAGATGGTCATTGCCTTTTATCGAAGCAAGGGCGAGTCTGCGCTAGAAAACATTGATGAAGTTTGCAAATTGTGTCGCGTAACAGGATATTTGCCTGGTCAGCCGAAACCGGCGCAATATCCCGAGCGATACTTCAAGCGTTTTCAACCTCCTGAGGAAGTTGTCAGCATGGTGATTGGCAAACTGCAGTCTGACGATGTATACTTGCAAGAGCCCTGCTTTCCGCACCGCACTCATCGCTCTACCCGACTCGCATCACAAGCTTCGATGCTTTTTGTGATCCTGTTCTTTGCTCCGGATATCCTGATTCACGAGAAGGCGAGTATGCGTGAAATCGTGGATCGGCATTTTAACGACAACTTCATCTTAACGACGTACATGGGAGCAGTAGCTGATCTGTCGCTAGAGTGGGCAGCTTATCCAGCGGCACGCTTGGCACTTGCAAACACACTGGAAACGTCGAACGTTGCTCAAATTACGAAGACAAAAGCACAGCAGATGCAGTGGTCCATTAATGAACTAAACTATTTCCTGACCGAAGGTGTGCTTACGGAAATGCATGTGCTAGAAAACCTTGATCCGTTGTTGAATTGCATTCGTAATGCGAATGTGACGATTCGGTGGACTATGATGCACTCTCGCATTCAACCAGTGATTCCCATGATGGAAAACTCCACGGCGCAGCGCGATATCTTTGATAAAGGCACAGACCCGGACAAGCTAATCACTCTACTGCTTAAAGTGTCGCAGTTGGAGTGGAAGCTCAAGCAAATGTTTGAGACTCTGCTAGCCAGTAAAGAAGATCGGTGGCAGCGTTGCATGAAGGAAACATCGGAACGAATGGAGGAGCTCAGTGAATACTTTTCCGGCGAGAAACCGCTCACTCGGGTGGAGCGCAACGAGGATCTGATGAAGTGGTTCAAGGATTTGGCTGAGAAGGTCAACAGCTTAGACTACATAGATCACATCAAAGCTGGGCGACGAATTAAACGGCTGATTGAGGCGTTGGGCCACGTTGAGCAGTTTGACCAAATTGACACGAACTTGCAAGTAAAGGCGTACCTCGAGGAATCTCGCGAGTATCTTACTGAGATGGTACGAACCGTGCGCATTCGAGATGAGGTCATGGGTATTATCGAAAACGTGTCAGATCTGTCGTATGCCTGGGAGATCATTAACGATTTCATGAAGATATTACATCAGCGTGTAAAAAACGACCCGTCGTCTGTCATTCTGCTGCGTGCAATGTTCCTAAAGTTTGCGTCAATATTGGATGTACCCCTTACGCGCATCCACCAGTGTGGGTCTGAGGATGTAATCTCGGTGGCTGAATATTATTCAGCTGAGCTTGTGGATTACGTGCGGCGCGTCATGGAAGTCATTCCACAGAGTGTTTTTCGTATCTTGGCGGGTATAATCAAGTTGCAAACCGACCATATGAAGCCAATTCCCGTGAAGTTCGAAAACACATTGCTCAAGGATCATGCCCAGTTGAACGAGCGTTACCGCCTTGCTCGCGCAACGAATGAGGTTTCCAAGTACACCGAGGGTATATTGGCCATGAAGCGTACCTTGCTTGGTATTATCGAGGTCGACCCTCGACAAGTGCTGGAAGATGGTTTGCGCAAAGAGCTTGTCTATCGTGTGTCGCTTGCTTTTCATGAGGTGCTCAACTTTGAGAAGAATACATCTGAAGAATGTAACGAAGTCTTTGTCAAGCTGGCCTCTAACTTGGATGCCTATCGGCTTTCGTTCGAGTACATTCAAGACTACATTGGTATTTACGGACTGCGCATGTGGCACGAGGAGCTATCTCGTATTATCAACTACAATGTCGAGCAGGAGTGCAACCGCTACTTGAAGAAAAAGGTATACGATCGCGCATCTCAGTACCAGAGCCGTGCTATCCCGATTCCACGCTTTCAACCACCATCAGGTGACATGAGTGTAAACTTCATGGGGCGTCTGATGCATGCACTCTTTATCATGACGGACCCCCATACGACAATCTACTCACCGCAATCTATCGGTTGGTTTTCCGAAGATGGAAATGAAGTTTGTGGAATTGGTGCTTTCTCTGTTCTTCACAAGAGCGTAGGTCTGTTGGGCCTAGCAGGTCTGGACCGTATGCTCTCGTTTCGTATTGTGCATACACTCAACAACTTGGTCAAGTTCTGGGGGTCAGCTGTAACGCCTTACCTACCGCTCCTAGACCAGCTCTCCGCAGCACTTGTACCAGAGTGGAAGCTTCCTGAGCATTCGACAAAGCTTTACGAAGCTGCACTGAAAAAGGTAGAGAAGATTATGAGTAAGCTGCTCAAGGCTGTGCTGATTATTGGCCAGGCAGCACTCATCCGGCGACAGATTTCAAGCGAACTATCGTTCTCAAGCCGCCTGGACGCTAATTTGCTAGCTACGACACTGGACACGTTGAACATTTCGCTTTTGAATGATATTCGCGCACATTACCGTGACCCGAAGACCAAGCCATACCCTGGCAATGATGGCAACCCCGTGCTTGTAGAACTGAACAAATATTTAGAGAACACTGGTGCCAACGATCCATTCCAGAAGATTTACGTGACCGTCTCAGAGCCTATGGAGGGACTTGCGGCTATGTTCATGCTCTTTGTAGTGGCCTATATGCCAAAACTGCAGTACGACCGCAACTTTGGCGCGCTCAGTCGAGTTGGCAAGAACCCCATTGATGGCGAACCTTTGCTCGTAGGCATTCTCACCATCTTCAAGCAGTTCCATCCTTCCTATACGGAGAAATTTTTGGCCTATTTGGGCCAGTTTGTGCGTACCAAGGTTAACGATATTTTTGCCGAGAAAGGAGATAAGAAGAGCAAATCATCTTCTTTGCCAATGGAACTTCCTGTGGACGTGGTGAACGCGCTCATTTTCATGCTCGAGTTCGCGCGCTGTGCTAAGATCAAGCGCAGCATTCTGGATGGTCACGTTCCTGCATATGTTTTTGATGCTATTCAGCTCTAATTTCTGTACAAATAGATACACGAAAAGATGTTGAAATGAATGCTTACAGACGGCCAAACCACGTCATGGAAGAGCAGAACAAGTAGACAACAGTAAGCATTACAGGCAGAAAGGTTGAAGTTGAAGTTGAATGGCAGTAACACGAATGTTACTCTAAATTGGTCGTACTTAGTACGAATTAGATATTAATTTCATAAGAGCAGAAGCAAAGAAGTTTACAATGAGCGACAATGGCAGTTATCTGGAACCTACGCGGGCTATTTTCACGCAAAGCGACTTGCATCACTTCCTCGGATCTCCGGTAGGTTTAATCGATCTTATTTACGCACTGGTTTGTTTCCAACCTTGCCTTTCTATCTTATAGATCTTTTTTGTGTGTTGCTAAGAAAAGAAACAAACTGATTAGTTTGTTTTGTTTTGAACTGTTTTACAGGCCCAGCAAATGATATTGGTGTTTGTAAAGCATCTGAACGAGAGTGTTAAGAGTAAACGTATCTCGAGTGATTATGAAGTGTCACCGGTAGTATATATACTTTTTTTCAGTTTGATGCTATGACAGAAGGCTAAAAGATGCTTTTTCTGGTTTTGGAATAATTTTGCAATGATGTACAGAACGTTCAAAAGGCAGTAGACCTATTGAACGAAGTCAACTCGTGGATTGTCGAGATTCCACCTATTGACCAACCCATGCGCTTTGGCAACAAGGCTTTTCGTATATTTTACGATCGAGTTATCGAGGTACGTGAGCGAGAGAAAGACGCGATCATCAAAGCTGGCCTGCTTCTTGGCAGAAGGCTTGCTACTAGGCTGCAGGATAGAGTCATGCTTACTTGTACTTACCGTATTGTATATTTGTGAGCAGAGAACACGTACGATGCAGGAGAATATGCTGCCGGAGGAAAAGCGTGGCGCTGTTATTGAACTGGCGGCATATCTGGATGACTCTTTCGGAAACCGCGTCCGGATCGATTATGGCACAGGCCATGAAACCAGCTTTATTGTGTGGATGTGTACGGGCTGCAAGGTGTAAAAAACTGAAGAGTGGAGTGACTTGCTGACATCAGTGTTGCTATAGGTTGCCTGCACAAAATTGGCTTCTTTAAACAATCGGACTTCCCAGCACTTGTGCTGCGTCTCTTCAATTCATACCTAGCGCTAATGCGCCGACTACAGAAGCAATATATGCTCGAGCCAGCAGGCTCTCATGGCGTCTGGGGCCTCGATGACTACCATTGCCTTCCGTTCTACTTTGGATCTGCCCAACTCATTGGGCAGCACGAGATCTTACCTGAAAGCGTACACGATGACACTGTATTGCAGGCAAGTCACGAGGAATATTTGTATCTGGATGCTATCAAGTTTATCAAGGAAGTAAAGGCAGGCTCACCATTTGCAGAGACATCACCGATGTTGAACGACATCAGTGCACTACCATCATGGGAGAAGACCAACGGAGGTATGCTGAAGCTGTACGAGGGTGAAGTGCTGAAGAAATTGCCAGTCATCCAGCATTTGCGCTTTGGTACACTCTTCCCTTGCACATGGACGCCAAGCCACGCAGCCGACGATGGTTCGACCTATGTCCCGTTAAGCACGCATCAAGGTACAAGCACTCGTGCTCCTAACTTTGCTGTAGAAGGTGTATCGACCAAAGCGCCGTGGGTTACTGCAGCAACGCATCCGTCCACGCAAAACACATCGATGTCGCCCCTACATCAAGCCACGAAGACGCCGGAGAAGTAATCGTATGGTCACCTGTGTTTCTAAGCGCAGCACTGCAGTGAGAATCTGCGAGCTCGTGCGCCAAAACGGGTGGGTACTGTCAATCCAAAATTGAAATGTGGTGTTTTTGAATTAGCGCTTTTTGTGTGCTCTTTGTTGTTTGTTGCTCGCAAAAATAGCAATTTGAGCGGTGCTGGCGTGTATTGTTCAGTTCGCAGCAATGTGCTTTATTGTTGTGGAGGGACCGCAGATAAAGAGCTTTCTTTACTTTTGTGGCGAAAAAATATGCTGTTTAACAGGCTTGCTGACTCAGTTTCAGGCTGCAGTTGCCATGTCGCTTGCCTCACCGAGGCCACGTGTTTAAACAATGCGTCACAAGACAGTCGGAGTGAGTGGAAAAGGGCTGCTAAGTTTTCGCTTTTGTCGAGCGAAAACAGACGAGGGAGTGACGCACTGAACAAGAAACGGCCTCAAAGATTGTCGAGGCTCTAACGCTCGAGAAATGGAGCAGAGCCTTTCGCCGCGCGAACGCGACATGGAGTAAAATGGCTTGTGGTGAGCAGGAGAGCAAATGCCGCACCAAAAAAACAATTAGTGAACTGCCTGACGAGGCCAGTCATGACGAGCGTAGATTACGTAAGCGAGAGTCGACCGTCAAAACGGTAGACGGTGGCCGCATCACGTTAGCTGCGCTGAGACGAAGACAAAGATGTTACGAACAGCAGCCGTGCAATGCAGGACAAGAAAGAGGCCGAGCTAGCATTTAATTTGCAACTAGGAAGCCGTGGCACCAACATGCAGGTTGAGCACCGGCACTGCACAATTAGCATGTCACTTCATACAGTACACACGAGCTTACCATTTGGATGGTCGCTATTACTTTTCCGTTACTACATAACGTGTTTGGTCATAGACCAGTATTTGACATTTCAACGTTGATGCTTACATTTCATCCCCGAGCATTGTTGCTGGATCACGGCACTCAACGTTGACTATATTTTCACAGCCGAGCGTTCCAAGCTCAGCGTAAGCACATGAATATGGCGTGTGTCACCGCAAAAAATTATCCTTGCACAATTCTAGGTCGTCAAAGCTAGACGGTAGACAGACTTGGCGAAAATGGCCACAGTGCCTGAGTTACCGTGCTCACGAATCGTTGCGGCCACGTACGTACCACATCCCGAAGAGTCAGTAGCGATGAGCTGAGACGTTTTGCCAGAAAAAAGACCATCTACAACATCGCATAACCTCTCAAAATTACAAAAACATATCTTATCAATTTGTTTTGAAAGGCCATAAGAAGTTGTCGAACAATAATGACGCTGCATGCTGGTTTGATCTCAATGGTCATATAAAAAAAGCCATAACTGTTGCCCATGATGGGAAATACCAGTACACGTTTGCTCCAATATCTTGTGGAACAAGCTTGGTGGAACAGCACCAAATGCGATATTTGGTCATCGTATATAGAAGACGCATAATAAGACAACAAGTCGTTTGTTTACGCCGACTGGTTATGCCATTATCAACATGACACATCATACCATCTCTATAAATTGTAGCCCCGGTATCTCCGATAGTGATACGATTATCGTTTTTGGTAGCTCTCAATATTAGTGCGACGTCGTCCAATCGGTCGAATATTTGCCACGTGCCGATCCTGAACCGGCCCGCCATGGTAGCACGTGTAACGGTCACTGGATACACTCGTTTTCTTAATTACTATGGCAAATCGTATGCGGTTGAGAAGCAAAAATGCAGGCGCCTAGTTTTTGCAAGATTGTCTCGAGCAAATCTGTCCACTGTTGTTTGTCCACTAATTAGCATCCACCTTCGAAACAAATGGTCTGTCCCCTTTTTGATGAGCTCGCAGTGTAGGAAAACCTGTTAAATAGAATCAATTCTCTCTCAAAAATAAAATCAGCTGCTTAAAAATGGACTGGCTACTGATACAGATTTCCAAAGCACGGACAGTATTGTTTTACCCAGCCCTTGTGCGATCTCGCCCTTTCCCAGCCAGCCGCCCGGTCGCTCTACCAGCTGACTGGCCACGGTGGTTTCGTCCTCTTGACTGGCGGAGATGCCAAGCCACATCACTCAGCCTCCCACAACATTTCATTCCGGAATTTACCTCGCCGAGCTCAAGCCAATCCAATTCAAGCGAGTGCTTCTAGTACCCTAACACAAGTTTCCTCAAGTAAAAGAACAGTACACTCGGTATTATGGCCCCGTACGCACCTACTGACGGCATTAGCAAGCTCGCCATTGACCAGAGCAAGCATTTTACTGAAGCATTGAAGGAGGCTTTCAAAAGCTCGATTGACCAGCAAAAGATTGCGGCAGAGAAGGTTTCGGAGCTCGTTGGTAGTGATTTCAACGTGAACCTTGGTGTTGTCTCTCAAGAATTGCGCAATGCTTTGGTCGGTAATGATGCCGATGCTAAGGTTGTTGCTGCGTATGTTGTGGACGATCTCATGCAGAAGCAAGCTGAGCGTGTTGAGGCCTATTTGATGCCGTTGCTCTCTGTGTTTCTGGACTTGCTGTCAGACAAGAAGCCGACCATGCGCAACGTGGCAGAGGAGGCTGCATTGACTATAATAAGCTCGACCAACAAGAACTCGACGATCCGTATCTTGCCAATCCTATTTGACGGTCTGGATCGCTCGAAGAAGTGGCAGACGAAGAAGGGCTCGCTCGAACTTGTGGGTGAATTATCTACGATTGCTCCGTATCAGGTTGGACGCTGTCTACCTGATATCATTCCACAAGTGACGGATTGCATGTGGGACACACGTAAGGAGGTAAAGGTTGCCGCAAAGGAGACGATGACACGTGTTTGCAGTGTTGTAGGCAACATGGATATTGAGCCTTTTATTCCAGCTCTGGTGAGCTGTCTGGCGAACCCTACGGAGGTACCCGAGTGCACTCACAAGCTAGCTTCAACTACGTTCGTTAAGACCGTTGAGGCTCCAGCTCTTGCTATTATGGAACCTCTGCTAAAGCGTGCTTTGGCGGAGGGTAAGACGGCTGTGAAGCGTCAAGCCGCTGTCATTATTGACAACATGTGTAAACTAATGGACGATCCTGCGGAGGCTCAGTTATTTATTCCTAAGCTACTTCCTGGTTTGAAGAAAGTCATTGAGACACAGGCTGACCCTGAGTGTCGTGAGGTTGCCACTCGCGCACACGAGACGCTGTTCGTGGCTGGTGGTTCCATGGAAGTGTCGGAAGACGAGTTGAAAGTTGATTACGAAAACATTCACAATGTTGTGGTTGAGTCGATTGCTGCGAGTCCTGCTGCTGTGAAAGCTGAAATTGACAGCTTCACGGTCGACTACGCTACAGGCATTTGTTACTTCCTGGTTGTTGCTCGCAACTTTAACAAGACTGTCTTTGAGAAGGAGATTGGTACCTATTTTAATGCTTTTATGAAGCCTGAGGACATAAAGCCACTCGCGAACGAGATTCGCGACCGCTGTTTCAAGGAGAATAAGTCGATATTCATTGAGGACGTAGACTGTGACGAGGGTATTCCTGACCTTTGCAACTGTGAGTTTTCGCTTGCTTACGGTGGTATGATTTTGTTGAACAACGCTCGCCTTCGTCTTAAGCGCGGTCATCGTTACGGTCTGTGCGGTCCTAATGGATGTGGTAAGTCGACGTTGATGCGCGCCATTTCCAACGGCCAGCTGGAGGGTTTTCCGAGCCGTGATGAGTTAAAGACTGTGTTTGTTGAGCACAATCTGCAGGCTTCTGAAGCCGAACTGTCTGTGGTGGACTTTATCCTAGTGGATGAGGACTTGAAGAACACTCCACGAAAAGAGGTGGAGGACACGCTTGCTGGTGTGGGTTTCACGCCTGAGATGCAAGCCCAGGGCGTGGGTACTCTTTCTGGTGGTTGGAAGATGAAACTAGAGCTTGCTCGTGCTATGTTGCAAAAGGCTGACATTTTGTTACTTGATGAGCCGACGAACCATTTGGATGTAAAAAATGTGGCTTGGTTGGAGAATTATCTGACAAGCCTGACAAACGTGACCTCAATCATGGTGTCACACGACTCTGGTTTCCTTGACACGGTGTGTACAAACATCATTCACTACGAGATGCGTAAGTTGAAGATCTACAAGGGCAATTTGTCTAAGTTTGTGGAGCAGAAGCCCGAGGCTAAGGCCTACTATGAGCTGGAGTCTGAGAACGTGAAGTTTACGTTCCCGGAGCCGGGTTTTCTCGCTGATATTAAGAACAAGGGCAAACCCATTATTCGTTTGACCAACTGCTCGTACCAGTACCCTGGATCCGCCAAGCCGTCGATCAACAACATTTCTGTGACTTGTGCCCTATCGAGTCGTATCGCAGTACTTGGCCCTAATGGTGCTGGCAAGTCTACGCTGATCAAGATGCTGACTGGTGAGGTTGAGCCAACTAGTGGACAGGTATGGAAGCACCCTTCCATGCGTTTTGCCTATGTGGCTCAGCACGCTTTCCACCATATCGAGTCTCATCTTGATGAGACTGCAAACCAGTACATTCAATGGCGTTTCCAGTCGGGTGAGGACAAGGAGCTATTAGCTAAGGAGACGCGTAAGCTAAGTAAGGAGGAGAAGGAGCACTATAAGAAACCGGTGAACTGGGAGGGTGAGAAGCGCGTGTTGGAGGAGATTGTATCTCGCCGCAAGTTCAAGAAGAGTTTTGAGTACGAGCTGAAGTGGGAGAAGTGTTCTGTTGACCAGAATGCATGGGTACCACGTGAGAAGTGTGAGAAGTGGGGCTGGGACAAGCTGTTACAGATTGCTGATGACCGAGAGGCCGCTCGTGCTAACTTGCAGTCCCGTCCGCCTACTGCCATCGCGGTGCAGAAGCATTTGGACTGCTTTGGGCTTGGGGCTGAGTTTGGTACCCACTCGCGCATGCGCGGTTTGTCCGGTGGCCAGAAGGTGAAGGTCGTGTTGGCTGCCGCTATGTGGCTGAATCCGCACATCCTGGTTCTTGATGAGCCCACGAACTATTTGGACCGTGACTCTCTTGGTGCACTTGCTTCGGCCATTAAGGAGTTCAACGGTGGTGTGGTTATGATCACCCATCACAACGAGTTTTCATCGGCATTGACTCAGGAAACATGGAACATCGAGGCGGGTTTCCTTAAGGTCGAGGGCCAACAGGCTGAGGATAAGACGAAAATTGAGCAGAAGGATGAAGAAGAGGTTACGGATGCTTTTGGTAATGTAACGAAGACGAAAATCAAGCGCAAGCTCACACGTAAGGAAAAGAAGGCCAAAGACAAAGCTCGCAAGGAAGCCGAGGCTGCCGGCGAGTATTGGAGCGATTCGGACGAGGAGTAAGCGATTATTTGTTCGCACCTCGATCATCCATCTCTTTCGCTTGGTACTTTAATATGCAATAGAGAACTCGTTGACGTACTATATAGTGATTTAGGAGGCGATGTAGACCGCTAATTTTCAAAATGCATAAAGAAGCCACCACCTTTGTTTTTAGCTCTCATCATGCATTATATCTCTGGTATATTGCTGTTATCTTCATACGTTTCTGTGACCAAGTATTGAAAGCACTGCTTACGAATTAATAGCTAACTTAGCAATTGACATACAACACACATTGTCATTGATATCGTTAGTCAGTCATTGTAGTTCTTACGAAAGAACACATCAACGTTGTTCTCGAGCTTCATTTTAGACGCCTCGTGCATTCTTCTTGTCCTACCTATCAACCTCTTCGGGGATGATTCATCTCGGATGACGCATGCGTCTATATGCGCATTCACCTCCATGCTGCTCCGAGTATTCAGCAATTTCCCGCAAATAGGACACGGCTTAGCATCTTCACCAGCTTCTTCTGAGTCAACTTGAACACGAGCAAACGCGCTTGGAATGGCGTTTATCTTTAGCGTTTTGTGTGTTGTATGTCGCAACGGCAACGACAATGGAGAAGGTTTCTTGCTTGTGACGCAAGCATCTATGTGAGCATTCACCTCCATGTTGTTCTTAGTATTCAACAGCTTCCCACAAATTGGGCACGGCTTGTTATCCACCTCCGGTAGACTCATCATTGAGTGCGGTCTGACAGCGAAGGCACGCAAAACATTGACACTTTTCAGCTTCTTACGCCTTGAACGTCCAGCAGCATCCTTAAAGACACAACCGTCTGGTTCAACGTTTTCAGCGGTTGCAGAAAGAGTCTTTCCACATTGTCGACGGGAGAAATAGTCCATCTTGTATGAATAAGGTACGGTTATGACAGTCGAAAAGCGTTTTCCATCCTCTGCCTTGTCGACCATATTTTGATCAGTTCTTCCACTGTCACATGATGCAAGCGCAAAAGCAGGATCATCAACTTGTTCGGCAAACTTATTAATAGCAATTTGCCGCTTCTTGTTGCTCATACCAGTCTGAGGAGAGTTATTTGTGCTTGAGCCTTTTGATCGTGAAACCAATGTCGCTGCACGAACGCCCATAAGACGCAGTGTGAGTGGCAATTCACGGCGTAGAAGCTCGACAGCGTTTGCAAGCAAATCGTCGGCAGTAAAAACCGCAGATACAAGTGTCATTGATCGAGAAAAGCGGGCAAAGTCCGTGTCCTTGTAGATGAGCGTCACGTTCTTGGCGGCCTTGTCTGCCTCCTCGAGGTCGTTGGCAAGCATCTTGCAGATCTCTTTGCACTTTGCTTCGAGTTGCTTGGGATCACTCAACCCCGGAAACGTGCGTTCGCGGCTAAAACTTTTTCGTTCTTGTTTCCTGCGTCGTTCTCGAATGCCAAGCGAGGTCTGCAACAACCACTCAGCCGTCTTCTTCGAAAACAAGTGGGCAATTTTACCTCGCTGAGCAAACAACTCAGCACCAGTATGCACATCAAGCGCCTCGTTCAGTAGTTTTTCGGTAACTTTCCCAATACCACCGATCTTGCGCACGGGTAGCTCTTGAATGAAAGCGATCACACATTCTCGTGTGAACGGCAAGACGTATTGCCCATTGGGTTTGTTCATATCCGAGCAGATCTGCGCACGTACAACGAACGACACCACCAAATTAGAGACACAAGTATGAGAGCAAAGATAGAGACCTGACAGTACCTTGGCAAGCATGACGTTCACTGCAATACCAGCGCTGGCTGTAAGCTGCGTACAGTCAAAGATTTTCTTACGTAATTCACGGACTATTACTGCTGCAATTGCTGCACGACCACAAGCTGTCGATGCCCATTGTTGCTCGTCAGTCACGTCACTCCCGGTATTGTTTTCTTCTACGGCTGACACATACTTTTGCCAGTTCTTGGACACAAAGTCCGTAAGGTCAAGACAAGCTTCATCAAGACTCAAAGCTTCAAAGTCCGGATCATACTCTGCAAACACTGCGCGTATCTGAGCAGCCACCCCTTTGTATTTTTTCATGTCGACTGGTACAAAATGGAGTTCTGGACAAAGCTCTTTGCCGATAAATCCTGGCATTGCAGCACGCACGCCGTACTGCCTTGCAGCATAATTAGTTGTGCTAATCATATTGAGTCCACCGACGGCAAGTGGTACATCCCGTAGCTTCGGGTTGTCCCGCATCTCTACAGCAGCGTAGAACATGTCCATATCCACGACCACAATAATGCGCGAAAGGTCTCGCATTACCTCCATTTGTGCTATACAAACATCGGTCTCCTGTTGTAAACGCTGTAGTTGTCCACCAGATAAGCACGCAATCTTCTTACGCATACTAATAACTCGCTCCTCTACTCTTTCATTGTCGTGTAGAGATTTCTGATAAAATGATGAAGCTTTGGACATCCTGTGCACTACTTTCTGTACGTGTTGCTTGTCCACACCATTCATACCAGCCTTATCCGCAGTAAAAACAAACATAGATGATGTTGTTACAATCTCTTTATCTATTGAATGGACGTCAGGAGACGGTTTTACAGTGTTGCATGCAACTTCATTGGACTTGGCACAAGACATGCCAATTGACAAATGAGCGTGAACCTATACACCATCCAAACAGTTACTACGTGGTACACACCATCTCGTTAGCGCCACGCTGAGCAAGTCGATCTTGAGACGGCGCCAAAATGCAAACTCAGCAGAGAGATTCGTAGGATAACCATACAAGACTTTATCGTCTTAGTATCTTCGTGTTTTTGCAATCTTCTAAGTCATACGCCTGCTAGGTCCAAGGCTTCGAGTGATCGAGTGAGTGGAAGATCGTGCAATGCCTCCTCAATAATCGTCTCCACCTCTTTGCTACCTTCAGTTACTTCCCCAATGCGATTGCGATTAGCCTTCTCGAATTGACGCAAAATCGCCTCGGTCTTTTTGACTTCTGTCTCCCATTTGAGATTTGGCGTACTGTTGTTTGAATTTCTTGTCGCATCCAGCATGTTGGCACTTGCACGATCAAGATCAGGTTGATATACGATCATCGTCGGGTGTTTCGCCACTCGTACGCCATTCCACAGCCATTCCGGGACATCTGCTGTGACCACAACCTCCTCTGAAAAGACAGCCAAATACTCGGACTCGTCCTTCTCAATACCATGATCCCGTGTAAATCTACAGGCAAAGAACCCCACAAGATCAGAGCGTGTCAACAACGTTTTGTCTCCTTGTTATAAGTAGTTAAATTTGGCACGTCACCTGCAAAACTCCGACACAATGGCCAGTTTCGTCCAATTCTGGAGCTTGCGAAGGATCATCACAATAATACCCGTGACATTGGCTCCATCGAGACAATGAATATACAGTGGTAGATTCTTCTTTTGTACTACAATATCCAAGATCTGTGCCACTGTAGTAGATGGTACTGTCACATTGTCAGATGTAAACTTCTCGGCATAAAAATGCCGTAACGTGATTTTCTCATTCGTACAAAACTCGACCAAGTCACTTGTCGGTACCTCTGGAATCACTGACACTACTGTATTTAAATCCAAGCGACGTAAGAAACGAAAGTTCTTGAGTGTTGGATATGATCCACGATATAATCCTTGCTGTATCGTACTAAACCGGAAGGGCGGGATTAACGCTGGTGCCATGGCATGCATCTTGGTACGTTTTGGGGGGTACGTTGTACCACTTTTGTTTCTAAATAATTAAATATTATGGCTATACTATTGACAATAAATACCCTATGAGATCATTTCTATATTTGCCTTGTAAAACGAACGAACGGACGAACGGACGGCACTAAGAAAAAAAAGACGATTATAATGTTAGTTATGATTAATGCAACGGATAATCCATGGATGGTAGCTTTATTACTGTTTGTACAAGTAGTAATGCCATTGCTACAAAATAATGCTGCAGATAATGAAGGTGCATCTTTGGCACTGAATGTAGCGATTCTTTTTCTGCTTGGCCTTTCGCTCATGACCTTTTGGAAGGCCGCACGCTTCTGTTGCGTTCTCTACCAATTATGGGGACGGGTATATAGTTAATCATCATAATGCTTTGTATTCTATATTGAAGTTATTGTATGACAAACTAATACTGATGTTGGTCATATATTTCTAATGTAGCATCTTGAAATGGGTTGGGTAGCCTTCTTTCGAGAGGCGTATATGCAAGTGTCGGCGGTAGGAGATCAGCATGGAGCAAACAATCAGAATGGAGCGGCACAGGAAGAAGCACGATCTGAGACGTTCAACCGCACATTGCGTACTATACAAGTAATGCCTACGGAAGAATTTAAGACGCCGGAGGAGCTCAAGGAAGCTAGTATTGCCGAATTAAAACAACGGCTTGAGCGTCGTGACGTGGACTTTACTGGTTGCGTGGAGCGTCAGGAACTGGTAGAGCTTTTGGTAAAGTACAGAGGTGGACCTTCCAATAACAACACTTGTTGTATCTGCTGTGACGAATACCAAACGGGCGATGTACTGCGTTTGCTCCGCAAGTGTAAGCACGAATTCCATCTCGAATGTCTGGACAAGTGGGCGTTTACTTCTGTGCACTCACAACGCGCACCATCCTGCCCACTTTGTAATCAAGATTTGGAGTAGCTTTTTTTGGGTTTGGCATTGTCCGTGCTTGATTGGTATGGACTGAAACGGGGCAATGCGTGTGTACTAAGCGCGTGTCATTTGGCCGCGTTATTTTTGCTGGATACAGTCGCTCGTAAGCAGCACACTCTATTTCAAGATTATATTACCAACAAGGCCTGTAGGAATTGATTATTGTTCTTGCTGGCCAATCTTGGCTTTGTAATAAAGCCTTTTACTGGCTATTTTACAATACTATTGTAGGGCTATTTACAATAATAATTACTTAATCAATGCATTCATTATTATATCAATATCACGTATAATAATATTCACCTTCATTCAATAATCAAGCAATTATTATTGACACAGCCGTCCATAGCACATCAAATAATGGCATTGCGTATTCTTGCTACCGATGGTCGGTGGGCTCTTATCACTCTTCATCGAAAATTTAGTACGTATGTCTCTCTTTTAATCACCTCCTTCTGTATATCTTCTCGGTCTTCATTGCTTATATTATCGCTTGGAATTTATACAGCCAGTGCTGCTTTTTCAACACAAAGTAGCTCTACTTCTGTCCGTACGTGTCAAATATCTAACTATCTACTGCTACATACAGATGACAGTATCATTTCTTTATATTATCTACCCGGTTTACTATTGCTTATCACACATTGATATATTATATTGTTGTAGCTATTCTACTGTCCTATGGTGATGGATTTCTGGGTGCATTGGGCACAGGAAGCTACGAAAATGTACCGAGTCCAAGACCGTTACCAACGACAACTGATCTGTCGGTTAAGAAGATATCAGCTGGATGGGCCCATGCTGGTTTTGTTACGAATGATGGAAACGCTTATATATATGGACGCACACACTCGTTTCGTGATGTCATCCGTACTACTAACATGCAGCGCGTTCTTCCAAAGATTGTATCATGGATGAACAATTTTACGCGCGCACGCGGAATAGACACACTAGAGCCGGCACTGTTGGAACTACCTGAGGGAGAGCGGGTGAAGAAGATTGTGTGCTCTACAGCGTTGACGCTCTTACTGACAGAGAGTGGCAAACTATTTACTTTGGGTGCGAATAGCTACGGCCAGTGCGGCATTGGTGAAGAGAGCGTATATGTTCAGATGCCGATGCACGTGGACATTGATGGCGATGAGATTGTGGATATTGGTGCAGGCTACCAGCATGGACTTGCAGTGACGAAAAATGGCACAGTGTTTACGTGGGGGAAGGGTGAACGCGGCCAACTTGGTTTCGGCACTGGCAATGTTGATGCTCCGCAAGAAGTAATTGCGCTGAAAGGGAAGAGAATTGTTAAAGTGGGTGCTGGGTTCAATTACTCTTGCGCTGTTTCAGGTTTGCAGAGCTTTTCTCTCGATGGTAGATGATGTTTCTGGTGTGTATGCTTACGCTGACTCTATGTGTCACAGAGGACGGCGAGCTGTACATGTGGGGTAAATTACTAAACCCGAAGGCAAAAACTGAAAGTAATGGTGACCAGATTGTCCCGCGTTTTGTGCAAACTAGTGCTCCTGTGAAGCTCTTCACGTGCAGCCAGTTCCACACGGCTTTCATTACTGGTGAGTATTGTCGTTTGATGCCGTTGACGCAGTTACATGATCTTGTCTAACACATGCTTGCTTGCCTGTCAGCTGACGATAAGATTTGGCTGATAGGTCGTACACCTTCGGGCCGTCAAGAAAGTAGCAATTTTTCCCTTGTGGCTTCGCAGATGCACACGATCCCGCTGCAGATCACCAACGATCAAGTTGTTTGTGCAAAAGATATTGTGGAGATTGGTAAAGGCGTGAACAAGTCCTCTTTTGTTACTGGTACGTTAGCTGTTGAATGCTGTGCTGTATTACTATGGTTGACGACGTTGCATTGATCGGTACCAAAATGCTCGAACGTCTATTCACAGGTGATGGCCATGCGTACGAATGGAATTTTGAGTCCGGGATCCATCAGGTGAAAGAGCTTTCCGATTTAAAGGTAGTGTCTTTAGAAAGTGGTTTTTACTACCGCCTCTTGCTAGCGCAGTCCAAAAAGTAGCACGCTCTCGATAACGATGATGGTGGCATTTTTACTGTGATAAAACGGAGTACTATTGTTTCCTACAAGGTCTGCTTATGCTTAGATATTGAACTCTTCTTTTGAAACTAGCACCGGCTTAATGCGCCGTCGCAGACGACCTGTTGCCACGCTAAACTTCTCACAAAGATCTGGACACCTGTCGCTATTTACTACTTCAAAAGCAAATGCTTCCTCGGTTCCTGCGGTAATGCTAGGATCAAATGCAACTTCCTCGCTTATTTCTTGTAAGTCACGGGTAGAAAGTAACTGTCTGGCCTCATTTTCTTCACTGCTGCTTGGCAATTGCTTGGCTGAAGAACACATTTCCTTTGAGCAAAGTCCGGACGGCGTCGGCAAGCACATTGAATTTTGCGCTTGAACATATTCGTTATCAGTAAAAATGCTCATTTTCTCCGGCACCAGCCACACGTAAGATACATCAACCACTTTTTCACCGTTGATTTGTTTTCCAGATAGTTTCCAGATGTCAAAACAGGTCACGTTTGAGCCTTCTTTAGACCACTTGTAAGTGCCGCTTTTCTGAAAAAAGCACAATACTGCCTCCTTCGGCAAAAGAGGACGTACTTTGGCCCACTTCCTGCTCATATGCTCCGTAATTTCTGAAATCTTCTTCGTCGACGACAATTTCAGCTCCACCTTTGGCCTGCAGCCGCAACGCACCAAGTCTATCTTGGTTCGCTTGTCCCGAGGAACCATGCGCATCTTGATACAAACCTTTCTTCGCGACGAGTGCTGCGGTGTATGAAACACAGCGCCATTTCGCGTACACAATCGAGAACTCTTTTTCATTTGAGGTGGGCTTGATAAAGATGCAGCTCCAATTTCAGGTCGGCGGCTCTTCACAGAGAGGCAACGGTCCTGGAACACGCTGCGCGTGCGTTTCAGTGTTGCTCCTCTTGGTGATTCACCGCGGATGTGTTGCAAAGCTGGCAAAGACAACACCTTTTTCGCATTCTCGTACACCGAGACGGCACTAGCAGAAGACGCTTCCGCGACCTCGCGGTGCAAAGCAAAATGTTTCTTCCGCACCATGGGGTGATGAATCTTGGCTGTTGAGACCTCTAAACACGGAACGTCCTTTTTACTAAAAAAAGAGCTAAGGTTTGACCTTGATACCCACGCCGAGATGGAAGTCAGACCTGGTGCTAGGGCGTTGCTACTTAGTGTCGACTTTTCCGACTTTGCTTTGAGCATTTGACGGCGACTACGAATAATGGACTGCAGCAACACATTGGCTAGTTTGACCTTCGCTGACGCAGGCTTCGAACTAAAGCTTTGAAATCTGCATGCGCACACAAAACAAAAAATAGCATTTAGAATTGCACAAAGTATCGCCACATTGCAGCACAATTTATCAAAACGCTCACTGTTCACGGTGCTTTTTGTCAGCCATAAGTTTGCTCCAGCACCACACAGCTATGCGCACTTGGTCCGGATTTGTCAAGTCAACATCGTTGTCCACAACTGCCAGCATCTCATAAATATTCTGCATTACTGTCGTGTAGAACTGTCTCACCTCCATTACACTCTTGGTCCGAATCTTCGTGCTAATAACATCAAATCGTTGCAGCAATAGCGAGCTAAATGGAGGCAACGGCTTGCCTTCTGGTATGGGCGGCCATTTGACCTTGAATAAGGCGTAAAAAGTGCTCTGCTCTTGTTCTTGCCACAACGAACTTCTCGTTCTAGGTCGCTTCGTGGCACCAACCAGTGCGGCTTGTTCTCTAGTCTCGTTACTCTCCATCTTTCTAGCCCGTCGTGGTGTCGTCGTCACTGTAGTTGTTCTTGTCATCGCAGAACCGGTCGTCCTACGTGACTTAGGACTCTTCAAGTATCTTTGTCGTACCTTGATTGGATTCATAGCCACTGCAGTTTCTGCAAAAGACTCTAGAATAGGTGAAAGTTCCGTATCCATGGGAAGATCAAGTGCTGCATCCAATAGATGAGAGTCATAGTCTCCGAACTCCGTCGAAAGCACTGAATCAATTGCAGTCGATTTCTCACCGCTTTTTACCATATTGATACAGTCTTGACTACTACTCGAGGCTCTGGGCGACAAGGCATCGGAGTAAACATCCATGATGACCAAACTATTAAGCTGTTCATCATCCATCCAAGCTGTATGAAGTCCCGAGAGGCTATCAGAGTCTGTACATACAGAAATACAATTAGATTCATACTGACCCATACTAACAATACCGAATCATCTCATCGTATAATAATATTGCAAACGTACGAGGACTTTGACGTTCCATAGCCACATACTGACTGTCTTCCATAATTGTTAAGTAAGGTCGTGACTGCTACTGAGCAATCGAATTGTAGAGAAGAAGTATTCTTTCATTAGACCCAAATTCGTATTTAACAGGATTTTACGCGCGAAAACTTTTCGTCGAAAAACAAACCAATTATTACGACAATCAGTGTCTTCGACTTTTCTTGTACTGGACCAAAGCAATCCTTCACACAATTCGTTGGATCTTACTGAACCAGATTACGTCACTATGCTGAGATATAATAAACACTCTGACATGATACTACGACAAAATCAGTGGAGGATCGACGCCGGAATGTTCCGTCCAAAAAGCGTTTTATGAAAAAAAGTGTTGGTGAAAGACCCAAAATATGGAAATCGCAAAACAAAGGTCACACTGTTCATTACGAGTACCTTTGCCAGGTGAGAAAGATTGCTCCCTTACAAGCCTTCATTTTATATTCGAGCAAACAACCGCCATCCAAACTATTGCAGTCTTTAGTCAGTTGTTACTCAACTAAGCTGCAGCATTGTGCCTCCCAAACATTACGACGTTTTTACAGCCATTTCCGACGTAGATTAATCACGTGAGACTCAGCCTGAGGAATGAACTTGGGTTGATAGTCGGCAATGGCGTCAATCTTCTTGCGAACCTCCGGTGTGATCTTGTCCACAAAATCCATTGCCTTCAGGTTTTCATCTAGCTGCTTGACACTAGTAGCGCCAAGAATTACCGTGGACACGTGTGGGTTGGCCGCCACCCAGACAATTGACAGCTGCGCAACCGAGCAACCCACTTCCTTCGCCACATCAGCAAGCTCGTCGGCTTTAGCAATCTTCTCCTCCAGATCGTCCGACAACAGAACTTTTTACGACGGCATAGATAAACGTGATCCTTCCGGAATGCCCTTGCTATACTTGCCCGTGATGATACCTGATGCCAACGGCGACCACATCGTGAGACCGTAGTTGTACTTTTTGTACAATACATTAAAGTCATATTCGACACGCGAGCGCTCTAAGATGTGATACTGCGGTTGTTCAAACACGGAGCGGATCAGACCGAGACGATTAGCGATCTCGCAGGCCTGGAGGATATCGTTGGCACACCATTCGCTGGTGCCCCAGTAGAAACCCAGCCCAGCCCTGCTCAATGAGGAAGTTCATAGCACGCACAGTCTCCTCAATAGACGTAGCGGGGTCTGGACGGTGACAGAAGATAAAATCTACATAGTCAGCTTAAAGCGCTTGAGCGATGTCTTCTTACCTTCGATAAGGTGCTTGCGGCTGTAACCCACGTCGTTGGGGCCAGACTTAGTCCCGAAAAAGAGCTTGGTACTGATCACAAGGTCCTCACGCGACCACAGCTTGCGCTCAATGCCGGCCTTAATGACTTTGCCCATAATGAGTTCCGATTGGCTGTTAGCGTATAGCTCGGCGTTGGGTGTCTTGCAGATCTCTTTCGAGGAGCTCATACCGGGCGATCCAGTAGGCGTCGGGGTGAGGACGGCGGTAGGTCGACCTTCGCATGCCTCAAGTCGTCGGCAATATGCATCTAGACGGTCTAGCAGATCGCGTAGCACCTGAGGCGTGTCTACAGGACCGCCCATCATAGCCCGGAACAACAGGCGAGACATAGACGACCGTCCCCACGGGGTCCACCACAGCAGAGGAGCTAAAGGTCGACTGAGGGTCATCCACGTCTGGTGGACCCTCACCACCTACGGCGTCGGAAGGAACCACGGTAGACTCCCTTGGCCCAGGCACCCGGAAAGGAGTGTCGGGCGGTGTTTGGGAGGGAACCTGAGCCTCTGGGTCAACGGCAAGGACAGGAGTGTTCAAGATCGGCCCCTTGGCCGTTAGGTCTACCCCAGAGGAAGGAACAGCTGAGATGCGTCAAGTCAGACAACGTATATCGAACGGCCACACAAACAAGGAGTACTTACGGGATAGAGGATTCGAAGACATGCGCGTGTTCAAGCGGCTGTACCGTTGATCAAGTGCAGAGGGCGGCTATGGTGAAGCGTTTCAAGAATTGGTAGGACAGAAGACCGGTGGGTCAAAGTGACGGGGACCCACCAAAGAGGAGCGACCGTTAGATAAAGAAAGAGAGACGGAGCGCTAAAAAAGACAGGAGTTGACCGTGGGATAAGGAGATTGTACGGCTTAAGCGTGCTCCATTCAGAGGAGTTAACCGCGGTAAGTCCGATGGACCGCGGTTCCTCCAGGTGGATCCCAGTCTTTTCGAGGTTGACCCTGGCCCCTCGTTGGTGGACCCTGGTCCCTCGTTGGTGGACCCTGGTCCTCGTTGGTAGACACTGGTCTCTCGAGGTGGACCCTGGTCCCTCGTTGGTAGAGCCTGGTTTTTGGTGGTGGACCCTGGTCCCTCGTTTGTAGACCCTGTTCTTTCGTGGTGGACCCTGGTCCCTCGTTGGTAGACCCTGGTCTTTCGTGGTGGACCCTGGGCCATCGGTCGGGGGCCCCCCGGCCCCCCGACTCTTCGGTCCCTCGACAAGCAGAATCAAGAATCAGGTCGCGGGGGTAAGGATAGAGTAAAGGATTTAAAGATAGGACTATATTAAATACTACTCAATTTGCAATCTACATAGCACGCCTCCGTCGTGCTTCCAAGGAACTTACCAAGTCTAACTACCTGTTCCGGGAAGGGATACATTTTGGCCTCCGTCAAAGACAGTTGTATGGTAATACCCAAGTGCGAATAGAACCCCAGAATGCATTTGGCCTGTGGGTTCGTCGGAGTAACACCCCCCAATCGCCCCGCTATCAAAAGCGGTCTCCCTACCCTAGTGGTTTGGGAGCAAGTAAAGGCCGGAGGTTAACACCCCTGAGATATCAAGGAAGGAAAAGGCCAGGGTTGAGTATCTCCCCTGAAGAATTTGGCTATAAGTCACCCTTGATCTAGTCGACCGAGTGGCCACCTATCCGCCTACCGAGTGAAGTATACCTACTCGAGGCACCCCAAGGTCGACCTCTCGCAAGGCCGACATCCCATCTATCCAAGTCCTCACGAGGATGAAACCCGCCAGCCGACGGGTACACAAGGTGAGAGAAGGTCTATACGCGGCATCGGGGTACCCCCTCCGACAGTCGGCAGTCCGGCACAGTGAGTGGCCTGGGGTCTAATCACACAGTTTTGAGAAGCCACCCCACCTTTGGACGCGCGATCTAAGACAATGGAGTAAAGACGTAGAGGAACTCGTTGAATCCAACACGACCGGATTGTACAATCCAAGTGCTGATCGAATAACGGAGTCGGATTGAGGCCCACGTCTCGACGAAGATCGTATTCCGGAATTGTCTGCGAGGGTTAGTTCATCTAATGTGTCAAAAGAATAGCTGTACTTCGAACGGGAGGACGAAGATGGTACCTCTTGTTATTTTTCTTTACCACCCGATCTGGTCTGCTTTGAGTTGCAGATAAAGTCGGAGGTTCTGATCGTATTGGCAGAAATCGCTTGGGTCCTGCCATTTTACTCGATCAAACTTGATCACTTGATATTTGGACGTTTGCTGGAGCTTGTGATGGTCGGATTGCGTCGTGTGAACCCCATATCTTGGATCTCAATCGCTGCTGAGGCGACGCGTGCTATTTATCCTATCATCCAAGTAAAGAATGTAGGTTTTGTAATTATTGGACATACGGTAGTATTGAAATTGCTCGGCTAGCCATATGTAGTGTTTAAACCTTAGGCTAGTGTTGGTATAGGTATTTGTTAGTGACTAATAAACAAGCAACATCTGATCGTACACGTGTTCTTATCTCTTCCGGGTTGGATTGTTGCTCCCCCCGTCGAATAAAGGGATGTAGCCTACGTACATCAGATCACTTCTAAAAATTTTGGTCAACCCGTGACCGATCGCCTCACTGGTAATAAATCGCCGAAAACATTTTCCTCATATTTTCTTCAATTACTTGTGCTGTTCGAGACGAACTTGCCTTTGTGATCACATATACAGAGATCATCGACCTAAAGCAATACTTCCCTTTGTGCAATTGTGGTAGGCATGGGATATGATCCATGGAAGTAATATGCTATAGATTCGTCGCTTGGACATTCCTAGGAGGTTCACAACGGATCTCAAGACGCTGTTTCCAGTTTCACAATCCACACATCGCCCACATACCGTCGTACACTGCGATATAGACCTAGCTAATGAAAGCTGGATTAGACCCTTACATACGTCCTACCAGTTCCCTAGCGGCCGCCTTTCCAACTCGAATGGTAATGGTGCAAGAAATCCTGCTGCAATAGTTCTGGCAAAACCAAGCGAACCAACTCCACTCCATCCTCCGAGTTGGCAGCCGATCGAGGGCAGAAAAAACAACGACACACTTCCATCCACTTCATAATATGGCACGATCAGACCACTTGATTGTATGGTACTCGGCATCTATCGTCGCCACGTCCCCAATCAGATGTGTCTTCAAAGTGGCATTTCATCTCTTTTCATTGTGCGCTTGTTTTATCCGCTCGACTCAAGTTGTTGCATGATCTCTTCTCGCAGTACCTCAGGCTGACGACGTCTTTTTACAGCCGATCGTGTGATCGCGGCCATCTTGACTACTCGATCTGCTCTTTTTGCTACCAGAAATTCGTCCAATCTATTGAGGATTATCAGATCTTGAATTTCTTAATCCAAAAAGACAGTAGCGCTGGTTCCCGATGTAAGGCTATGATCGCTAGCCGATCAGCACTTTGGATTCAAACTTGTTTCCGACGTCGATATTTGTCAATCGGCCACGATCGAAGTCTTTCTAAAGCCTTTTGACGTAACAGACATAATCCAGGTGCAGTGCAATCGATCTCTAGGCGTATCCGCTGACTCACCAAGTTTTAATTTTCCACAGGTGATCACCCTTCCTTTCATAGCAGATCGAGGTTAACAGCAGACCCCGGTATTCAGCCTCATTCACAGTCAAATTTTCTGTATACTTCGAGGTTGCCGCCATAGTAATCCACTCTATGTCTAAGGCAGTGAACGTTACGGCCTTTATGGAGGACTTCAAGTTGGCGTTGCCAGAACGGAAGTCTTCCGGGTACCCGTCCTCATTCAAGGAAGTGTTGGAGTGGCATGTAATGCCGAGACCAACTTTAAGGCCGCTAGGCCTGCTACTTATAACTACTCGTCTAATGGGTCTGTTCCCATGGACTGTAGTCAAGTGGAGGATGAAGAAGCTGAGCTTCATGCTGCGAAGCAGCAAATTGTGCGCAGATGTTATATCTGCAAGAGCACAGGCCATTTGATGGCAAAATGCCCTGCAAGAAAGGCATATTTGGCCTCGAAGGGCCGACGCCCCATGGGTAAACCTTTGGTTTGCCGTAGGGAAACGGCAGAGCCCAGTAGGCGCGGGGCACCCTACTGGGATAGAACTGAGTTCTGTTGAGCCTCTAGGAGGTAGAAGTAAACAGGGCACAGCCTTAAAGAGATCCGAACTCTCAAAAACGGAACGAGAATGCGAGCCAGGCTTGCTACGATTAAGGGCTTTGATAAGCCATGGATCATTTTAATTGATTCGGGGGCATCGGGCAATTATGTGCGCCGTGCCACCGTGTAAGATAGCTAGCAGCATACTGAAGCGCTTGTAGCGCGTGAGAGTGACACAGTCACACTTTGCTTAGCGACAGATACGCGTGTTGCAAAACCCAAACTCCCGATCGACTTACTTGTAAAGCTCTTTGACTTTAACAGCATGGAACGCTGTTTGGTCTTAGACCTGGATGCGAAGTATGACCTTATCTTAGGCATGGCATGGCTAGAACGTCATGAGCCATGGATTGATTGGAGGTCGATGATCTTAGGCGCTGGTGGGGCTCTGGAGAGTCATGAACCCTCCTCTGCTAGGAAGTAAAAGGGCTTTTGGCGCGGATATTGGACCAAGTCGGTCAATATTTTGGATGTCGCAATATCCGACTTTGTAGACACTGTAATTGTCGAGGACAATAGTCCTGGGCGAGGCCCAATGACTGTTGATAGTGTGGTTGAGAACCCACTAGATGGCACATATGACATGTGTCATGAGAATGATGTTACATTATTAAACACCGTGAGTAGTGTTGGTGGCTGCAAGCCAAGATGTCAGGACATGAGTCCAAGTGACATGTGTGACGAGGTACTGACCCTGGAGGGCCGGGTGGAGTCACCAATGGATGTTGTCTTTGAGCACAAAGAGGTGCATGCAGCTAGTGACGAGTACTGACCCTGGAGGGTCAAGTGAAGTCATCAGTGGATGTTTTCGTTGAGGACAACGAGGTGCAAGCACCTGAAGACGAGTAACCGACCCAAGAGGGTTGGGTGAAGTCATCAATGGACGTTGTCTTTGCGGACAACGAGGTGCAAGCACCTCATGACGAGGTTCGGGACCAAGATTGTTTATGGCAGTCAGCGCATTTGATTATATCTTGCTGAAATATATCCGTTGGCACACTAGATGCTACTGCAGAAACGCTCTTTTGAGTTAATATCTTTGTGCAAATGCAACGCTTAAAGGTCAACAATTTCATTTACAAAGAACAGCTCTACCGATAAATTACCCATCACAAAGGTTGTTTGGCTATATATGGATGCTAAACACAACAAGCATTGGAACTAAAAGCATGCAGAACGGCTCACAGAAGGTAGCTGTGAAGTATATGGCAAGTTGTATTGAGACAGACAGTAGGTAACAAACATACTTAGCGCATTGTATTCTTGTTTTTGTTTCTACCAATCATTTGGATTCATACCATCAACGCATGGAGGCAACAAGTATCTACCCAAATTCTACGCCTCTGTTGGCCACGAATGGGCTCGGTATCACTTTAGCAGGCAGTGACCCAGACCATGTATCTCTCGAACCCGATTTGATCAATGACCCACGTAGACGATATACCCAGGACAGTGCAGTAGATGCAATTGGTGTCATGCGTTTACATGTGCGCAATGCTCTAGGTTACGCATTCTTACGACCGTATCACATTGCGAGATTAAGGAGTGCAAAGTCAGGAAATCGTTTTGTAAAGGAAGCGAAGTGGAAAACTCAAGCTTCGTTCTACCGACACAATTACCGTCACTTTGTACCGCATGACTTGATGATGGAGTTTTTGGAAAATGAATGCCCGTACGTTTAGCTTCCAATGGTTTGGTTGTTCATACTGTTAAAGTACGATGTGGCATTATCTAACAAAGTTGTAATACGCTTTAAAATAGCATACAAGAGGATGGTCAGAACATATCAAAATGGCAGGGCAACGCAATTGCAGGAGTTGATCGTGGGCATGACGGCCACGTGATATTTTATCCTACAGGACAGGTGCTGCAGCAAGTTTGTGCATGGTATAGTAAAGGCGAAACGAACGAAGGCCCGCCATGCTCGAGCACCGTGATCGAGACAGGTGCTGTAATCCGACAATTATCAGTGATGGGAAGTAAGGATGCGTATCATTCGGCAAGTAGTTCGAAGATATTTGCGGCTGCTCGTGGATGTACAAATTGCACAATCATTGCAGCTCCTGCACGTGTCACGCCTGATAAGATGCGGAAGCTACAGGCAAAGGCAAAAATCTCTTTGACTGAGATGATCAACCACGTAGCTGGTAGCCCGCATGCAGAAGCAGAAGTGGCCTTGGTTACAGCTGATGGTATGGTTCGGTGGTGGGATCCAGAAGGCGGGATTCGATTTGCCAACAAAGATGTGAATATACCAGACCGCTTACTGCGCTGCGAATATTCGAGGTATGAGTGCTGGCAAAATTAGCTCAATAATCGATTCATTATTTGATTGTGTGTTTGCTGTTGCGCTTAGTCATCCCCGCGTTCTTTTGGCAGTAAATCGAGTCGTAGTTGCAGCTCTAGATCTTCGACAACCAGCGCAACACGCGAGCAAATTATTTGATCTGGCAGGCACGGGCACCTACATTACTATATATGACGTCAAGCGCAGAGCTAGGTACGGTTCTGGGGCTGGCAGCTCTTGAGCGGTTCAGATATTTATATTGCTTGTTGCTGTCGTCACTTGTCTCTACAGCAACCCATTCCATTTTGTAGTCGGCACAGGTGTCTCTGTTGAGCTCGTGGATAGTCGCATGGCAAGACAATCCCTTGTATCATGGGTTCAACCAGAGAGCTATTCTGGCAAGGCTGAGATTTCGTTCGGAGCAATTGATGAAGTGGACATATCAAGAAATGCCAGCGATTTACGTGGTACGCAATTGACCTTGACATCACAATGGCACAAATGCTGATTTCACCTGCTGTGCTTGTAAAGGTTATATTGTTTCAAGCTCAAAACGGCCAAAAGTTACGACGCTGTTTCCTTTTGAGCGAAATAGAAAAAGAAGGCGTGGCAAAGCGTTGTCGTTGACGTTACTGCGCTCGAATGGAGATGACGAGTTCTCAGAGATGTCGCGCACATGCACAGAGCAGCTTGTTGCTTCTGACGCAACGTTGGATTTACACATGGAAGACGGCGGGGAATATACCAATTTGACCGGTATTTGCGCGTTGCGCAATGATAACTCCGCATCTGCTACCATTTATCAGCTAAACAGTCTGGGAGATGTGTTGTCCCACCAGGTATCATTTGGCCGTTCTTCGACAAAGTCATACCATGCAGCTGTTCAGGCAGAGTACGTTCAACTTGCAAATCTTGGTCTCATATCTACTGTTCCTAACATATCTATATTGTTGCACAAAAGTTTGCCGTGTGGAGTCACAGCCCAGGCTCACACTGTGTGTAAAAGAGTCGCAAGAACTTTACCAATACCGCTAGATGCGATTCTTCCAGAGTACGATACTGAGTCGATGCAAAGGTTTACTACATTTCCCATCAAAGTACTCCGGCGACAGTTTCCGCGACTACCAGAAAATAAAGAGATTGAATTTAAAGGAAATGTTACAGCGGCGTACAGTCGGAGAACCAACAAGAGTATTACCGAAGTCAGCAAAGCAATCGCTGCCAACATCAACAGAAATTGTCGACAAAGTCTAGACAATAACGGCAACATGAAAACTGGTGGAACCGGTGAACAATCCAGGAAAATGTATACCGAAAGTTGCGGCGAGGACACCGACGACGAAATGGACGCGGTGATATCTGTTAAATGTCGCTCGCAAAGTTTTGACAAGGATGAATTAGTCAGCTTGCTTGCCAACGTCTGCAACCCATCAACTTCACTGTTTCGGCTACACCGTTACGTTCTTGATGAGCTGAAAATTGAGCTCACCTCGTCTGAACTCTTGCAGCTCCTGCGTTCAAGCAGCAAGTTGAGAATACGAACAGTGCACCATACGTTTCCCGCGGATACGTTTCGTGTGCGCAATCCGTCATTGCTAGGGGCCGATGCCGTGCACTGCAAAAAGGATGACCCTCGTTTAGCAACGTGTGCATGCTATCCAGGATTGTCACGATCGCAACTGCCGTGCATGTCTTGGGCGTGTGTTATTCCTCATATGGTCATCGTGTCAAGAACGTCAACGGAGTTGCAATTGGATGACACAGCTCCTTCGTCAGCGCCTAGACAAAAAATGCCGGTCGATTTGGCGGATATCATTGTTGCAGCACAGGCTGTGTACGATGATATGCACGCATCTCCATAAAACGCTTAATTCCGTTGATTGATTGCCTGTATCTTGCTTCGTAAACACAGCTCGTTGATTGCCACTGAAGGTACATAACAATCAGAAGAAGACCATAGGCGGTGGTAAGTCCTCAAAATTAACAAACTTGGTGTGCCGCTTCAGCACAATGCTGTTCATCTTTTGCTGCTTCGTCTTCTTAACCTTGCTGAGCTCAGCTAATGTCAGCAACAACCTGCGATCGAGACATTTTTCGATTACAACAAACATGTATATGAAGACCTTATGACGCGAGAATTGCGCTGGCACTTGAGTTGAGCATTTCCAATGTCCATTAAGGTTCAACCATACTTTCATCTAGGCGTAAGACCAGGCCGCGCAAATGTCCAAACGTATTCCAATTTATGTTGGCAAAGTGGTTCATAAATCATCAGGAGCTCTTGCTACTTTTTCTTCGCTCATTCATTTTGCTTACAGCTTGCTTGGTTATAGTTTCCCCAAAGCTTCTTCAAATCGCACATTCATAATGCCAACTCTTTCACTTTCGATGTTCGTCCAACAGTTTACCGTCGGCTTCCGTGCTTCCATCCCGTGTCGAGTTCCCAGGTGCCTTAATTGCATCAACATTGTCGGTTCACAAATACCAACGTCTGAGAAGGCGCAGTCGTTCCTATATCTCTTCCACAAACTCGTGCTTCTGCTACGCAGCAGCTTAACCATAGCACAAATATCATCATTAGGAGGTAAGAAAGCAGTAGTGCTTTTAGTTGACATTCGACCAACGAGATTACCAATCAAAACGCTTACGTTTCAACAGACATCTTGCTTGATGTTAATCAGTTTCTTGGATCTCGATCGATAGCGTAGCTGTTCAATGACCGCCAGGATTGGCACAGCAGTCAGAACAGAAGTGAAAGATAGAGTCTAAAAAAACTACGTAAAAATCATTGCAGAATATTGCTGGGCGGATTGTGGATACGGCATAGCGTAAAGGACTACCGCTGAAATATACCCACAACATTCTTCAAAAGGCTTAAGATATTTTGCTGCGTAGAGCTGGAATGGCCGGTCCATCGCAAATAGTCAGTTCCAAGCTGTTGAGGATAAAAAACGGCATGCAGCTGGTCAACAAACACCAATGAGTCAAGTATGCCAAGCGCTTCTTGCAGTCAAACGAATGGCAACCGTGCGATATTGAGTCTAAACACTAGGATTGCCAAGCATTTATCCAAAAGCAAAGCGGACGCAAACAGAACACGCACATAAGCGAAAGCCAGTAGCTTCAGGTCAATGCCGCCTTTAATGCCACTTACGCGCGCATTCACGTCACAAATGTAATGGTCACGTCCAAAGATACCAACGAAGTGTCACTTGCAGTAAATAGCGTCGTTCACTTGTAAAATGAGCAGCAGAAGATCACGCACGATTCTTGCAGAACGAGCATCCAACGTGCCATGTTCAAGCTGTCTCGCCTGTTGGCGGATTTTTCACTCGATGCCTCACCGCCTGTGTTTCACCAACTGTGCGCGTCCGCATTCAACCTGAATTGTCACCTTAGCCGCCATAATCATAATTCTATTGATAGTCTCACATGGATGGAATTTTCGTCAGACAAAATAGCTACTTACAAACGATTAGATAACAAGATTCTCTAGTTATTTAAGAATATTCAAAATGAGTAACAAAGTAATTTTAGAAGAGGAAGAGTATGTAGAGGCACTTGGTCAGATAATTGAGCGTGACTTCTTTCCAGACCTTCCTAAGCTCAAAAGGCAGACAGAGGTGCGTTCTTCTCACTATCAAACGCCTCCGGGCGCTACTTTTCCTGTTTATGATCTCACTGAAACTTATTCACAACTGCTTTTCTCGTCATATGTATTTTGGACACAATGTAGTTGTTGCAAGATGAAGAACATTTGACATGTACAAACAAGACATTACGTGTCGAATCCACTAGAGGCATTACATTGATGCATAGCAATCTGAGCGGCTCAGGATGGGACCATCCAACTGACCGGTCAATCAAAAATGACTTGGAGCGGTACGAAGAGGACAAAGATGCTGACAACAATGCTAACGCTTTAATGACATTGAACCACTTTGTCGCGACTCACACATCCGAGGACAACGAATCGTTCAATGAACTGCAAGAAAAAGCAGTGAAAGACCATCGGCGACGGTACCATTGGGCATTTGATGATAACGAGGAAAAGGGTGATCCGAAGCTGCACTTATTAACGGATGGGACGTGGATCTCACATGAGCAGCGGCAAATTGCAGACGAAGCGCGGGCATTGAAAGGCTAGATGTCAATTTCTTTAAGCATTGTAAACTATTCGTTTACGACGAGTGTGTATTGATCATGTAGGACCCAAAGATGATAGACCAAGCGCTCCTGACACATGGAAGTATCGTGCAAGGAATCCACTTTTATTTTCACCTGAACTAGAAGCAACGGGAGATATCTGTGGGGTACATGATGGCGGTAGATGATTGATGTGTGCCTTTAGTATTTTACTGACGATGCCTGAGTTGTATAGATCAAAGCTGGTTCCAAAAGGCAGCTTTTACTAGTGGAAGGGGGCAATGCTCGAAAAGTACGCTCAGTAAAGCCACCAAAGTTGAGGGAAACGATAGTATACGCGAATTCAAGATTTTCCTCGAAAGGTGCAAAAGTAAGTGTTTTAACGGTTGCGTTCACGAAGGATCATTCTTCTTAAGGATTTACGATGCGTTGTTGACAAATGACTGTAGATGGTTGAGGGTGATAATTCAGAAAAATCAGCGTCACCACGCAAGGACTATTCTTTAGTTCCAATGACGCCGGTTATTGCACCAGGAGTGGATGCGAGTCCGCTGATGACATGGGGAGACATTGAAGGCACTCCAACAATTCTAGGAGCTACGCCAGGTACGTACATGAACCATCACATTGAGATTTGATAATTAGCATCCTGAAATTTTGCTGCCTGTATCTTCAGCTAGAATATTAAATACACCAAGTTTTGAGCTTCAAGACTCGTCACGGCGAGAAAAACTTGCCAATCGACTGGAGGCGGAAGCTGTACGTAACCTTTGACAATCTCCAAGGTGTGATACATTGTTTATGAACTTTGCCTTCCACTTTGCTGCATGCGATTTAGCGCCATCGCAATATCAATACGCGGCTGCTGGGTACCAAGACTCCGTCAAGAAAAGGACTGAAAGCCGATCAAACGCCAGTATCACGCAGTGTTCGCTCCCGCGTTTCAGGTGTTCGTTCAGTTCTACATACCCCGCTTAGCTCAGATACGCAGTTGAGAGCAAGCTACTCTACCCCCTTGCGACCTCCGCGCCAGTCATCTCATCTCAGGCGCGCAAGATAAAATGAGCTTTTCAATTGCTAAGACGAATAAAGCATAGCATAGTTTGCTGGAACGAGATGTTGACTGTTCGTGTTGATGTAGCATGTTTTTGTGTTATACATACTCTTAGCTTGTTCATGTCGGACATGCGTCTTCCAGAAGACGGGTTTATAAAGCTAAGGGCCAACACCTAGCATTAACACTCCAAAATGGCAAATTGCACAAATCTTCTACATAGCGTGGCCACTATTAAGCAAGCTTGCAGACGATGAAAAGCCATTACAACAACACAGCACAGAGCACTTCAAGCGGCCCGAAAAGTTTGTTTTCATACCGACATGAACACGGAGAAAGCGTGAGTGCCTTAGTCATGCTACGTATAGGCAATCTTGCAGTCCAAATTAAGGCCATAGCGCCAACTTCGCTTCTCATGATCACTAGTTCTGTGGTAAAAGTAAAGAACACGCGTCGTTGGTAGTTGAATGGTAATGTTTACCCCCTCAAAGTCCCACGGTCGCGGCAAAATGATACAGCACAGCGAGCAACGATAAAAAGCACCACAAAGAAAAATTATCAATTAGGTCTCTATCCCCGCGTAAGTTTACCACATACCGACGCGGTAGACTGCTAGGTATATTTGGTAACCTTCCCATCCTTTGTGCGACAAAAACGAGTTTCAACGGGATCAAAACCCTGCTCTTTCGAGTCGTACACGGCCCAATTCGGCGTAGGGGCAGTGTAGTCATCAGCTGTGAACGGCGTACCATTTTCATAAAACTTGGCAACGAGCTCGTGGAAGCGCGTGTAGTCGATCCAAGTGTGCCAAACCCCATCGCGACAGAATTTTTTCTTCGCGATCAGCACACAGTTCGAGTGTGCGTGCTCAGATGCTAGAGCGTAATTACAGCTTACACGGTCACACAGCGCCAAGCAAAAATCCCGCACTGCTTCGTGCCACGGAACATTCTTCATGGTTAAATCGGAGCCATCTGACTTTCCACAATATGTTACACCTTTCACCTCAATAAAGTCAGGCTGACCGATGTTGATCAGCTCCGCGTAGTTGTCAAGCTCTTTCATGTTGTACGACTTAACCAACGTCAAACGGTACACTGTGCGCTGACCCTTGTGCTTAAGCTCTTCCAGGCAAGCCAGGAACCGCTCCCAAAAGTCCTTGAACAGCGGGCGATCAACAGCACGCAATGTCTCCTTCGTGCCAGCATCAACACTAACATAAAGTTGAGTGATCGGGTCGAGTGCAGCAATCTTGTCGGGGAACTGAGCATTCGTAACCAGAAACGAAGATATTTGACGGCTGTGGAGCTGCTTGCAGAACTCGTTAATCTGCGGGTACATAATAGCTTCGCCTACAAGTGATAACGCGCAGTGGCGCACCGTAAATGCTTCGTCCCATCGTGCAGGAATCAACCCAGGAAGTCCCTTCAGTTCCTTAATCATGCCCTGATGACGCTCAATAGAGCCTTGGACAAGTGTCTCGGCATCATCCGTCTTCCAGCGCCACACACGACCAACCGGATTCTTATGGTGACGCCAGCAGAAGACGCACTTGTTGGCACATGCTAGACTAGGAGTAGTCTCCATGCATTGATAGCTTGTAATACCATAAAATGTGTGCTTGTAGCAACCGCCACGCCCACGTAGTTGGTGTTTCGTCCAACGGCAGAGCTTTACAGCACTATGCGTACCAATTATCTTGTAGCCTTCTTTCGTCAGAGCCTTGCGCTGCATCGGAGTAACCATCTCGCGTGACTTGCTTGCTGCCTCTGACTCCTTCATGGACTTTCCAATGTCCTCCACATCTACCATACCACCGCTATCATCATTAGTACTTTGCTGATTTTGCTCTTCATCATCTGAGAAATCATCTACCAAAAACTCTTCATTCATTAAATCCTCCTCATTGAGTTCTACAGTCTCGCCATTCGCTGCAGCAGCTTCTACCTTCTCCGCTCTCTTTTGACGACGAAACTCATTCTGTGACAACCACTGCTTTTTTCTTGCCTTGCTAGCCTTTACTGGAATTTCACTTTTTTTCAAAATAGCAGCCACTTTCTCCGAACTGTACTCGCACATGGCAGCAACTAAGCTGTTCATCCAAACATCAAACTGCTGAAACTGATCAACATTATCATCGCTCATACCCAATACCACAAGTGACGGAGACCCCAGCTCATCCAAGTCACGCTCTAAATTCTTGGCAGCTGTACCATAGTCTTCATCGTACTCTGCATTGCCCAATCCGAAGACGGCATGCGGTACACCATTCAGCCAAGTTTTTGATACGCGAAAGTCCTGTGTCATGTCCGTTATCCAGTTGCAAAATACACGCGCATCCTTTGGTGGTTTGCCATGTGTCCAAGTGGACAGAATTGCCACTACAATATCCTCTTGCTCTAGATTATCTTGATCGTAGTCCTTCATGCTTACAACGCTCGTTTGAAAGTGAAAGCCGGCAATATTTAGTGCAAACAGCGTCTTCTCAAGCTTCTCTGCCATCGCCTTGGAAGTGCCAGTTTGCGTACCGTACAGGATGCGAACGGTCATAGGTTTTGGCTCGCTGGACTTAGCGTTTTTCTGCTGCTTATGCTGATCCTTGTTCGTCTTACGATTGTACGATACATCAGGTACATAACTGGGCAACGTATGTGGTGGATGTGTCGACAAGTAAAACAGTACGCTGACCGCCACAAGCAGCAGGCTCACGCCTGCAGTAGTAGAGGGTGCAATCATTTTGTTTGTCACTTTGTCACCACCACTCGATAAAACGGGCTAATAATTAGTTAATTAATGGTCCTTAAAACCTTAGTCCGATATTTTGGACCCAGGCAATATGTTGACTTAATGAAGTATGGTGAAATAAATAAAGTGGATACATAAGATCTAGCACCTAGCTAGGCTGTAATTGGTCAATACTCGATTCCCGGTTTTAATAGCAGCGTGTGGCTGACCTGATCTCCCCTCTCACAAATTCTGCTTTCTAATCGTCGTTATACAATTGATACCAAAGTTGATGACTACTAAGGGAACGTCGTTGTGGCGCATGGCGGGTGTGTCATACTTGCAATATGTAAACCAGTCAGCTAACGTGGTGCGCACAGCTCTTAAGGAACCAATCAAAAGCACAGTGCAGACAAGATCACACGTCGGGTTTGCCGGCTTCAAGTGGGCCAATGGCGAGCGTGGCGAGCGTGGTGCGTGCATCAAGTATAGTATTTTCCAGAGGCTGTAGCTCTTGCATGCACTAACACACTGAATATGTATCTGCTCTTTAGTGAACGTGGACTCAATCAAGACGATTGCTGAGGCTTTCAAGAAGGCGTAAGGAATTTGTACGCGATAGCCAGGACGTTGGTACGATGTTGATCGGCAGTGATTTTCTTTAGTATGTTAAAAAGAAAAGCACATTACGTCAATGGACCGAGGAAAACGAGAAATTGCGTCATGGTCTTTATCAATCAGTCACTTACACCCATTTGATTGCCTGAGTGTGTCGTCGTTTGCGTCATCCTTCTCCTCTATTTCTTGTTTTGAACGGATAAGCCCAAAATGCTTCAAAGCTTTTTACAGCTCAATATGTTTATGCCATATCTTGCTTCTGACTTCATTATTATGCTCTTGTGAAGAAGAAAGGCAAATAAGTGTATTGGGTTTGAGTTCTGCAAAAGGGTCGCCTTATTGGCGGATGCAGACGATCTATGACGTAGTTGAAGCGACATATCGAAAGCCAAAGCACTTACAGACGGGTCCAGACCAACGGCACAAGCAAAGTTGAAGGCGAACTATCAAGTCATCGTCCGATAGTTAATGAAGATACGGATCTCCGCCCGCCACACATAAGTAAGAAGAGCGTGCGTACTTGCGACGCCAATAGGAGTCTTTGGCATACTGGTATCCTAATACAGGTGGTAAAACAACGACTGCAAGCCCAGCGGCGACAACCGCTACGACAGCAGTAACACCAACAATTGCTGTCTTTGAAGCGACACGCATCGGTCCCCAGCAGCCATACTTTCGGCTCTTGGAGCGCAAAAAACTCAGGGGTAGACACAAAGTTTCATCGTGGTTATTCCACGGACGAAGACAAGACCAACAGAACTCTTGGTCGCACTGGAAACACTTCATATGCGAGCAGCCGCCTTGCTTTTCAATGACAGCTTTGCAACTGGGACACCCTCGTACGTTGTGCCGCTTCTTCCAGTGGCCAAAATGCTTGTCCACATGACGGCATGTTGCCATCTTGTGAAAATCACCACCACATCGCATACACGACTCCTGTTTGCATGATTGGCATTTGACCCTACGCTTCGACGAGCCGAGTGGCTCATCCAGGATTGCGCAACAACCTGCACGTGGACAAAACCGGATGCCAACTTTTTGGTTTTTGCGGTATGTTTTGTACTTGTCAAACGTTTCAGGAGAGACCAAAGCTTCAATAAGGTCCTCGGACAATGGGTTCGTGCACCGCGGCGCCGGACACACCATCTTTTTTTGCGAAACTTCGCCTTCCAGCACTTTGTACTCAATATACCAGCGCGTACAGCTGGCACAGAAAGATTCACAGCATAAAATACATACATGAACCTGAGTTGTGTCCAGGGTGTTGAAGCAGATCTGACATTCATGCCGTGTGTTGGTGTCAAAGCCGTTGGCCATGAAATTGCTGCCAGTAACAGGACAAGTAAACGCGTTTAAGATAGGCACGTCCACTGGCTCCGGTTTGTGCTCTTGTTTCTCTGAATCAACGTTGCATCCAAGCACATTACATGTACTGCTGGAATTGCTTACTCTGATCAAGGATGATGCGGTTGAAAAGGCCGTGACTCGAGCATTCACATCATCCAAGTATACGGCGTCTACTGTGGCTGCTTGTGCTTGAACGAAAGCTCGAACAAGTTCGTCCTCGGAATCTTGTTGCAGGCGACGCAGTGATGCCGTCGACGACATGGATAACGAATAGGGAGATACCGACGACGAAGTGGACCTTGGTCGGTGGTAGTTTGAGCGATGCAGCGTCTGAATTGATGATGAACGCTGGTGCTCGTGGAAGAGTTTAGCCTTTGCACTCTTTTGCAGCAGCTGAATCAATTGCGAAGGTTGAGATCTGGGTGTTGACGCCTTCAGTCGATCCTCCTCGTTCAGTTTGGAAAGACTTGTGCGCTCATTTTTAGGGCTATGCAGGTGAGATCTACCGCAGAAAGTTCGGTGACGCGTCGTTATCTCCATCTGAGCGCTCTGTAGCGGCTATAGACGACGCGGAAGAAAAGCCTTGCTCAGGAGTGACGCAATTTAGCTTTGCGTCCTTGTCTTCTTTTCAATGTGAGCTACGACTGAAAGTAAAGTGCGGGATACAAGTTATAGTGATGTCGCAAACGCAAAAAATCATATGCGTTTCGCATGCTGATCAAACTAGACATTGAACGCACGCTAGTTGAAGCTGTGAGAGAGACGTATATTCCGTGAACAGTGGTTGCGATAAGATTATGGATTTGCATGTGGTCAATAATCACGGGTCGTCCTTATCAACAAATATATCTGCAAGATTTTTTCTATCCCTAGAGCTGCGGAAGGAAGAGCTCGGAGCTCTTTCTTATGTGTCGCAGCAGTGGCGGGCTTGTCTGCCTGGCCGAAGCAGCGATGGCTTAGTGGGCGGGGTCGTGAGTGCCTTATCAGTCTTTTTGAGCGGCTCATTCATTGTCTGACGCGACAGCTGGAGTAGTGGCATTGGACGAGCTGCGTTGGATAATACTGGCGTACCAATAGTCGCGCCATTGGCTTTAGTGAAAAACGCACGAACTTGAGTTAATTAATGAATCAGATGCGCTTACGACGTATAAACATGACATGTGACGAGCACAACGACTCTTCCAATAATAGCCCACAACGGCGATCGTCACACTTCCCACTATGTATCGACTTACATCTATTTCGTTCATTCCTGACATAAATCGAATCGAAGATCAAAAATACCTGAACACTTGTCGCTGAACAGAATGTGTGGCTGTAGCTTATTACTATGCTTACAAACGCAGGAAAACTGAGCCGCTGTCCTGTTACACCAAAATGCAAAAGCAAAATTGTTATGTAGCCACGAACCCTTGGTTGTAGCGAATGCTTGGTTGTTATGGGTTTATTAGACGCCGTACTCTTGTAAAAGTATTCCACAAAATCTTGGACCAAAAAACATCACTTTGATCGACATATCATGTAAAAAGAAGGGTGAAAAAAGATAAATTGAAATGTTAGTATTCTTCCTCTAGACGTTCAGTTGAAGCTTTTGGATAATAGCGCGGCTGATACTGACGCTGCAGCTGTTTCGGCTGACTGCAATGTTGTCGCAAAAATGATTGTCAACGCTTACTTCATCAACAACTATATTACGACGACAATTCAGACACGACAATCTAGACACTACGGTGATTGTATATTGTCAACATATCATCAGATTGGCAGACTTTAATATTGCTGAACCAACTTTACGGCCTGCAGATGTAACTGTACCAATCTTGCCCTTGTTGATCCGATGCGTTGCCTACAGCAACATTAAGCGTATTTTTGTCAATTGTCAGCCTCATTTGTCTCCGACTCTTAACTGTAACGGGTTACACAAAGGTGTGTATTATTATACATACACACACCTGTCACACCATTGTGGTGTGGCTGTACCTTTCGTAGGTTGATGCAACCGTAGCTAAGGTACGAAAGTTGCTTTTAGTAGCCCTGCTACACCTGGTAGCACTTGTAGTCAATCCCACACCTGGGTTTGCGGCTAATTTTCGGTGTGAGAATGAACATCAAAGATATGGCCGCGGTTGGCCTGTCATAGCAAAAAAACAGGAAGGGTTGCAAAAGTTGCTCCCTATCCTTGGCCCAAAGGGCGTGTAATACCTCATCGCCAAAGGCAAAGAAGAGGTTAATAAGTGTACTAATACGCTTTAAGAACGTAATAAGCTTTAGTCGAGCATGTAAAGTCACAGATACCTTCTTCTGCACCTTCGCCCATGGCGGCTATGGCGCAAGAAGTGGTCCGCAGACCAAAACCCATACAAATGGAAGTCAATAAGTTCGACGGCAAAGAAGGTGACAACCTTATGCTTTGGTTCCGACAGGTCAATACTATGTTTATAGCCAACATCACCTATATACCATACCGTGTGGGCTTTGCATTGTATAAGTTGGGTGGTATAGTCAAACAGTGGGCATTCACATGTGGTGCATCACTGCAAGATACATTCACAGCATGGGCCGATCTGAAAGTTCTGATGACCCGGCAGTATGCACCTCCAAACCAGGTACATCGTCATTGGTCGAGATTTCTTGGCGTGTCACCAAGGCAAGCGTGAGCTTGCGGCATATGTGCAAGAGTTGAGAACTCTTATTGCTGCCATGGTCGTAGACTCCATGCCTGAGGCAGTGACCGTCACGGTCTTTATGGAGGGTCTCAAGTTGGCGTAGCCAGAACGGAAGTTTTCCGGGTACCCGTCCTCATTCGAGAAAGCTGTTGGAGTTGCATGACCGAGACCAACCTTAAGGCCGCTAGGCCTGCCACTTATAACTACTCGTCTGATGGGTCTGTTCCCATGGACTGTAGTCAAGTGGAGGATGAAGAAGCTGAGCTTCATGCTGCGGAGCAGCAAATTGTGCGCAGATGTTATATCTGCAAGAGCACAGGCCATTTGATGGCAAAATGCCCTGCAAGAAAGGCATATTTGGCCTCGAAGGGCCGACGCCCCATGGGTAAACCTTCTAATTTGCCGCGGGGAAACGGCGGAAGCTAGTAGGCGCGGGGCACCCTACTGGGATAGAACTGAGTTCTGTTGAACCTCGAGGAGGTAGAAGTAAATAGGCTCCAGCCTCAAAGAAAAAGATAGAACGAGAATGCAAGCCAGGCATTCAGGTCGTCGAAGGGACGGTTATGGGCTTTAATCAGCTAGTTTTATGGAATTGACTAAGATGAGGACCGATCACATAGCCAGGTTAATAGATTGAGGGCCGCATTTACAAGCTCCGGATGGAGACAGCTGTCTTGTTTTTACAGGATTGTTGACCAAACTAGCTAAGAAGTGGTCCCGTTAACTAGGTCGCTCGTTTCGAGGGACTTTGGAAGAGACAATTACAAGAATTCTAGATGCCGTTTTTGCGGGTTTAGGGGTCCGCCAGCATCATTACGCAAAGAAGAGGACGAACGAATTTCTGATGGATGAAATATACCGTCTGAATGTCATTGGACCCAGGGCAAAGATGAAGATCAAGGATGGGCGCCTAAGCGGCAAAAGAAACACGTCGAGCATTATATTTAAACCTTGGATGACTCGAAACTGGCGGACCAGATGACCCTGCTATGTCTGGTTGATGTGGAAGAGTTGAAGTACGTGATGAGAGCGTGCCATGGGACGAAGGCACGACGAGGCAAGATGTTATTTGTGTCAAGCAAGTATCGCTAGAAAGAACCTCTTTCTCCTGACCGACCGAGAGAGACGAACTGCCCCTTTTCATGCAGTTCGGGGCGACGCCGGAGGAATCGAACTCTGAAGATTCCAATCCGACCCTTTGTACCTTAGGTCCTGTCTCACCCGTGTAACCCAAAGTACAGCTACACCACATGGTGTGGCAGGTGTGTATGCATGATACAAATTGTTTTGTAACCCATTACAGTTTAAATGTAAGAAAATTTGGTTATGTACTTAGCGAAATAAGCGTCTATTTACAAATTTATCTGTTTGACCTACTCTATGATATCTTATTCGAAATATGCATGCTATCCATCATCTGGCCGCCCATTACGCGCTTCCATCATTAAATGGACAGCTTGAGTCGGCTGATATGATGCCAATTAGCAGATGCTACGGAATATTACCTATTCATGTAATAATCATGAAAATTGTCAATTTCTTAAGATAGTATTCACATTGACACATAATGATGGTGCCAATGTTACGGAACGGCTCATCGAGATACAGCTTTTGCAAAGCCTGCTTCTTGGCTTAGATATCCAGTACTAACTTAGTACTTTCAGAATGTTGACGCCATCTTCAAATAGCCAAACTTACGCGAAGGATGACCTGCCCAACTTCCATCGCCTCAACCAACACACACCTTGCAGATGGCCTTCTTTTCCTAGTATCTCACTTGTGGTGTAGTGCAGTATTCGACAACTTATCTGGTTCCCACATTATTGGCGAGAAATTTAATTCTTGGGGGAGGGAGAGGGATGAGAGGAGGGGGAGGGGAGGGGGATGAGAGAAGGTTGCACGCTGCAATGTATCACGCATGATTCAAGGATAAATGAGCAATCATCTCTGCACTGAGGGCATTACGTGGAGCAAGGGTAACGATCGTGACAATAAGCATCGCAACCGGTGCCTGCTCTGATCACGGAATTGCGCAAGTGCCGTCCAGCATCGGATTGTGCCGATTCAACGGCTATCAGAACATCGTTTGGTTCCTTTCCCATGTCCGCGGACATTCGAGCTTCTATTATTCAATAAGGTCGCAGAAAAGGCGGTAAGCATAATAGCGAATTTCATTATATATTACAGTTTTCTTGAGAAGGCAGGTAACACAGGAGATTGAAGACTTGTGATTGTTTTTGCAAATTGCAGAATGAAGAAGAACATTGTTTGGTAAGGACACTATTTAATCCATGAACTGAAGTCTAAGCCTGTGACATTCAATAGATTTACATACGTACATTCTGCAAAGTTACGCGAGTCTTGCGTCAGTCAACGGAAGCCAGTGCCTTATGTGATATTGATAGTACAAAAAAGGCTAGCATATTTACTACCCTTACTCAGCGGATCGCATATAAAAGCAAGCTTAATTTTTTTTCATCAGGCATTTTCAAACAGCTGGGCTGAGCTATGCAACCTTTTTTATCCGTTAAGTACAGGGTTAAAGCTGCGCTACATAATATCTGCAAGACTAAGAAAATGATGACGTGGAGCTCACATCAAAGGATAATATCTAATAATATCTTGCGTACCACAGGGCATTTGATCCCACTTGTTACTACGTGCGACATGATTAAACCTTCACGCAAGACTAGCAGATTGATGGTAATCTTCAACGGATTCCTGATGAGGAAAGAAATTTTGTAAGAATATCGAATCATAGGTTCGTTATAGAAAGACTATACGAGGCAAGCAAACTTGATTTTTACAGCTTTTGCTTTATAAATTTCCATGTAATTTTAAGCTATTATAGTTTCAAAAGATTTTATAGCATTCTTAGCTGCCGCTACTTCTAGCACTCCGATTCATTTAACATCATCTTGTACTTGCTGTCTTGGTGGACAGCCGTGCTTAGCAGATGCTCAACAGGAAGCAAACATAAAATAAGGCTTCTGAGAAAATTGTTGACTAGTTGCATGAAGTCTTCTGTGGGTGATAGATGAAGCCTTACAGTCGTTTCGCGGTGCGAGGCATCAAGTTAGAAGTACAGAGAAGAGCCGAGCACCTCTTGCTGGATTTAGATCGGTATCTAAAAAGCCCGACAGTCGTTTCTATCTGAATTGATTTTTTTGGTTTAAAGTCAGCTATCGGCTAACAAAGTTTATCCGTATATGTTAGCCTATTTAGCACTGAGGCAGCAGCGGTCAGGATATAGCTTTTTAACAGATGAGAAACGATACTTATGAAAGTAGCGTCACAGGGCGGTTTTAAGTGTAAAACTCAATGCTATAAGAGATATTGCTTTATAGTAGCGTACCAAATGATGGGCAAGTAGCTCGAACGTATCATGGCGCTTTTTCTAATCTTGGCCTTACAATTGTCTCTCTGCCGGTTGCTTTAAACTTTATGTTGAGGATGGTCTTTTTGATTCCATTACAGCTGCTTGTCAGGCAATCACATGTTTCTTGCATCCGCACGTACGCATCTCTCCTCCCGTTGGGAGAACGGAGCTTCATCGAAGTGTGAGCATCTTGTGTCAAACGTCCGTCCTTTTCGGTCAGCACATGCTGAATGTTGCAACTGAGCACCACCCGACAGATATTGACTTTTGTGCCGTACGCCTTAATGCTACCTTGTTGCGCATGAGTCCTCGAGGACATGACGACTACGTCCATCTCGCTAATGTCAATTTTCGAGGGCAGACAAGCTCAAGTTATTATCTCGAACCCTGTCACCAACGGCATGTCATCGTCACCAGCGCCCACACCCGCAGCGATGAGCCCATGCCTCATCTATATTAAGCACCATACCGGTTTCAGTGCTACAAAGACTGTTAAACGACAGCACGGTGAGCTAAGGTAGAGGATCCACACTTTAGGCCGATATAATGGAAAGTTATGTGACTAAAGCTGCAGCGGGACAGCGACATCTGCTGTCCCTGAAACGGCAACAGGAGCTACAATTGGGGCAGCGACCGGAGCAAAAGTGCTACACTGATGGAGACAGATAAGCTACAGAAACCACTGCTCCCAGCAGGCCAATAACGCGGCCAGCTAATGCGTCCGTTTCACCACCTTTTGCGGCCGAAATGACACCCGCAGCATGGAAGAGCATGAGAGAGCAGCAAGAGAGATGCCTGTGCAGCGTCAAAAGGGTTCGTCGCGATGCTTGTCAAGAGTCCCAAGAGGTCGTCGATACTCATGAATAGGCTTACCTGCCTCCTTGCTGCTCGACAGCATCGATTAATGGTATGCGCAAGCTTCACTCGGTCGCTCTTCAATGTGAGGGTGTTGCTCTGAGGGATAAAGATATGGTTACTCTTTGCGTCTACCCTTATTGCTGACAATGGTAACTATCACTGATAAGGTAGCACCTTTATTGCGCGTTGTGGGCATAGTGGATATGGCCTGGTCTGAAATGCCATGGCTTGGCTGCGGATTGTATTGCAATTCATCGCGTTATCGAACGTCATCGCGTTATAGGACGTCATCGCGTTGTGGACATCAGCACACCGTCCGTAACTTTGAGGTGTACGAAGGACATCAAGCACACAAGAGCGATAGCGGTGATTGTCATCTGTATCGTGTTGAAACTGGAGTCGAGTTCAGTCGCTAAAGTCCAAGTGAACTATGACAGTGGAATCGTAACCAGGCCATGTACAAACCATCAAGCGAGCTGAAAAGGTCCTTTGTCTGAGGGCAATTTGCTGACACGGCGGATAATAGCAGAGATTTCAGTATTCATTTTACGATGTGTGAAGGAGTTGAAAGATCACTAAGATTTTGTTACCAAACCTATGACATCCGTCGCCAAGACCTAATCGAAAACATGTCTAGGAAAAGTGGTGGATTAGACGTGTCAAAAGATACAGCCCCAGTGCCTGCAGCTCAACCAGACGAATCACGCACCTGATTGCTCTCGCCTTTGGTGATAAACTCCCTGCCAACGACGCAACAATTGAGATGAGACCGAGAACTACCATTACGCGGAAAGGAGGAATACAACGAAGGTCGTGGTCATAGAGGTCGTCGCCATGGAGGTCGTGGCCACAGCGCTCGTGGCCATGGAGGTCGTGGTCGCTACAGAGGCGGCTTTCGCTTAGATCCGTGGTAACGCTGTAGTAGTTTTCTGCTACTCTAAGCTAGTTGCCCGCAAGAGCTCATTTTCTTTGTTAACAGGTTGACCATTTTCAACATCAAATTGTTTTCGTCATTTGAAATGGCAACGTTATTTAGAAAGAATAGTACACTTTGGAGTAAATACATTCCTCAATTTTTAGAACCATGTCGATAAGTGATGATGGGTAAGACACTCTGTTTGACTTAACGCATAGAGACGATATGAATATGTTCAGCGATTACTAGATAAAGCAATGACACTGTGCTGAATTCAAAAGCATCCAACTTCCAAGGAATCATTGTTTTCAAAGTCGAAAAAGCTGTCAGAACATGACTAGCATACTACAATAAGGGACTTAAACGACCGGAGCATCGGTATTAACCCTCCATGTGTCATTTAACATTGCAAAATAGACAACAGCAGCTTATCTAAACGATTATGACGGCCCAACAGCACGGATAGATTCAATGTGCTTCATCGCAAGTTTATTTACGACAAACCTGAACGGAGCTTTAGAAACTGTTAAACTGTCGGGTACGAGGCAAACAATGAATAGTTTTATTTTTTATCCCCTGCTCGGAATACTAACCCAACCGCGTGCAAAACTACCGCCGGGCACGATGTTGAGCTCTTTGCTGAGCACGTTGAACGTGCTGAGATTTTTTGCGCTTACGAATACGTTCCTCACGCTTGGCAGCCTCCTGTTTTTGAATTCCTGTCTTTTTCAAAACCTGTTCCTTCTTTTTAAATCGTTCCTTCTTTTTAAATCGTTCCTTCAGTTTCTCTTCAGCACGCTGCCACTTTGGCTTATCTTTCCTGCCGCTATCATTTTCATCAACGCTGTCATCGTCAGTATCATCCGCTTTTCCCAGTAGTGTCTTCTCGTATTGCTCCTCGGTAATTTTGCCCTTCTTTAACTTCCTGTAAAACCTCTCTTCCTCTGCCAGCTCGTCCCATTCCTCGACAATCTGCTGATGTAAACCTTTCTTCTTCTCACGACGACGAGGATGCTTTTGGTTCTCTTCCTCTAGTGGCCGCATGCGTTTCTTCTCGCGCACCTCAGCATCTTTCTTATCACGTGCTTCATTCTCCTTTGCAATAAGTATCAGCTTTTTTTGACGTTCTTTTTCACGGGCCTTGTCCTTAAATCTTATATCAGCAGTCTTAATGTCAGTCTTTTCAAAATCGACGCGCACGTTACGAAGCTCGTTAATTTTAGGTAGTTGTAGCAGACAAAATCCACGAGCCACAGCGCCCAAATCAAGCTCCTTAAAACGGAAGATGAACTGACACTGGTGTTCCTTGTACGATCGCACAAAAGCTATAAACGCCTTCGTACCCTTTTCAAGCAAATCACGGTCTTCCAGAATGAGCGACTTTACCTTAGGCAGAATATCTTCCATTGAGTCCAGTGAAAGCTCCATCTCTTCGCACGGTACCTTGCGAATCTTTAAAAAGTTTACATACGCATCTTCATTGGAAGACAGAAACGAGAGGGCGCACCCAGAGCGTCCAGCACGGGCTGTACGCCCTACGCGATGCACAAAAAGTTTGGATCCTGCGGCGGATCATACTGCACAATCCAATCCACATCAGGCAGATCAATGCCACGTGCGACGATATCGGTGCACACCAAAAGTCCGGATTTTAGCGTCGAAAAGTGGTCATAATTCGCTGTGCGCTTCTTTTGCGGCATCTTGCCATGCAGTACCACAACCGCAAAACTTTGTTTCCCGTTGAATAGCTCTTCCAGCACACGGCCAAAAAAATCCACAGACCCACAAGTCGAAAAAAAAGACAATCAGCTTCTCGCCCTTCTTTAACTGCACAAAGTGATGCAACGCCGATAATCTCTGATCATGTCCAGCAAGACAGAAATAATTTTGTAGTGTTGCCGGCGTCACCTGCGTGTTGTTCGCTACTTGCACGGAGATTGTCGCCGGATTTCGCAACCCGGCACGTGCAAGTGCCTTCACCTCTTGGGTTTGTGTGGCCGAGAACAACCCAGTGCGTCTCTGCTTAGGCAGGTGTTCCAGTATTTTGTTTAAACTCACTTCAAAACCCATATCCAGTAGAGTGTCAGCCTCGTCCAAAATGAGCATTTCAAACTCGCGAGTCTCGACACTGGAGCCCACGCAGCGATTCAGCAAGTCCTCTGTTCTTCCTGGTGTGCCAACAACCACTGAGCATTTACCCACAGCTCCTCGAATCATTGACAAGTCCTCGTCCACGCTCGTACCACCCACAAACAGCAGTAGATGCACTGTAGGTAATACATTCGCAAAAAACTTACATGCGCACTCAAAAATCTGACGCGCCAGCTCACGCGTGGGTGAGATAATCATGGCTACAAGCTTAGTGAGGTTAGCATGACGGGGCGCTGTAATACTGCTGTCTGCCAGCTTGGTCTTAAGTAGTTGTACTAGCGGCAGCACAAACGCCAATGTCTTGCCACTGCCCGTACACGCATCAACACACACGTCTTTATTGGATAAAAATAATGGAAGTGTGGCTGCCTGTACAGGCGTCATGTGGTCAAAGCCAAGCGCATCGATTTCTGATAGAATCTCAGCACACAGCGGTGGCTGAAAGTCATGGAAACGCATAAAGACGTCACTTAAATTGACTGGCTAACCGGATGCACAATGGCTAGTCAAAATTAATGGTATTTTTATTATTGGAATAGAAGCAGATTTAATACGTTAGTTTGTTATATTTTGTCATTACAAAGCATCATTTTGTGACGGATGGCGTCAAAATATACCCCTAATAAGGGGTGTTGCAGCTGATGAACAGCCTGCTTTACCTGTTTCTGTCTGTGTATTTCTACCAATGACATTGCGTCATTAAAGCTCTTTTTTATCAAATCAGTTGACAGCAATTATGACGCGACACGGATGTCTGCTGCGCAGGAACCGCCACGCTTCTTTTGCCATGAATGTGGTGATACCGTAGATACACACATAGATGAACCCAGTGAGGAGGTTTGCTGTAATCAGTGTGGTGGTAACTTTGTGGAAGAGATTGAAGACGTCCGTTTCTCTCCGTTTCTAAAATGTATTTCTCGTCCTTTGTCGTAACCATTTGTCACTGGTAATTTTTCGCTCTTAGGACGATTTACCGCAGAATTTTCAAGCAGGATTAGTGGAAGAAACACCGACACAGATAGCGACAACTGTGGGTTCTACAGCAGTCGATGCTCTTACTGAGATTCGCAATGAATTTGGAGGCACTCGTCCCTTATCACGGTAAAGTGATGTCTTATATATATATATTCGTTATGAAGATTGTTTAAGACAGTTTATTGTGTATATGATATAGTCCACCAGGTCAGGTGACGCGGTTTTCAGCTAATGATGAAGGAAGACCATTGCCTGAGTCAGTTTGTATGAGCAATTTTTATATATTGTGAGTAAAGAGAAAACTAAGAAGAGGTTGATATTTGGTGATTGTGTTGAATAGTTTGCTACAATTTTTGGCTGGTGCTACTGGGAGTGGACGTAGTACACGCTTTATGAGTAGCAGTGGGAATCCTATCGAGGTTTACGTTAGTGAGTTGGGAGAAGGCAGGGATCCCTTAGGGATATTGAATGCTTTGGGAGGCATGTTTCCTATGTTGGCAGGTAATCCAGGTGACTATGCTTTCGGTAACATGGCTAATGTAATTAACCAGCTTATGCAGAACGATCCGAATCGGGTACGAAAAACTGGTTGAATAAAGAATTGTATTCGGGTTGCACGAAATAAACTAATGCTGAATGTTTCTTGGTGATGCGTTGGTGATATGCCAGCATGGAGCACCACCAGCCGCTAAGGAAATCGTGGAACGTCTACCAAAGTTGAAAATTACTCAGAATGAAGTGGATGGGAGTGCAGAGTGTACCGTATGCAAGGAATTCTTTGCTGTTGATGATGAGGCTCACCGCCTGCCGTGCGAGCACTCCTTCCACCCTGACTGTATCTTGCCTTGGCTGAAGCAACACAACTCGTGTCCGCTGTGTCGATTTGAGCTGCCCACAGATGATCCTGATTATGAGCGCCGGCGTGCGGCGTCGTCATCCACATAAGATGGCAGGTGACAGTAGCACTTGTGAAGGCAAGAGTAGCCCAATCGACTTCCAATCAAGGCATACCTTATATTTTCAAAGCAAGCAGTACACGTTTTTCGTTTTCATGCACTAATAATAGATTAGGGACCAAACGAATGAAAGAGTGGGTCGTGTTTCAGCACGGCAAATCTACAAGCAGCTGAGTGCTGGAGTTTTGAGGGTTTATGAGCAAGAGGTCAATTTGCTCTGCTTTACAAAAGCGTCCACCTCGTGGAATGTTTGGATGCCTGACGCTGTTTGCGACCTCTTTTGGACAACTGCATGGGGTTCATCAGAATTCATCACGCAGCGCGTACTCATTTTCTTTAAAACGAGATGCAGGTGATATTTACCTATAACTAGCCGAGCTTTGAGAGCGCTTGCTGTGCAAAGAAGACAACATCAGTGTCGCTATCCTGTAGTTGCGCCGTAAGGCATGGGACTACAGTACTTGTGCGCACGTCGATGTCTACTTTTGGGGCGAGCACCTCCAGTGTTTTTGCCGCATTGAAGCGAATGTTTGGAACCGGATCCTACAAAGCAGCATAACGCCAGTAAAAAGCCTTCAGTTCACCAGCAACTAACAACGATAAACGCAATTTCGTCGTCCTCACCTGTGCCAGCTCCAAAACTAAAGGAATTAGGAGGGTTTGAATCGATTCGGGGGTCATGGCTTCACAGAGTACCTTCACCGCGTACAAAGACGTCAGGCGATGCAAAAAGTTAGCATTTGAATGCATGGCAACGATTCGCGGTACAACACTCGCCCGCGCCCAGTCTACTCCGAAGTGTTCCGTCAAGTTTTTCAAGTTGATCGTGGCCGCCTCCCGGATTGAGAACACGTTATCCACTAGCCATGCCATGCAAAGCTCCGCCAACTGCTGTTCGAAATAGTCACGTCCCAATTGAGCAGCCAGCAGTGGAATATATTCTATGATCGCCAGACGAATACGCCACTGGCGATCTTCTGCAAGATGCACAATAGCAGGAAGGAGAGACTGTGATAGTAGCTCAATTCCGATGACCTATTCACAGCATTGAATTAGCCAACATTACGACTACTTGACGGCAGCGCGTCATTCGTTTACAAAACATTCGTTTCGAAAGTTTACTTACCATGTTGCCCTCTTCCAAGTTAGAGATAACATTCAAACGCACTTCCGAGTTTTCGTCATTTAGCAGCTACAACAAACACGTATGTGTCAGCAAAACAACATATAGCCATGCTGAAGAAATCCACACATTACGAGTAGAAAGAGAGGAAGTAAATGCTCGATTGTTAAGTCTCGGCCCAAAAACGGAGCAACTTTCATCACCACGGATGCCAAAGCAGAGCGCACGTGATCCGACATATCACGCGCCAATCGCTGAAAACACGGCACAATTTTTTCGACCATTCGTTGAGGCTGCAGACGTCGAGCGACACCAAGAATCTTTGACGTGGCTGCAGTGCGCACCTCAGCCTCGTTGTCCTCTAGCAACAAGACGGCTGAGCTACAAAATGTTGAATTGATGGTCTCTGCGTCCAAGGCTTCGCAGATCTCTGGGAACCGATTGGCAACAGACCATCGCACACGCCATGAGCCATCGCGCGCTGTCTCAAAAATTGCCGGCAGCACCTGCGTTGATAGCACATCGGCCGGAAGCAAACGTGCCAGGGCGACCGCATTGTCAATCGTGTGTATCCGAACCGAGTCCTGTCGGTCCGTAGCCAGAGTTAAAAATAACGGCAGCATCTCCGAGCTCGCACTAGAGCTATCCATTACGGACGCAATCCCGCCAAGGGCAGCGCTTGCTGCCTTGCGGACCATCGGTGTGTCGTCACGGCAGAGCTGACCAAACATACCACGCATTTCGGCCTGAATATCGTCAGATAGGCGCGAATAGCCGACCTGAAAAAGACTGCACGATGCAATGCGCGACGTAAACCAGTCGCGCGTAACAAGACGGCGGAGTACCGGCACAAAATGCTCGGCGACATGTTCAGGTTCCATGGCTTCGACAACTTTGCAAATCGAGCGCACGGCCATGTCACGAACAGAAGCCTCGTCTACTGTCGCAAGTGATTCCAAAGGCTTGAGCAACAAATAGGCATGAGGTGGGCCACCTACTACATCCACAAAGTCTCCGAGCTCCTCGGCCATCACCAGCAGTACTTCATCCTCGTCATCCAGCGAGTCTATATATATATGAGAATAAACACCGAGTTTTAGTAAATATACTTGGCTAAAATGATAGTAAAAGGTCGAGAGTAAATGTTGTACCATTCATAAAGGGTAAGAGCTCATTTTGTGTACGTTCATAACCCAATGCGTCCGCTATTAGTGTATCAATAGAATGCACACAATGCAATATTGTTAAAACAAAGAAAGAGTTTCTCTCTCTCTGTATACAACATATATATAATCGATAAAGAAAGGAACAAGAAGAAATACCAATGATGCGAATCTGACGGATTGAATTAAGACGCAGCTGAACATCTTCATGTTTAAGCTCATCCACAAGAATTGCGATCGGGTAAAGACTATTATCTTCTATAATATTGCAATATAAAATATATCACATACAAGAGGTCACACGCGAACCCTTCAGCCCTTTATATAGCGATAATAATAGTTGTGTGTGTTCTTACCGGCCACTGCTGCCGCCATTTGTAACACCGTTTATCTAATCTAGTATATTACGATACCATATCTAAGATTTCAGATACCTAGAAAAAACACCCTTGTAGTATACGAAAGAATGTAATCTTACCCTGGTATAGAGACTCGGGACAGGAGGAAGAAGAAGGGAAGACGCAAGGGGGACACGGGGTGAGTCAGTCTCTGACTATTGAAATGAGGTTTTCTGCGTTCAAGATCGCTCGTGCAGGAGGGTTGAATTTTGACCAATTGGAACTTGATAACGGCGTCATGAAATTTATTGGGACATGTTAAATTCGTAGAAAAGAAACTTATTTCAATGCATTTTATTACTAATAAGAATAATATCGTAGAGTATAACAAAGTAATACATAGTTGACGACATCAACCTCATAAAATAGAGTTAAGATGTAATCATCATTCATTCATCGAAATCCCCTCGCATGCAATTCATTTCCATTCTAATTAGAATTCAAATTGACCTTGGTCCTGAAAACTGCCTTTGAGGTCGGACGGCATCAGATTCAATGGCGGTTGCGAATGTTCCAGCTGCAATGCTTCGATATGACCTGACGTGATACCCTGTGATACCATCCGGATACTGCAAAAAATGACACTACCCCACTCTACACGTTCCCCCTCTGTGCTGGTCTGTAAAATAAGCTTGTCCGAAGGTGAACGCGCCACCAGGATGCACATATCGCGTCCTGGGAGCTCGACCAAGTTAAGGTAGCAGCCGTATAACGAAAAATACTTATGATGCTTAAGCTCGGCCGGAGTCCTGCCTCCGCTGTATGACGATGGATGCTTGTAATAGTGAATCTCCCCGTTTGTAACAATGACTTCTCGCTTTTTCCAGATCTCAAAGCCCGAGCGAGACTTTTTCATCAAAACACCACGCTTGTATGGCGGCAGCAGGAACTCCAGCTGAAGGGGGAACGAAGACGCACGCAAGATCTGACGTGACTCCGCGCACGTCTTTCGAAGGATGTTGTGGCCTTCGACGGAGATCAGCTGGCTCCCCACAGCGATACCACGATTTTTCGGACTAGACGCCACAATGAGAGCCTCCGTACGTCTTTGCATCTCAATGTCGATATCTTCAGGCCGTTTGAAAACCACACCAATCCTGCCTAGTGGGATTTCCTCAGCGCGCTTGACCACAAGAGAGAAACCAGGTACATAATCCTTCTTGTCATCCATTCTGTCTAATGCTGCTTGCGCTTCTTGTAATGCTTCAATCCACAAATGCATTGAACTCTCATTGTGTGCGTTCAGGTGCATTTCAAACTTGCCATCTTTGGACGTAAGCATAAAGTAGTATTTTCGCCCATCCGGGCACTGCGCCATACCAGGACTAACGATTGTATCCTTCAGCGGCACCGAACCCTTAAGCTCGCTCTGATTCTCCGTGTAGTACCTTAGCTTGCCCTTTTCAATCCGAAAAAAACGGTTCTTCCAGCTCTTGTTAACGTGACCACGCTTCAACAAACAACCTTCCATGTGAATATATGACGTGGGGTCATCATAACGCTTCCACTCGTAATTGCGCTGCGTGTCGCGCACGAAAAACTTTACAGTCTTGCGAAACGGGTCCAACGGCTCCACAGGAATGGCTCCGGCTGCATGTAGCCGGGCAATCCATTTAATCATCATGCGACGCGACGGTGCCGAGGCCATGAGATTACGCTGTGGCGTAGCAATTAAAAATACATAGTTTTTGTCCATGGCGTTGGATTGCACCGACACATCCGCTTTAGAGCCGTATCCAATATCTAAGGATCCTTTGAGCTTCTTCAAAGTCTCGTCAGTGTAATACGATAGCACGCCGTCGTTGCGTAGTACAAAGAAACGCCAATTCCACGTCTGGAACTGCTGGCCGCACTTCTCCAGCCATCCCTGCATTACGACTCCCATCCCGTCATCATGGGGCTGCAACGCCACATCTGAGTTGTGCGAAGCCTGATTATCGGCGCGAGTATCCCGTTCCGTTGCTTTGACTGCTTCTTTTTCTGCCGCTTCAGTCACTGCACTATCTCCCATCTCCGAATCAGTAGACAGGCCCAAAACGTTCATCCACGTGAAGCGGAAAGTATCCTTAATGCTATTACGTTGCGGAGAAAGCGAAGTCGGTACTGGAGATGCGACAATGGTGTCCTCATCATCTGCACCAATGGATACGTCCGAGTCTTCCAAGTTCATATCAAGCAACTGAGGTGGCGGTGACTGCCTAGCCGTCATCATCGCAAACGTAGCGTCATTGTCATTCTGTTCGTTAATTGATGTCGAAGAAAAGCGCCGGTCTGGCCGTCTGTAGCTGGTGGGAGATGAATCGAGATCTAGTCCAGTCTGAAACGGAACATTGCAACTGTACGTGGACGTGTATCTCTCTCTTTGCGATACCCCCCACGTCGTATGGCGACGGTGAGTCTTTTGTGAACGCTGCCGCCGCCGGTGGTGTGACGGGGGATGGGCAAACCCCAAAGACTCCTCCGTCTCTACTTTATCACTTCGAATGCTGTGCCGTGACGACGAGAGTCCGAGCCATTTTTTAAAGGCCATCGCGTCCGAAAGAAAGTATATTAAGACAATACAATGTAAGGAAGGAAATACAATAAGTATAAAACTACGTGCAAATAGAATGCACGTTAAAGAACGAAGAATAGCGCCGTTCTTCTACCTCAATCGATAGTTGAGTTGTGCTTTTTTTGACTGCTCGCTCAGCTAAAAAGTCAGGCCAATCAAGTGTTAGGGTTGCAGCATGCGTCAGTATGATTTCTAATCATTCAAAATGTTATTAAAAAGTTTTTTTTGATTAAGAAGCTACCTCAATTCAGTAAAATCATTTCTTTTATTTAGACAGGCTACTAATTCAAACAGTTACTAAGCGAAAGGATTTGGCACATAGTCGCGAGACTTTCAGACTTGAAAATGTTCCATGCCTTCTGTTTCACGTCATAGGTGCATCTAAATCTTGCAGAATGAACTCAAATTGTCCCAGAACAAACGTCACAATGTTGATTTCAGTAGCAAAATGATCATCAAAATAAAATAGTGCTACTTGGCATCTCCAGCTATTTGTCCAGTGAATAATGTCCATGTCTGGCATTGTTTCCCAATCAGGCACGGAAGAAAATTAGACTACAAAGATAAGGTAGCTTCGTTACTGAAAAAGTTCGGCCGGAAAGAGCTTCGGCTCCAGCTGCTCGTCCACGAGAAACTTGAGCGGGAAATACACGATATGACCCTGCACGTTGCTTAGCTCGTGCTTCTTCTGGGAAATGTGCGACCTCTCCTTCATGTTCACTTTCATAGCGCCGCTGAACGCCGACTTGTGCCCCTTTGCACTGGTCCCTCTTGCACTGTTTTGAGATGACATGGATGCACCACTCAACGACAACGCTCGGATATGGCTTGCATTGTTGCTAACGGTACCCGTGGTACCAGTGCCGTTTTCCAACACCGCGGCAACCGTCTCCTCATGGCCTGAAGTGTCAAGTTCTTGCGCGGACTGGATGTGCGAATCGATCTGAGCAAAAGTCGTAACACCGTCGGATGGCAGGCAGCCAAACACGGAGTCATAAATCTGGTAATTATTCATCGCCTGTTCTTGCATAGAGAACCACGCATCCTTGCCCACTGGGTCTTGGTACTTTTCGTAAAGCGGCGTGCCGGGCTTCACGCCAAAGTGCTCCTCGAACAGTTTCATGCGAAAAGAGTGTCCAAATTTACCCACACGGTAAGCACCGTCAGCAATCGCAACTGTCTCCTCCATCTCATGGTCTTCCACGAGAACAGCAATCTCAGAGTCGCGATCGCCGCACATGCTGCGTTCATTAATGTTAGCGGAGCCGATGATGCAGGATCGATCGTCGACAATCATCACCTTGCTGTGGATATACACCTCCTCCGTCCGGGCTTGAGCATCTTCGCGATTGATATGGTTACGAAGTCCGTAAAACGCAATGTACTTAAACGGATCATCATCTTCCAGTTCTTGATACAAACGCTGATAAATCGAATGCTCGCCACGGCAGATTGTACGGTATTGCCAGTGCATTACACCTCGTAAACTACTAGCGTCTTTGTCATCAGGCTTTCCAGGAAATGCTGGCAACAATGGCATAACTACAATGACGCGAAACTTTTCGTTATTGTAAGACGCGCGCGTAATTCGCTCCACCAGAGCACTGGCGATCCGGTTTGAACAGCCGTGATCGCCTTCCAGCCCTGATACAAAGAACTGATTCTCAATGTAAACAAAGTGCTTTGATGATCCAATAAGATGAATGTACGCATTCTGAATACTGCGTTCCGTAGCCACGCCTCCTGACCAAAGCGACAAGCTACGTAAGATCTGCGTGTTAACATGGTATCCTCGAGAAGCAACCTCCTGCTGATGTCTCTCAAAGTCTTCATTGTTTTCATTCTCGTCAGGCAGGTCTGGCATTTCGTCGGCATTATCACCTTGTGTATGAGGCACATCACCCGCTTCGTTCTGACTGCTCAACAGACGCGCCATCCGTCGATCGCTGTTGAAGCCACGATTATCGGTGTTCGCGCGACCTCTTGAAATTCCGTGCATTGCTCGCACCGCATATACTGCGTTCTGCAGCCGCTTCTTCAGCTTTTGTGGGGCACGCTTGTCAATGTTTGTAACTGGATAGTCTTTCATTGGAACGAGGTGATGCAGTTTTCGAGATTTCTTGCGGGTTGAAACGGAGTAGTTCCAACGCTGAACAAAGTGGCGGGCCACATCACGAGCTGGTTGGCCCTCAAGGCGACAGTGACAATCGTGCCACGGCATTCGTGGCTCAACATTGCGATCAATCATATCCTCGTCAGGACGGTCGACCTCAATAAAGTCCTTGACACGTGGATTGGAATAATCCTTGCCCAAGAAATTCGTTGGCTTACCTGGTTCATCAAATAGTTCGTGATCGTGGGTATCCCAGCGTCCAAAACAAAGATCAAGGCCGCCCACAAAACTCACTCTCTGATCGACGCTTACAATCTTCTCGTGATGTGACCACAACCCTAACTGCTTCATCAAAAAGTCGGGATCGCGGAGCACGTGAACGTTCTTATGCAGCTTGCTCAGAACCTGTTTTGAAAACAGGCTGTTCAGCGTGAGCGCCATCGATATCTCCTTGTACATAAGTACGCACACCTGCACGCCCTCTTCCGCCTTCTTTTGCAGCACAAGGTCGAGTCTTGACTCAGGATACTGCTCCGCGGGACGCAGTAGATGAATAGTTGGGCAAACCCACCAACCAGCAATGAAAATCTCTTTCTTGGCAGACTGGAGAGCGTGAAACATAGCTGTATACGCGTCACTCCCATCCACATACCATTGTGCAAACGACGTTATGTGTACCGGGTTTCGTGGAATGGCAAAAGACCCATCACGGTGCAATTGTGACCAGCTCGAGGCCTCCGCCATTCGACGAATTTCATTCGCCCATATTGTAAGCGCATGCTTCGATTTCGCTTCCATCTGAAGTACATATGTTGCGTTAGAGACCAACAATGTTGTGCTCGACCCAGTGGTAGCGAGACCCCGCTCAATATTGAACTTGTTGTCAAACAAAAAGGCATTGCGCGCAACCTTATCTTCAATCGAGTCAAAGATGGCAATACTCGAAGTCTTTAGTGAGACCCAGCGCATACGTTTTGCGCGAAAATTCACCCGCTTTACCACGCACATGCAGTTGAAGCATTCGTTGTCGCATGACATGGAGGCTTGATTAATCCGTACATTCTCGCGATTTCCTTTCAGCCAAAAACGAGTCTTTAACCAACCTTCCCGGACAGAAGTTCTGCCCATTTCATCGTCAAACGTCGAGTTGCTAACCTGGAACAAGGCAGCCACGACAGGTGATCGCAGCAGCCGCGGTATCTTCACCACCGTATCTAGTAACTGCTGCACGAGCTTAATCATCTCGGGGCTCACGGATTTTTCTCCGGACGCTAGAAAGAGTTTGCGAAGTTGCGGCCACCGAGATTCATTGGTTAAGGACGTTGGCTCCGGAACACCCGATAATCCAATACCATGATCTTCCGCTGCCACAACAGCTGCAGACGATGGTGCATGGCGCAAATGTGGACGACTCTTGATATGAAACCAAAGACTTGAGATCGATGACTTAGAGATTTCCACTTTCCATTGAAAAGCCTTGTACTTTAACTAATGATCAAATACACATCATACACAAAATCATTCGTTGTTAGATACAGTCTCCACAAAATACCATGTCACCGTTTCGTACCTCAACATCGTACTCAACAAAGCGTGTAGGCCAAGAGTCTTTGGAACGACCGCCAAGAACATGCACCTCAGGTGGCTCGTCAAACACGCAAACATCGTCGTCCGAATTGTGGTGCAAAAAACCAAAGTAGTCACCAGAATCGGAGGATACCAGCCGAGGCCGACCACCAGTAGTAGACTCTGGACCGCGTTCGATCGTCGCATTAAAGACAGGCGAGTTCGGGCGCGCGGGCGACGTACGCTGCGAGTCCTGTTGCTGTTCCTGTCCGGCAGACATCACGTCGGTGACGTGAGGTGATGGCGGCTCAGTCTGTTCTGTTGGGCTCATTCGGAAAAATTTGTATGTGGATTGATGAAAAAATGAACGACTTTATAAGAATAATTCTGGCTTTTTTAGAACTTGTCGCATGTGTTTCAAACAGGCGGCGACATAAATGGATGTATTTGCAATCAGTTGTACCACTACATTGTCGTTCAAAAGGTCCCATACCACTGATGATTTTTTGTATGAGTAATTTTAGGCAATGGATGATTCTGTGAATGAGAGAATGTCGTGTGCAAAAAATTATGTACAAACTGCCGTACTTGTAGTCCCAACAATGCAGTCGTCGTGACATTTCTTGCTGCTTGGCTGACATACAAATTTAAGGAATTTGTTTGCATAGTTATCGGCAATACGTACCGGCTACGTTCGTGCCAGAAAAAGCAAGTGCACCTTCGCAGGAAAACATGTCACTTTTATAGCGAGCATGACTGCATATGTCCCATGTAACCTCCATGTATTTATAGTGATGTGGAAAAAAGGCTATAGCATGTGTCAGTCATGTGATAAGAGACTAGTGACGTGATACAACACAGATACTACGCTTCCGTGGGCTCGCGATCTATCTGACTGATGCTATTCTCTTGATGCAGAAAGCATAAAATTTTAGACTAGGAACAGCAGTGCTTGAATTTTGATATTGATATTGATAGCATGAATTTGCAGTAGAGCCAGTTGCACTATCCATCCAGTCATGATACGTTCTATCAACTTTAATGACTTGATTTGTGGAAAGATAGAGCAACTTCATATCGAATAGAGTCGAGAATAACGATAAGGTATTCCTCTACCAATAAGTAAACCCCAAATTACAGCAGCAAATACGGACCTGTATTTCAGTGGTCCCCCTTTTTTTAGCATCTATCTATCATTTATCGTCATGGATGAGCGGCCAATGCTGCGTGGTATCTTTGCCTTTGAGGACGAGGAAACCCCGGAATGGCGTCGCGTCGTTATGTCTGAGACATCAGGTGGTGTACCCAAGTTTGCTACTAAGGCTGAGTGCGAGGATTTTATCCGCAAGTACTGTTGGCGTGGCTCGAATCCAGATTTTCCCATGCTGCAGCATGTTTTTTCTATGCTTGTGGACTGGCAACAGATTACGGAGATTCTGATTCCCAAGATACAAGAGTATGACATGAAGTTTCCACTAGAGCCTACACCCGAATTGAGTGCAGACAATCGCTTCGCACAGGGTGAAGGCCTACCGATAGCTGAGGGCGTGGATTACCGTGTCAATATACCATTCCACCAGCAAACGAATCGTGAGTCTACGATCAACACGTTGCATTATTTGTTCTTTCACATGCGCTGTGGCATTTTCGTAATGATCCGTCGCCGTCGTGTCGTGATTTTCGCCCCGTTCGCGAACAGAGACTACGTGAACAATTGGGGACAGAATGTGACCTTTGACAGCTCAGACGGCAGTATGTTTGCCTATTACCGAGAGAAGCAACGTTATTACCGACGCGAAAACATTATTCCAGACGTAAACAAGTGGTGGGCCAATGGCAATATCATCTGCAATGAGCATTGTAGGTATCGTAATAAAGAGAACGAGACGCAGTACTGGGGAGATCAGTTTCTTACTCAGCTGAGAGACATGCTTGAGGATGCTTGCAAGCATCGCAATATTGCAGATTGCGAGTTTTTTATCAACAAACGTGATTATCCGCATCTAAAGGTGAGTAGCTAGTGAAGGTTGACGAGAGAACGAGTGTTATCCTTATGTAACATTTCAAGTTTTGTAAACGGATAGGAAAATCTGACTGAGCCTTACGGATTCCTGTTTGACAAAGATGACCGGAACCCGAAGGACGATATTCCATTAACAGAATACTTTTACCCAACGTATGCTCCGATCATGAGCTTCTACGTGTCGAAGCGCTTTGCAGACATTCCGTTTCCATGTTCAGAAGACTGGGAAGCAGCTACAGGTCTCGTATTCCCACAGTCATTCCGACATACGCATTGTGACCAGTGTCCATGTCGTAATTCGGTGCATTGCGAAAACGATTGGAAGTGCTTTTGTGACGTTGGCGCCAACGGCCGAAAGAGACACGGTATTGAAGGCGCACGGGACTTGTTCACGGCCAGCAACTTCCGGAAGTTCTACAAACCCTGGGCAGACAAGGTGAGCACAGCGTTTTTCCGTGGTAGCGCAACTGGTGGTGGTACAACAATTGAAACAAATCAGCGTCTTCACTTAGCACATCTTTCCAACACATGGAAGAAGGATCCTGAAATGAACGGCGAGGCCGAGAGAGATGTGGCAGGAGAAGATGACAGAAATCACACATTAGTGCCGCTGCTAAACGCTGAGGTAACGACGTGGAATCTTCGTGATAAGAAGATTGCTGGCAAGCCCATGACGTTTTTGCGCCACGAAGACTTTATCTTTGAAGGTGGGCGTCAACATTTCATCCCTATCTATGAGCAGTCCAAATTCAAGTACATTTTATACGTGGAAGGCCACTGCGCTGCAAACCGTTACGCCTTCTTGATGCGTCTGGGTAGTGTGATTTTGAAGGTTGAATCGCGCTGCGTTGCTGATGAGATGTGGTATTACCCAATACTAAAACCATTCGAAGACCACGTGCCGATCAAAGCGGACCTTTCAGATTTGGCCGAAAAAATTCGGTGGTGTCGTGAAAATGATGAAAAGTGCGAGCAGATTGCAGCCCGCGCCAATGAGCTGTATGAAAGATTTGTATCAAAAGAGGCTATTCATGATTACATGGAGGTGATTTGCAACCGAGTTGCACAGCGTTTTCAGACAACACCTAAATGGTATAAACGGCCAGAGGGTGTCGAATCGACGAAAAAGCCCGATTTTGGCCGCTGTCGCGGGATGTGTGTCGGTGGAGCAAGTGCGCGTTATTGCAAGCGCTGCCTTGAGATGAAGGACGATGATGACAAAGCTCGTGTGAATCGTAAACGCGAGCATGAGAACTCGCGAGATGACAATCGTCATGGTAGCTATTCCTACAAGGATCATGGTCGCAACCGTGGTCGTGGTCGCAGCCGTGATCGCGATAGCCGGACTGGTGATCAAGGAGGTGACTATGACCGCCGAGACCGTGGCTACGGTGTCAATTTGGAGAAACACAGGTATCGCCGCGATGATACGGAGCATCAAGATAGAAGTCCAAAGCGACCAGGCATACAACAATGCCGGAAATGTCGTCGTGCGAAGTCCGCCTGTCAGTGCAGTTTTCGTCGTCAGTAGCTACGCAGTTACCGTTAATCTTTGGTAACCAGAGCACAAACTGCGATAGCTTACGCTATAACCAGCCTTTGAATGCAAGTGGTGTCAACAGCTCAGCTTGTCTTATCCACCTTGGCGCAGTCCATCGTTTTTCGTTCTGTCGCTTTCTATATATGCAACTTTGGGTATGGAATTTCTGATAAATGCTGGGGTACCCTTATTTTGCTTCTGACCTGCGCTCTATTTCTAAACATTTTACAAAACGAAAGCAAAATAACGTATTTCTTGTTCCAACTTAAACTGAAAACTAATTTGCAGTTTCGTAGCATCGTAAAACCACGTATAAACCTCAAGTCGACACCTATACCATTTACAAATTCGTGTTGTCATCCTTCCATTGAAGTTTGTCGCTGATTGTTTTGGAGGCTAAAATAAATACTCAGCAAACCTCTTAGAGTCAGACAAGAAGCTTCTGGGATGAACCTTAGGATGAATCGGTGCAGTACGTAACCCAAGGCTGATCAAGTTGTTCTTGCAACAGCTCTACAATCAATGATAAGAATTATAAAGGTAAGTGCTTGCTTGATCAGACATTGCTTGTCAGTACTACATGCACGGAAAAATTGACATTAATGGCAGTCAAGAACAAGAGCATCAAGATGGAAATGAACATGATGAGAGGTATGAGGAGGAACTAGTTGCGTCGTCACCTCGACAATCTTGGGCAGAGCCCTTTAGCACAAATTTATAGGCTGGTGGTCTGTTGGAGGCGTTGTACACATCTACATGCAACGAAGAGCATTCAGTCTGAGCAGCACGAGAACCCAGGCGTAGCACTGGCAATACTTAAATCTTCACATAGCATACTTAATAAAAAAACTCTCTACACTCCGACATCCACCTCACAAAATGTCCAATTACAATGCAAAGTAAGCATCTACTCAACTTCAGCAACTTTGACAAACTGGTCAAACTTGTTGGGATAGAAGTTGGTACCCTCAAACGTTTCGTCCCGGCAAAGCTTTCCAAGATCCTCTGCAACCTGCATTCATTTACCCGTTGGTGACATAGTTATAAAACAATGATCACTTGCTGCTTGACATACCTTCAGATACTCCCAAGCTAATGGAATTGATGTGTGCATTTCCACCGACACGTCAGTAGAAGTGATGTACCCAGAGCTGGATTTCTGTGCCATCTTCGCAAGCCGTTCAGCCACTATGTCTTCGCGATGCGAGTCTGTTTGTAGCACAATGAGTCCGCCAGGAAATTTGCGCATGCTATAACCGAGTTTCAGCTTTTTCTGCAGCAGTGCTGCGTGATACAGGTCGTCTGGAGACACCAATTCTACACCACGTGCTCTATTAAACATGCAATAGATATCCGAAAGGGTCATTATCCCTCCATTCCGCGGCATATGGTCACTAAGGTACTCCGTGAGTTGTCGTGCAAGCTGCTCGTAGTATGCTGCACCAGAATTCTCTCGTGTCACTGGACTGGTGATACCCATATCCAGCATCAGCGAGCTAAGTTTGTTGATGTCTTCTTCTTTAGACGTAGTGCCATCCTCCCCTGCCGACTTGACCGCTTTTTGCGTGTCCACGTATCGTTCAATCAAACTAACCATATCCCTGGCCTTTGTCATCAAATTGGCCAAATCGGAGAACGCTGTCACAGCCAATTCCGTCGTCTCTTTCTGCGCTTCCTGCTGACGACGCATAATTCCCGCAATACCAGCGTCTGCAGCATTAAATTGCCGCTTCATGAGTCGTCTATCAGTCAAATGACTAGGTTGTGGGTTCTTCCAAGCTCTACGTTTAAGTGACGCCGCTAGCGGACTGTAGAAATCGTCGCGTCCGCCGTCTTTGAACGACAACTTGAAGAATGAAGTAGCAACAGGTGGTGATCGGGTCATAATATCTATCCTCACTTTGGCGGAACGTTGTAAAAAGCCTGCTTCTTTGGTCGTGCGGCTAATCCACTCTAATGGTACGTAGAACGCCACGGGTGGAGTGCACGTTGCGTCCGTGTAGAAAAGACGGTGCGTCGTGACTGAGCAGCGGCCGTGCACATACGGTGTCTTGAATGTGCGGTCATACAAAGCAATGTGATCCTCACTATAGATCTCTACCTCATTGCCAAAGAGAGCGGGGCGTCCAGCGGCCGTCAATGGAAGCACTGCAAGCGGTAAAACAAAATGAAACAAGTTGATGACATTCATGAGTTAAATTTCGGCAATGCATTCACGTACATTGCATTAAATCCATCACAGAAATATAAGCAAGCGCCTGCTGTCCATGACTTCCACTGCTACGATGCCCCGAGGTCGACGTGGCCGTACCAGAGGTAACGGAGCGCGGAGAAGACGACGCCTCGCTCATTTTCAAGGGAGAAGTACCAAAAATGGTGGTAATAATACTCATGTATTTTGTTTAGGAGGGTGCCCGTAATCACCGAGATGCTGATGCTGTATCCCGGTGATTATGGGTGAAGGAAAGCTTAAGAATGGAATAACTTCTTCTGTTTTAAGGCTTTCATACAATTAATCATCAGCTTCGTAGTGGTCTCGATTGACTGACTATCAATTGCCTCACATCAGCTATCGTCCAACCCTGCGCTAAGTGCATAACAACGTATGGACCAGGAACAAATACTTCCAAGAAACAGTAATGACTGTGCTCAAAGGTTCTACTACTTTTTGGTGAATAACGATTTCATTTAGTCCAGCAACGAGCAAAGTAGTGTTTTGTACAAGTACTAGCAGCTATGACAGACAATATTCAATGATTCATCATTGTCGCTACTCATCATACTCTGCACATCAAAATGATGAGGGCACCGAGTGGCTCGCAGATCCAGTCCAGTAGCAACGGATGCTTAGTAAACCAGTCAGTCAATGAATCTGGCGTCGTTTGGGATATTGCAACCAAAAGTTCATGGATTACACGCTTTCGCCATCCTGCAAAGATACCACATTCTGGTGTTTACATTGGAGACCAAGCTCATTACCACTAGGTCCTGCGGTTCTACCGCAAAAAAGACTATCGGTTGCTCACTACGCGGCTACTTTGGTACAATGCGAATCATGCTACCGAATAGAATTTTTGCTACAAAGCCATCACATTGTTGTCATCTGCTGCTGACCGGATGTGAAAAGTGAAAGACGCTCACATGAGATGGACATGTTGCGTTATCTAGTTATCAAACAAGTCTTCAATAGGTCTCCGTAGCATGCAACAGTGCTGCGCGATCATGATGCGATAGTTTTGACTACGCTTTATTGAACAGTAGTTCTACCCCTTCACTACATTCATCATAACTCCATCGTGAATGTAAACATAATGCTGGAAAGAGCCTTGCCTCAATAAGGTGGGTGAGTGCTCAATATTATAAGAGCTTTTGACACAGGAGACGCTCACGTAACTGATGAAAAAGTACTTGTGTAAAATTAGATATAGTAAAGGTAGCATGCATATGGAAGACAAGCGATCAAGCTTACCCAGCCGCAGCGCTGGTGAGTCCAGCATACTGGCTGTGAGACTTAACAACAGCCCTTCTTCGCAGGTGTTGGCTTTGCGTTGAGGTTGACGTTGTCTTTCTTGTGGGGTCCACCTTCTTCCACGAGCCTGTTCTTTACTTCGCGTGCAATCTTGATGAATCCTCCTTCAACGTTGATATTGTTCTTCGCACTTGTCTCGAAAAACTTGACACCATACTCGTCCGCTAATGCCTGACCCTCCTCAGTGCTTACAACCTTATCATCTGTCATATCGCACTTGTTTCCAATAAGAATTTTATTCACATGCACGTCAGCGTGCTGCTGAATCTGACCCACCCAGTTTCGGATGCTCTGGAAAGACGCACGGTCTGTGACGTCATAGACCAATAAAATACCCTGCGCGCCGCGGAAGTACGACGTCGTAATAGTACGGAAACGTTCTTGCCCAGCTGTATCCCAGATCTGAAGCTTCACCTTTTTGTTATCCAGTTCTATATTTTTGATTTTAAAGTCGATGCCAATAGTTGTAATAAACGTCGGGGAGAATGAGTCATTCGCGTAGCGAAGCAGCAAGCACGTCTTTCCCACACCTATGAAACAGTCAAAGTTTTGTCAGAATCGAACGCTACCTACAGCTGACGATAGACATATAATTGACACTAGAAATATGTTGCTGACTTAACGCGCTGCACACACCGCTATCGCCGATCATCAGCAGCTTAATCTGCATGTCAAAGGGATTTTCATGACGAGCCATCCTGAAAAAGTTTCAATCCATGACACATAACAGTAAGATCAGTTCTTAACACCATTTCCATGCCACCTATTTATATGCTTCTTTTGCGTACACCAAATCTTTAAAACTGCGCTTAGAATAAGACACAAAAGAAAGTGGAAAAACAAGTGTCTGTTAATTGAAGCAAAGAGCACAAAAAGAGAGAATGATGACAATTATGTACCTTTCTTTGCACAAAAATTGCTTGGTGTAAGAATATAATTTCTAAGTGTTGACAAGAGGTACAAAATGATAAGGCGGTGGCGGCTCGACGTTCTCTTACAGCGCAAATTTCTATCGGTATTGTTATGGTCTCCCCTTACGTAACGTAAGAAAAGGAGCTAAATGTAGCCACTAAAGATGGTGTTGAAGAAACACTAAACGATGTGGTACACATTGATTCATGTACATAACGTAATATTCAACAAGTCAAAAAGCAAGCGATCAAAAAAGCTAGCATGGCTATTAGTCGTATGTCAATGAACTTATGTTGTATATAACACATGCCTACTGTCTGACAATGTTATTATCTTACTACTGTATTAATCTATCGCAGCAAAAGACGCAGCTGAAAAGCCCCACATTGATGAGTTTGTGCAAGGCAAAATTCTAGGCGAAGGCAACTTTTCACGCATCATTGAAGCCAAGCACAAAGCGACGGGCGAGATTTTTGCACTGAAAGTGATTGAGAAACAAAAAATAAAACGATTGAGAATACGTCATCAGAATATTTACAATGAGATCAACATGGAAAAGGACGTGCTAAATCGACTGCATCACCCGAATATCGTCCGCCTGTATCAGACGTTTCAGGACAAAGGCAATCTGTACTTTTTGCTGGAACTACTGAATGGTGGTGAACTGCTTTGTCACATGTTGCATGAAGGTCGACAACTGGGTCTAGACGAAGACCTTGCACGCTTCTATTTGGCCGACGTCGTGAATGCTGTCGAGTACATGCACGCAAACCAGGTGCTCCACCGCGACTTGAAACCGGAAAACATGGTGACCTGCAACGATGCAGGTGGACATTTGAAGCTAATTGATTTTGGAACTGCTAAAAATTTGGCCGAAAAGAAACTTGATGGACCAAATTTTGTTGGCACGCCAGAATATATGTCCCCTGAGACGATACACAACAAAGAACCGACTTATGCAAGTGACATGTGGGCATTTGGCTGTATCGTATACCAGCTGTTAACAGGAGAGACACCATTTAGTGGTGGAAGTGCTTACCTCACTTTGTTGCGCGTTCAAGCTGGAAGTTACGATGTGCCAAAATACCTTTCTCCCGACGCCCGCGACTTGATCAAAAAACTACTTCAAAATGATCCTACGAAGCGTTTCGGTGGCACTAAAGCGAACGCAATGAGTGCAGTCAAAGGTGAATACTTTACACATTTGGCATATCGTATTTTTAATGACTATGTTGCTGTGTGTTCTAACGCAAACGCGTGCCTATTGCACGTGACGTTTTAACTGCATAGTACATCCGTTCTTCAATGGCATTGATTTCGACAATCACACGCAGGCAAGATTGCCCATGCTGCAATTCTGCGGATCGGAGCTTTTTCCACTCGTAACCAGCCTTGTTGGTACGGAGGAATCGTACGAAGTCCGTCACCCGCTAGACTTTGGCGGTGAAGTCGTACAGGACCAAGTCAAAGCGCTTTCGCCCCGCGAAAGAAGTATAGTCATGCACATTCTTCGTCGCAAGCAGATGTTGCACTTGCCAGGTACGCAATGAGTAAAGAACGGAATACAGAGTGGCTTGCTAACCGCGTTATTCTTATTCTATAGCGATATACCCTCGCTTCTTTAGCTCGGCCAGTCGCGGTCGATGCTTGTACGCCTGCAGTCGAGGATACGTCGGATTAACACACGATCTGCAAAATCAATGGAGCGACATTTTCTCGTTTGTACAGGTTGGTGGAAGTTTTTGTTGAGTTAATATACGCAACTGCAACTGTAGATCATTACGTGTCATGCTGCTTCTTCCTTGTGTCTCGATTAGCTATCAGGACCCAAGCTTGGTCAGGCAGCCGCCTTAGCTGAAGCAGATAACCGAGGAGGCTCAGAGTGGGAAGCAGAATCGAAGGCATTTGTCAAAGCAGTTGAATTTTTAAACACGCAAAGACCAGCATTTGTTGTGTTTTGCGGAGGTTTTGTTCACTCGAAGCCGGGTCAAGAATTTTATGATGCTCAAGTCACAGCATTTCAAGAGCTACTCAACCAAATTGTCCCCCAAATTCGACTGGTGCGTTGTGGCATGAGTTATTGTTTGTCTCCTTATAGCTCATCCACATTGCATAGGTATTTGTTGCAGGAGTCGGCGAGTTTGACACGCCAGATGGAATGGTCAGATATCAAAACTATTTTGGCGACACACGATTTAGCTTTTGGTGGGAACCATTATATAAACGATGGTTTTGGCTGCATCACTAACCTGTCACGTGTCACTCATAGGTTCGGCGGAATCAAGTACATCGTTATTAACACAACTGCACTTTATCGCGAACAAGACTTTTCAGATGAAGTTACAGCACAGACTGGTTGGGGATGCAGCATGAGGGCAAACATAATTATTCCACAACTTTGTGCACAATGCAACTAATCCTTAACGTTTCTTTGACTAGATTGGATGAAAAAAGAGCTAGATAACGGAAAGCTATGTGCTCGAGGCACTGTGGTGATGTCTGGTCACTCACTTTACCGAACGGCTTCAGGTACTCAAAACGAAAGTAGCAAAGAACATGCACCCTTGTGTGTAGAAATTTCTGAGAAGGTTGGTGGCGATTATCTCTGCGGATCTTGTACAATGAATTAACACCTTTCAACCTGAACAGCTTCGAGCATCGTATTGGGAAATGATTCGACATGGTCAGGTGTGCCTTGTGGTGAGCGGAGGATCGACCACGAACAATCTCACTAGTGTTGTATTTAAAAATGCTGAAGAAGATGCAGACGAGTACAAGTGCGAGCTCTTGTCTTGTAAAGCACAATGGGGAGAATCTTCAACCGTCATATATCAAACCGAGGTCTCCCAGGCCGGCGTCGTCACGAAAGCATATCTCGTCGAGAGCTCGATCCCCAACGATGTTAGTACTACATCTTCCGCTGGAGCAAGAGACGCAACAACATGTTCAGTCCGCTAACCTCAAAGGACAAAAGCCAAGAAACGGCGTAGCCACGAGATGTTGATAGCCGATGTCCAATTCTTGCTACAATGAATGAACTGACTCTCTTATGCAATTATCACTCAAATTTAACATTTTACATGTAAAAGTGCCAATGAACACGAAAATGCCAAAATTCAGTTTACCATCGTTGTTCTTTGTCAATACGCATTCTTTGGACCTGACACGGGAACACGTAATCGTGCCCGAGTCCATGCAATCAAGTAAGCACAGCTGCAAAACAGTTGTTTACTCGAATACTTTGTGCTTCATATACTCTTGACATATATAGTTAGTGCTCTTGACAGCGTCAAGCGTCAAACCATTCGCTCTGCAATTCGTGCTGTCTAATGGCCCAAATTGACTTTGGTGCACGTATCCACTATAGCAGACTGTCTTCTTCACCGTCGTATTCTTGATCCTGTTTCTTGTCGTACCTACTCATAGAAATGGACACACGATGGATCTGCGCGGCTCGGTCTGCACGCTCATAACGTTTGCGACTACAGCGATCATTACGTTTCTTCTGAATTACCACACCCACCATCATGGCCACGAGCACAGCAACAAGAGCAAAGATGCCCAGTGCTTCTTTAAACGATGGCAAGTTAAACGTCATATTCGTCGTAGAGAATGCGTTGGCACTGCCCGTCTCCACAACTGAATACAGTGTCTCATTCTCGTCTGTCGACGCCGCATACAGCCGCACATTGGCACTGGCTAGCGCTGCATCTAATTGTCCGGCGAAGAATCTTTCCATCTTCTCGTCCACAGTCTTAAGCAGTTGGAACGCCTCAGTATCTGCACCGATAGGTGAGACCAGTGCAGCAACTTCCAGATCCACGACACATTTTACATCCTCATCTTCGTCGTCCATCTTGGCAGCATCCAGAATGCTGATATCTACGTGTCCGGGCAGCAGCATTTTCTCGTCTTCTCCGCCCTGTAGAGTGTTCAGCAGCTCTTTGCAAGCTCCTTTGTGCACTGTAACAACACTCTTAGGAGCTTCCTTCAACTCTCCAGATGTCATCAACACCGTGAATAGCTTGTTGTTATCCAGAGCTATTTCTGTTTGAGTCAGCACGACGTTCTCGAGGCCTTTGGAGCTCAGTTGCTCTGTCAATTGCTGGTGCACATTACGCACTACATCAAATATATCTTGGTAGTCGTCTGAAGTAAACGAGATTGTACCCTTAATGGTAAGATACATTGCACAGCCACTACCATTCGTAGCATTGGACAGCTGTATATTGCCACGGAAGACTGCGTTCAACGGCAGCAGACTCGTCGCCAGCGTGTCGCTTGAACTCGGTACCACTGAGTCTAAGGGACATAAAGAAGTGCTTGTATATAATAGATTTACTGCTACCTTCAATAGCGTAGTCGTGTTAATATCAGCAGCATCTTGGACCATTCTCAGCATTGTTGAATTTACTTTGTCGTTACTCAAAATAACTGGAGAATTCTTACTGTGAATCAGATTCGATGAGTGTCAAAAGACGCGATCTTTTTGTGCATTGATCATTGGGTAGAAGTTTAGACTTCAACCTTGATATTTGACCAATCAGATACCAAATATAATCACAATGAACACGATCACGTTAAGCGAGACGGTAGCGCATGTGGGACAGAATGTGCGCTTCATTGCAGCTATACAACAGATTACGACTGGCAAGAAAGTGCTGATGGATCAGTGTAGGATCTGCTCTTGCTACATTTTGCACGTGGGTGATGCTAGTAGACAGTTTTTCAAGATTACATGCTGGGGAGATGCGCCACCTACATTGTTACATTCGTCATCCACGTCAGACTCAAGTAAAGACTTACATCCCATGCATCTGCCGATTACTGATAAAGTGGTTCAAGTTGGTGATATTGTGCTATTTTCTTCTTGCCGTATAAAACTCTATCAAGGCAACGTAGAAGCGCAGTTTCTTCTGCGCAATGGCAAGGCGGCGACTTCATCGTCGATCCAGTTATTGTATAGGAAAGGTTTGTATTCTAGTACAAAGGATGTTTCATTGCTGACATTGTATCCAATGATTGAATGGTACAAGCAATATCGTCGAGAGTTTATTGTTATGAATGATGTAGTGACATTGTCTGGAGCAAAGAAAAGAAAAAACAGGTCGACGATCAAAGAATTGCGCGACAATATGGTCGTGTCAGTTCTCTGCAAATTACGACCTGCAAGCATTAAAACAAATAAAACTATTGGAAAAAAGAATGGCGTTGTCTCGGAGCTGGATGGTGTGCTGATGTGTGAGCTGGTCATGTTTGACTCTGCGGAAGATGGTATGCTCGTGAACCTTTGGGATCAGCATGCCGAGAAGCGATTTGTTGCACGATTGCTTAATCACCCAGGTGCTATTATAATTGATGGTGTCTTTGTAAGCCTTCAGGCTTTATCCAACCGGTTGCTGGCAAACACGACACTGCATACGACGTTTCATCTATTGGACCCTTGCGACACTGAGTCGATTGCATTGGAAAGGAAAATTGCTCGATCCAAATATGCTGTCCAAAGAAGTACATCATTCACTACTCCTACCGATTTGACATCATTTTCTACCTTCAAAGAGCTCAAAGGTTCATCGTTTCAAGGTCTGGCTACCTTGAAAAACATCCATATTGAGCAAGTCTGCTTAGGCCGTCATTTTGGACATGAAGCAACTGTACTGGCAAGATTTGCTGCCCGTTTAGTGGAGCAATATTGTACAAAGTGCTACCAAACACTACCTGAACTAGCTTGTCAAGACAACACAACACAAAGCCATTTTGAAGCTTGCGCAAACAAATGCAAGACTCGTCGAGGTAGTGCAAACAATGCTTCATGTGCCTGGAGGTATCGCTCTTTTACGATGGTTTTGCGTGATGCTAAAAAAGAAACACTTCAAGTTAAAGTGGAACACCAAACGATATTCGAGATAGCAGGAAAAATTGAGGCACAAGCTCTAATAAATGGTTCATGCAACGCTTCGCCAAGCTCTCGCTTCAACGCCGCGTCTGCCGTGACATCATTGCTCAATGCTCTTGTCGAAGATGCAAACCAGAAGTTTGAAGCGCAGTTAGTGTGCTCTATAGTAAAACACGGTGACAATCCAAGTCAAGCTACTGATAGCTGCCAGGATTCCAGTCTCAACGAAGAAGGCATTCTTGAACGGGTGTATAGTTTGGTGTCGCTCGTTCCATGTGATGTATTTACAATTTAGTGAGCAGTTGGGCATAGAATTCAGTCACCAAAACAGGATGGCGCGCGCAAAAGTCTACTAAAAGTGATGAAAGGCTATATAACCAATTTTGAGACCGTAGTCGGGGCAATCGCTGTTTGCAAGTTGCGGATGGATGTATACTGCAGGATTAGCAACTTTAGGATTAATCGGTGCCGGTATAGGTATGGGTAATGTTTTTCGTTAGTGATTACGGTTACTGTAACAAGATATGAAACCAGTAACTAATGTACTATACACCTGCCACGTCATTTTGGTGTGGCTGTACGTTAAGTACATCGGGTTCACAAGCGTAAATAAGTTACAATGCGTTCACATCGTGACCGGATGCCACTATGGGTCGATATGTATATATAATAGACATGCTACAGAGCCACTTAATTATAGTGACTAGCACTAAGTGTGGATTCTGATTAGTGTTGGAAGTTGAAATCTAAATGTAAATCAGTTTTTTATTCTGCTCTGTAAAGCATTTGACGCTTAAGCATTTTCCTTGTGAAGGTTGCAGAATCTGCTCCCTATCCTTGGCCCTAAGGGCGTGGAGTACCTCATCGCCCAGGACAAAGAAGAGGCTAACAAGCGTATTCATATGCTTGATGAGTATGATAAAGCTCAAGTCGAGCACGTAAAGGCACAGATGCCTTCTTCTGCGCCTTCGCCCATGGCGACTATGGCGCAAGAAGTGGTCCACAGACCAAAACCTATACAAATGGAAGTCGATAAGTTCGACGGCAAAGAAGGTGACAACCTTATGCTTTGGTTCCGACAGGTTGAGTCGGATATGTTTGTAGCCAACATCACGTATGAAATGTACCGTATTGGCTTTGCATTGTGAAAGTTGGGTGGATTAGCCAAGCAGTGGGCATCAACATGTGGTGCATCACTGCAAGATGCATTTCCAACATGGGTCGATCTGAAAGTTCAGATGACCCGGCAGTATGCACCGCCAAACCAGCACACCGTAATCGGTCACGATTGTTGGCGTATTGCCAAAGCAAGCGTGAGCTTGCGGCATATGTGCAAGATTGAGAACTTTCATTGCTGCCATGGTCATAGACCTTATGCCTGAGGCAGTGACCGTCACGGTCTTCATGAGGGGGGATCCAAGTTGGCGTTGCCAGAACGGAAGTCTTACGGGTAAACCCATCCTTGTTCGAGGAAGCTGTTGGAGTGGCATGGAATGCCGAGACCAACTCTAAGGCCTCTAGGCCTGCCACGTATAACTGCTCGTCTGATGGGTCTGCTGTACCCATGGACTGTAGTCAGGTGGAGGATAAAGAAGCTGAGCTTCGTTCTGCGGGGCAATAAATTGTGCGCAGATGTTATATCTGCAAGAGCATAGGCCATTGGATGGCAAAATTACCATCAAGAAAGGCATATTTGGCCTCGAAGGGCCAACGACTCATGGGTGAACCTTCTGGTTTACCACGGGAAATGGCGGAGCCCAGTAGGCGCGGGGCGCCCTACTGGGGAAGAACTAAAGTCTGCTGAACCTCTAGGAGGTAGATAGAAGTAAACAGGGCCCAGCCCCAAAGAGGCCCGAGCTCTCAAAAAAGGAACGAGAAAAAATGCAAGCCAGGCTTGCTGGTTGTCGAAGGGACGGTTAAGGGCTATGATAAGCCATGGATCATTTTGATCGATTCGGGGGCATCGGGCAATTATGTGCGCCGTGCCACCGTGGAAGGTAGTCAGCACTATGCTGAAGCGCTTATAGCGCGTGAGAGTGACACAGTCACAGTTTGCTTAGCGACAGATACGCGTGTTGCAAAACCCAAACTCCCGATCGACTTACTTGTAAAGCTCTTTGACTTTAACAGCATGGAACGCTGTTTGGTCTTAGACCTGGATGCGAAGTATGACCTCATCTTAGGCATGGCATGGCTAAAACGTCATGAGCCATGGATTGATTGGAGGTCGATGATCTTAAGCGCTTGTGGGGCTCTGGAGAGTCATGAAACCTCCTCTGCTAGGAAGTAAAAGTGCTTTTGGCGCGGATATTGGACCAAGTCGGTCAATATTTTGGATGTCGCAATATCCGACTTTGTAGACACTGTAATTGTCGAGGACAATAGTCCTGGGCGAGGCCCAATGACTGTCGATAGTGTGGTTGAGAACCCACTAGATGGCACATATGACATGTGTCATGAAAATGATGTTACATTATTAAACACCGTGAGTGGTGTTGGTGGCTGCAAGCCAAGATGTCATGAAACGAGTCCAAGTGACATGAGTGACTAGGAACTGACCCTGGAGGGCTGAATGAAGTCACAAATGGATGTACAACAAGGTGCATGCACCTAACAACAGGTACTGGCCCAAGAGGGTCGGGTGAAGTCAAAAGACGGTTGTCTTTGAGGACAACGAGGTGCAAACACCTCATGACGAGGTATTATTGACCCAAGAGGGTGGGTGAAGTCAATAAACCAAGTGGTTTTGACCTTGAGGTGTGTACACCTGTAGACGCTGATGCGTCGGATGCTGAGAGCATCATGAGTAGCGATGATAGTATCGTGAGTGACGGTGATAGCGAACAGCTACATACACTCGTCAATGGTTTGACTGGGGATGTTAAAGAGCCGGTGGCTCTTTCAGCTATACCCGCAGTAAGTGCTCTGTAGAGCTGGACGAGTTGTCCTTTGCCGAGTTTGGCAGAGCCTTACAGGCAGGCGACATCGCCGAAGTGGTCGTCAACGACCTGAGGAGGAGTTGAACTCCTTATCGCTTTTGAATAAAGCAGTTTATAAGGATACCAAGAAGGCGATGAATGCGCGTAGTGAATCACAGATCCTGAGGAACCCTTCGGATCCTTATTTTCCTTTGTTGAAGGAATATGGAGATGTTGCTTCCAGAGAATCTCCGACGAGTTTACCTCCGGATAGAGGTGTACGTCATGAAATTGGCTTGGTCTAGGAACCAAATGCTGTGTGACGCGACAGTGGCCACTGTCACGAGAGCAATGTGACGTCATTGACGAGTTCTTTCGTGCAAAGCACGCGGCTGTCATGGTGCGTGAGAGTAAGTCCCCTCACTCTACGCCCACGTTTTGTGTGAGGAAGCCTAATGGGAAGTGGCAAATAGTGCATGCTTACAATAAGCGAAATTCAGCCACTATCCCGGATCAAACACCGATCCTCGCAAGGATGTTCTTCAGAACAATATGGTGGGATGTACGATATACAGTGCCCTCGACTTAGCCGATGGATATTACCAACTGATCATGCAAGCTAGTAATATCCCGCTGACAGCGGTCAGAACTCCGAGCGGTATGCTCTGGGAGTGGTTAGTGATGCCCAAGGGGTATCTCACGCACCTGCAACGTTTGATCGCCTGGTACGCAGTTGTTTTGGCCCCATAGGGCGTATGCGCAGACATACTTTGACGATACATTCGTCCATAGTCGAGCCGAAAATGGCAAGACTGATGTGGAAAATCACATTGAGCACCTGCAAGCTGTGCTCGGCTGCATGAGGGTGCATAAGTTATATGCCAATGTTGACAAATGCATCTTCGGTGCGGAAAGGTTCCCTTTTTGACAGACCCTGTTAAGGTTAAAGCCATTGTGGAATGGTCAATTATGAGGAGCCAGAAGGATCTATGCAAGTAGTTGGGTTCGGCAATTTTACTAGCACAAGTGTGACTACAACTATACGGAAGTGGCTTGGCCATTGTCGAATCTTCTAAAAAGGGGTGGAGGAATTGGTGTTGAACATCGAGCCCCACAAGGCTTTTGGAGCCATCAAGAAGAGTCTTCTTCAGGCGCCAATTCTTGCTTTGCCTGGTTCTTATCGCTCGTTTAGCGTTGTGTGTGACGCTTCGGACTTTGTCATTGGCAGTGCGTTTTTACGAGCTGACTCTGAGGGTCGAGAACGCGTCATCGCGTTTGAGTCTTTCCAGATGAAAGCTGCAGAGAAGAACTATCCAGTCATGACAAGGAGCTACTTGCGATAAAGCATGCTCTTGTTAAGTTCAAGGTACACCTGTTGGGATCAAGCCGTTTGAGATCTATACAGATCATGCATCGTTACGCAAAGCATCACAGTCGCCTCATCTCTCGCAGAGAATGGCTCGTTGGATCTCCTTTTTTGCGGAGTATAACTTCGAGGTGAAGTATAAGCCGGGAAAACAGAATGTTTTGGCTGACGCGTTATCGCGTAGACCTGACTACGAGCTTGTCCATTTCACTGTTGTGAGTTCGTCAGTAACGGATCGTATCCGTGTGGCGTATGCACACGATGAGGCATGTGTTGCCATTATGCAGGCGCTGGGTAGCGCAGAGTTTGAATGCTCTAAGGTGAAGCTGTCACCAAGTAATCGTGCGAGATTGTATCTCTATGCACTGACCGATGGTCTGTTGTACTATATTACAGGTTCGGATGGCCAGCCTCGTTTTGTGGTGCCTCATGATGAGAATCTCAAGTAGTCATTTAGGTCGTGAAAAGACCTTAATATCGGTAAGCACCCATTATTGGTGACCAAGTTGTATAAATGGGTTGGTACATATGTTTGCACGTGTGAAACGTGTCAAAGGGTGAAGCCCTCGCCTAGTATGGATGCGCCTTTGGCGAGTTTGCCTGTACCATCGGGGTTGTGGCAGTCCATTAGTATGGACTTTGTGTTTGGCCTACCGCGTGATGCAGCAGGCAACACTGGGATTGTGGTCTTTGATGACCGGCTGAGCAAGATGGCTCACTTAGCGGCAGTGCCGGAATTCATTGAAGGAAAAGGAACAGCTAATCTGTTCATGGATCGTGTGTTTTGACAACAAGGATTTCGTGTGGCAATACTCTTGTATATAATCCCCGTATATTTTTTGGACGTCAGTCTTCAAAGTGCTGGGCACTTGACTGGACATGTCCACGGCAGATCATCCGCAGACCGATGGTCAAACAGAACGCGTTAATCGCGTTATTGGCGATATGCTTCAAAGTATTTTTGCTATAACACCCAAGCAATGGAGCACGATGCTCCCACTCATTGAGTTT